CATCAACATCAGAAAACTCACCATAGTCGTCCATCAGTATGCCAATTGCACGTGCTCTTGTCATTCCCAACTTGGATTGTAGTACCCATTGTTGGTCATCCATGATCTCTTTAGTTGTTCTGCACGTCAATGACTTCTTCTGAGCTCTGGACATGTTTCTCTTTGGCTTCCTGTTGGAACATTCCACAAAATCAGGCTTCACATACACGATGGTTTCCACCTTGTCATTGAACTTGACATCCATCTTGTTCTTCTTCTCGATAGGCACTGCGTTCACGATGAAATCGTCATCATACTCACGGACTAATGCCGGAGTCGCTTTGGCGTCGGGCGTCTTTGTAGAAGGCACCGCTCTCTTGCCCTTCATGTTTGGGTCATGCTTGAAGGTACACTTGTCACCTTTCTGACAATCGCCCTTTAACCAACCATAGCAATGTCGATCCTTCTTTCCACCAGGGGTCTGCGATCTTCTTGGAGTAGCCGATCTGCCGTTCTTCCCTTTTCCACCTTTGTCCTTCCTCTTGTCCCAATGATATTGGGAGTGACTGTATTGACATTTGTCACCATGCTTGCAATTGCCCTTGTTGAAGTGGAAGTGACAAAAGGTCTTCGAAGTATCTCGTGTGGAAGGAGATCTCGATCGCTTGCCACCCTTGCCTTTCCCCTTGCCATGGCTCTTGGGATTGCCGGAAGGTAGAACAGGAGCTCCAGGCTTGCCCTTGGGTGCTGGAGCACTCGGTTTTCCACCCTTCCCATCTTTCGGCGTAGGCGCCGGAGCCGTCGGCTTCGGAGCTGGGGTAGAAGGCTTACCAAGATTGGTGTAGTCCGTGGCAAACTTGTCCCTGGCAGCGATATTGCGATCTTCGCGTGCACGAGCTATGTGCCTCCTCATTATCTCCAAGAGTTCACTGTACGATTTCTTCTTGTCATCATTGTCTCTTCCCTTGAAGATCGTGAGGTCGACGTGCAATGCCTGGGAACCATCAATCTTCCTCAGCAGATGATCACGCAGTGTGTTGTCAGATGGAATGTCCTCAGCCTTCATGTTGGCGATGATTTCAATCCAAGCATGGAGGAACTTATCCATCTCCTTGTCACCACGATATTGTAACTTGTAGATGTGGCTGGCATTGAACAATACTTCATCTTTCGATGTTGTTCTGAAATGATCTAAAACCATTGCCAATATCTCTCTGCCCATCAGGAAATTCCCTTCTTTTCCCAAAACTTGACTCCTCTGTCTGATCCGAACCTTGACCTCTGATGCCGTCTCTCCAGCGGAGTCTACCATGTTCTGCAAGGCAATGGACAACTTGGAGTCAATGGATTGGAAACGGAATTCTCCTGAATCAGCGAGTTCGGCATAATCAGGACTGGGCAATAGAGCAGGAGATAACCATCTTCTCCATGCAGCCGTGTCTGGATCACCTGATGCAACACATACGGCTTGCACGACGTTGGAACGCCAAACATCAAGATCTTGGCATTTTGGCCATGGCTTGACAGTGACTTTCTCGTGCTCCTTCCTGGATATTCTAGTTACCCAATCTTTGCCATCTTGACCAGCATCACTGTTTGCAACACTAGCATCTTTGCCATCTTTCCGTTCCCAAAGTCCAGGAGGATTGTCAGGAACGGGCTCGAATTCAGGGGCTTTGCTGTCTTTCAAAGATTCCTGCCCTTCTTCGGCTTGTTCCAGCCAACTTTGGTACTCTTTCATCTCGTCATAGTTCTGTTGAGCCTGTTCTTCAGACCGACGAAGCTTCTCACGAAGGTCATCGATCTCGCTGTTGGTCTGGTTCTTGATGGCATTGCTCATGCTAGGTGATGGTGGTGGTGGTAGAGCAGGATCATGATTCTTCATTGTAGAAGATGCCTTAGGCGTACCCATAGGTGTTGAAATCGATACTGCAAATGATGGAGTCTTGCCAGTAAGCGCAGTCGTTCTCGGAACTAGGGTCGTAGGAGGCATTGCTGATGATGAAGCTGGTACTGCGGCTCTGGTCGATACCCTGCTCCATGACGCCGGTACCGCACTCATTGTCAGTCTTGCATCGTTGAGTGACTGTTTCAACGAGTCATTCTTCCTAATCACATGGTCACGTTCAGAGCATGCCGATTGATAGAGCTTCTTGTACCTGTCAGCCTCTGCCTCTTCGGCATCGATGAGTGCCTCAGTGAGCTTCGGGTTGCTTTCAACTGCCTCTTGAAGTCGACCGATCTCCATGTTGGCTTTGTGAAGTTCTTCACGTAGTTCTTCATTCACCTTGGCATTGTCTTCATCGCCACCAGCATGGAATCGAGATCCAAGAAGTTCAGCAACTCGTGTTCTCAGCTGATTAGTGGACTCGATCAAAGCCATGTTCTCATCCATGAGTTCATCCTTGACGCGCTCGATGGTGATCTCCCTGTCCTTGAATGCACTGAGTTCGTCATGCTTGAACTGGCGAAACTCGTTCTTCTCATCAATGAACCGATTCGTATACCATTCTCTTGTAGCACTCTCGTTCTCATTCAGTCTCATGAGGCTTCTGATCTCCACCTCGAGCTCGTTGTGCTTCCGGTTATACTCTTCTTCTCTTTCCTGAATCATGTTCCTCATGTCGCGAACCTTCACAATGTGTTCGCGATTCGCGTCATCCCTGATAGCAATGAGATTGTCCTTGTGCGACAAACTAGCAGTCAGTTCGTCGACGGTCGATTGCATCTCCACCAACTGTTCATCACGCACTGCAACAGCTTGTTGGCCATATTCCATGATCATCTCATTGTTGTCAGTCATCATCTGTGATTTCTCTGATAGTTTCAATTTCAATTGCTCCATTTCTTCCTTGCTCGCATTCTCCCTGTCTTGGACATACTGTGTACATGCTTCACGCAGTTGTAGCCCATCTTGACGAAAATGAACAGTCATAGCTTCGGATGTGTCATGTTGTTGACGAATGAGTTGTGATGCGTTCTCTAGTTCAGTGAGATACTTTCCCCTCATCTCCATACTTTCCCGAACAATGTGTGCCGCACCTGCTTCAGCGAGTTGACCACGCTTCTCCAGCTCGATGATCCTCATAGTTGAACCTTCGTCCAGGAGATGCGCCTCAGCCAGTGCGATCGTCTGCTCTTCAAGTACATGCTGTGCATCAATGAGGGAAACTCTCATGAATTCCATCTCGGAGTTGACATGTTCTTGATATTCTTCATGATGTTGATTTGAATAGATCTCCATGTTGCTAATCATCTGATCACGGTGTGCAAGAATATCCTGATAGAGACTTAGTCTGTTTTCCAGTTCAGTCCTTGCCCGTTCGCTCCTCTCCAGCTTCTCGATATTGTGTTGTAGTTGACGTCGAAGACGTGCCTCGCTCTCATTCCTCGTAGCGCTGGTCGATGGCTTGCGTTTGGATGAGGTGGTAGATTTACCTGCCTCATCCTCCCGCGTGGCCGCGCCCGACGGGCTTCGGCCACCGCCATCTTCTGCAATGCGAGATTTTGCACCGCGAGGTGATCTTGCCGATGTTGATCTTCTGGCACTTCCTCCTCGAACTACTTCAGCTTGATTGACCACTGTGAAGCTGCTTGTTGATGCTACACTTCCAGCTGCACGGTAAGACATCGTGCCGCCGCCGCTCTCTTGGGATCCAGGCGTGTCATTGATCGCCTGGGCCGGAGCAGCATTCGCTCCGAAGGAAAAGCTTGTGTCGTTGCTGCTCGACTGGTTCTTCTGCGACATCTTCTTGTTGTCAGTCTGCCTCCGTTTGCTTCAAGACCAATGACTTGTAGTAGGGCAGGAAGACCGGGATGTCGAAGACGTTGAAGATAATGTGGGACCACCGTACGCCCAGAGTGAGCGTACGGCTGATAACCTGTGAAAGGTCTGTGCCTTTTTTGATTGCGTGTAATAGAGGTCTACTAGGAACTTGTAGTCTGCGAAGTTCTCAAATCAAGCGGCTGCTCGGACACTTCTTTTCTCTGCGGGTCGGCGGATCGTAAACTTGAGCCAATGTCGGCAGGGAGACCAATGCTGTACATGAATGCATATGGTTGTCAACTGTGGTTTGCATTCCAATCTCAATAATTATATATAATTATATATAATTATATATATATAAATTATACATACGTATAGATAGAGCTTTCTTGTATTAACTTCTAGCGTTTCTTGTAGCTCTACCTGTCTGCGTATTTGATCACAGCTCTCTGCCTCCGAGTGGACGAACCACGTGGCCGCGTTCGACGCCGGCTGCTGGAGCGGCGTCGCGGCATGTCGGAATGAGCTGGTGATAGCTGGTGATAGCTGGTGGCTTGTCCGCTTTCTACTGCTTTATGAGGTTCAGAACCGACTAAGAAAGCGTACATTGTGCAAATTATGCCGTACATGGCAAGTTTTGTGTGATCCATCTTCACCTGACTCAGTTGACTGCATGCTATCAGATCAAAAAGGCAAAACTGGCGACATTTGAAGAGGAAGCATGTCTGATGGAGACATGATACAAGTAATTGGACATAATTGGTGTGTGTGTGTGCGTCTGAGGGGCCGATTGGCTGATGGGCTGAATGTGAGTCAGCTTGGTCAGCTCAGAGCAAGGTGCTGACCAAGCTGGTTTTCGCAGTTTCTCTGACAAATGGAGTCACAAGTAGACAATAGTAAGTAAACAAACAAAAAGGAACACCGAATAAAACATAGGAAAACATCTTAGAAAGCTTTGAAAGAAAATGAACAGCCTGAATTCCTCTGGCATGTCTCCTATAAGCTTAGCTGCACGCCTTGATGTGGAGAAGGCAAACAGAAAGTGAAGGATGTCACTCGCCAGCGACAGCGGAACAATTCATTTGGAGCAGCCCAGCTCCGTGGCAACTTGGCATCACTTAGCACTACTTCATGACTGTCATGTACTAAACGTACTAAGGCTTCATTGTCTTTGGAACAAAAAAGCCGACTCGCTGACGGAGTCGAAGTGCAAGGACTTGATACATCGCGATGTTGTGTTATGTTGTGTTCAACATCCTTTTCCACGCAGATTCCGGCTGGGAATTCAGTCTCTATCTCCGGCGAAGAACCGCACTCGGTAGACAAAGAACACAAGCACCTGAGACTGTCTGAGACTGGCAGAGTGCAAATGAATGCAAATGCAAATGAAAACTTCACATTGTGATCCACATATATCCACATAGCATCCAGCCAAGTCAAAAGTTATCTGCGAAGCCCGTTCAGCACTGTTCGGCACAACTGCTGCTTGGAAATCATCAATCTCACCAAATAATTCACCGTCAAGACTGGACGTCAAACCTGCAGAATGATGGGAGCTGCTATCAAGGTGAGCTGCAGCCACCGCCTTGAAGGGACAGGTAGGGTTGGAAATATTTGGAAATTATATATGTCAGATATTTCGAGAAGATTCGAAGAGTTCAACCGCATGTTATGCGATGATTCCGATGTCCTGAGGACTTCTGAACTTCTGAGCATCCAACACCTTCACAGAAATTTCGGCCAGCAGGTTTCCCTTCAGAAAGTACAGCGAGAGTCCCATACCTTGACAGAGGGCAAGGGGACCTTCCGTCTCGTAAAATTGTGGAGCAATGTGGAGCAAAAAGCTTGACATAGCTTGACCAATGACTTCGATTCAAGATCTCTGTAACCTCGTGCAATACGAAATTACCGCATCTCTGCACACCGCAGAAGAGGGTTGAAATCGGTTGACACATGTTAAACTCTGTTAACGCTGTTGAACATGTTGAACATGTTGAACTATATACATTGGTAGAATCCTTGACCTTTGCAATTCTGCGAGCCCCAGGATCCCAACCTGCAAGCACAAAAAGCCATCGAAGGAACCCAACGGGAATGATGCACAGTATGGACCTCACGTCGCGGCTGATCCATGCTGATCCACTGGACAAGTTGTCGGTATTTTGCCCAGAAAATGAGTTTGGGACACAGGTATTGCAGGCGCCAAACCATACCTCAGAGATTCACTGTAGATACTGTAGGCACTATAGGCATCTGTAGGCTGTGTATGGCTGTTCCGCAAAACTCATGGCATACAAACCTATACAAAGCATCCAAGCTGTCATCCAAGATGCCCATAGACGCAAATTATGTGCTTGAAGTCAATGTTCGAGACCTACCAGCTCTTGGCCAATGTGGAGGTGTCAAAAAACACACTTTGCAACTTAGCAAAGTCTTTCTGTGGTAGTTGTTGGCCAAATTGGAAAGATCTGGAAAGTAGATGTCCTTGTCTTTGTGATTTATCTCGTTGGAACGTGGGAATCTGCTGAGAGGATTGATATCCTGATAAAGTATGCGACGAGGGCCACATCGCAGTAGCATCATCTTACACTTCCCGCTAGCCTTGTTCATCGGTGATGTGCACTCTGTGCCAACGTTTATGAAGTCGTAAAAAAAGGTGGGTTGTTTTCGTTAGACTATTCTTTCTCACAGCTCACACTCACAGCGTACGTCACTCTCTGCTTCACTTTGCTGTCAAATTCTCAGGGGAATTGTTCAATACTCAAGACCCCCACATTTTACTGTATCTAGTTGACTATCGTTGAAAGTTGAAGGAATGTTCTTGCAGCAAATGGGGATCCTTCAGCAGGCAGCTTGGCGAGCAATTGAAGAGCACGAGTCTAATCTGCAATTTCACTTTGTTGATGGCAGGTTGGCCAGTTTGTAGCTCGTGAACTTGAAGCTATAGCTGGTCTAACTTCCGGTGGTATCAGGACACAACTGCAGAATCATGGCCCCATGGCCATCATGGCCTCCACACAGAGAAAAAAATGATAAAGTCGGCGATGGCTAAAGGCAATTTTCATCAATTTTCAATGTTTACATATGTTTATTAAGACTTATCATTTCAATTTCCCAACAAACACAGAATCAAAAGTCAATGACAACCCACGTACCCACGACCTAGAAGGATAGTCGCAACAGGATTCAATACATGGGGCGCCAAACCAGCACCCACCTAGATAACAACCATGTCGTGTCGAACAATACACTCATTCTCACTATCAACGTGCATCTGTAACAGCATTCGAAATGAGAGATGACCGCTGTTCAATCATATCCTCACTGGACGATACACAAGGTTGCCCACATTGTAGTTACATATGTTGCATTCACTGAAACCGATCCGAAATGTCCGAAGAATTCATCCAATCTCGTTCACTACTGCACGCCAAGGCAATATGAGGTAAGTACGCACCAAAAATCCACCCTCAGCAGAGCGTCAAACAGCATCTTGTTCCAGACTGTGACACCTACGGACCTACTATGAACTACTGCGCATAGCACTTGTGGAGACTATTGTTTCAATTTGTTTCATAGTCATTTGTCCAGTCAAAGTTTCAAATTTCTTATCTCTTTGTCATGTGTTCCTGGCACCGTGTGGTTTTGTGTTTCATCATTTGCTGCGTAGTGAGCCCTCTCCACGTTTTCTTCACCAGTGCAAAAACTACAGCTAGTTCCCGGTGACGATAAAGAAGAGTTCCATGTTTTGCATGTTTCAGGTTTTCGGTCGATAAATAGTGTTGGCTTTAGGTTTGGGGTGAAACTGGCCGATGAACGATGCGTGCGCTACAAAATGCTTACACCCTGATTGTGTGGCAAGCTGCAGCATGGTTAGTGTGCTTGCTAACATTGCACAACATTCCACAATTCCACAACCATGTATTTAAGGCGTTCACAGCACAGCTAAATTCAGATTGGATGCATGAAGGACAACCTCAAATGGCCAAACATTGGCATCTTGGCATCCCATCCCGTCATGGACTGTTTAAATCCACCCCGGCATCGGCGACATCATCACTGTCATTCTTGTCGTCATCGTCAGCAGTGTTAGCATCGTCACCATCGTCACCATCGGACTATCGCTGGTTATGGTCGCCATAACTGTCACAATAAGCATTAGCACAACCATCACCGTCATCATCAAGGCAATCTTCATCATCCTCGAGCCCATCTTGGGGAGGGAGGGCATGCCTTTCCGACTCATTCCGATGAAGCCTATCGGTTGGAGGCAGGGTTCAGGGTGCAGCGGTAGCAGGACCATGCCAAGTAGGACGAGCCGTCCCTGCATCTGTTGCCATAATCCTGCTTGAATCCTCTTTGCAAGCCGCCTCTTCGTCCGTGAAGAATACCGACCTACAATGCCAATGGCAACTTGTCTCGAGTATTCAGGAAGAAAAAATGGAAAGACCATGCACCATACGCGTGCACATTGACAAGCCCCACAAACTGCATTTCAGCACCTAGACTAAACACGTTACATGCCCACTCGGCGTCAGGGTCCTCCTATTTATGCGTTATCCGTTCCCCTACTCTCTAAGACCGTGGCACGCGTGCCAGGAGGGGTACCGCAATCAGGCCCCTTAGCATTGCCACAACGTGCATCCCTGGAGATCTGTGGGCTCTTCTGTTCTAATGCAGGCAACTGAGAAAGATGCCCATAGACAAGAGTGGCAGCCAAGGGCACCAAGCTGTAGTCTGCCTCGACACCACACGTTTGGACCTCTTACTGGAAGCCCAGGAAAAATTGCAATATGGCAGTACCAAACCGACTTTGTAAGCTAGACATTGGATAATTTTCTGATTTTTGCAGATGTTTCGACACCCCCCGAACATGAAATGCACCTTGAAATGGCTCGGGTGCGTTGACTCGATGAGCCTCACAATCCACTTTTGCATGGGCCCGCACTGTCAATCCTCTCATAACCCGTCAAATCCGCATGCACCGAGCGTGCCGATCCCTCTTCCTTGACATGCAAAAATGACCTCCAATAGGCACTAATTAAGACCAAGTATAGGTTGAAAACAGGCACCCCGTAGGCTCAGCATGGGCTTGTTGGCATTGTCTGGAGTCCGTCCTAAATGGTGCTGTTTGGAAAGAGACTTGTACAAGTAAGCAACAAAGGCTCAACATGCGCGTGTTGGTGGCTAAAGTATGTATATATTTTTTTGTTTAATCATATATTATTATATAATATTATATATTATTATATCCAAAGCATTCTAAAGCCTGCCTTTTTGATGTTGGATAATCACATATGTACCTGGATTCTCGTAAATTTTGAAAATACATATGAGTTCAAAGCCGGGAGCAACGATATTTTGCAGTGCTCTCTTGGAAGCAAATATCGAGCGTCTTGTACAATAGAAGCCGTTTATAGATGTTTATAGCAGAAGCACGCGCTAGTAGCCACTATGAAAACTTTTGTAGGAATTCAGGTCACAAGGCTTCACACTGCGGGCGTCAATCGAATGCGTCTACACCTGAGCCCTTTTGCACAAAAGTTTTTCACCTGCCTCAAGCAGGACCACTTGGGCCCAGTAGATTTTGATGCGAGCATGTTGCAGAGCGGCTTGAATAACTGATTCGGTCCATTGCCTTCTGCTTCCTCTGCAGCAATCAGAGTCTTTGAGGATCTTTGAGGAAACTAATTTGCGTATATTTGTGTATATTTATGTTGGGAATTCTCGGAACAGCCTGGCAAAATTTCCAGTGGCTGCGAGGAAGAGAACTGCCGTGGTGGCAACCCAGAAAGGACCTAGGCTGAACAACTTGAGGCTGCCCACTTCTCGCAACAAAAGTCCGACAAAAGGATACAAAAGGTACAACTAAGCCGTCGCACCATAAAAGTCTGGACGTGTTCGAAGTTCCTGCTTCCAGACTAAGCAAACCGAATTCGAATCTGCTTCCTTCACACATCCCTGTGTGCTAGCACAGTTAGATAATCCAACGTGATCTAACTTGGATACGATTCTCGTGCAGGAAAAGTCAGATTGCCGATGGCTGTCCTCTGCTGTGGATCTGTCTTGGCCTCGATAAGGCCTCGCACTGCTATTGTGGCATCCAAATGTTCATTTCTCTTAAGTCTGGTCCCACGTTCTTCTCATAGGTGTTGCATGATTTTGCTTGTTCACATCATGTCCTTGAAATTTGCTTGACCAAGTGACCAAGTGTTTCAAAAAGCATGACATCAGCCGCATGTCTGGGCTCAGCACACAAGCAGCTTGAGTCGACTCACAACATCGTCTGTGCTGACCTCTGCAACGCCCAAGAAAACGTGTTCACTATATTGATGCACATTGGCACATTGGCATGAAAATGATTGTCAAACAAAAAACGATTAAAAAACGAACTGGACCGGCGTAAGCCCTGGACATCGAAAAGACTCTGTGCCAAAAGCAGGATCCAAGAAGAGAAAGAAGTCGCACCGCCTCTGGGAAGATGAATGGGAAGAAACAAACAAAGTCCTTCAAGCAGAGCCTTGGATATCCTTGGATCATGGATCATTCTGGGCTGCGGCATATCAAACTTGAGGCCAAGGCAAGGGACGAAAGGGACGAAAGGGACGAAAGGGACGAAAGGGACGAAAGCTGGGGATGTAAAGGAGAGGAAGGTGCAGTCGAAGAGCGGTGAGGAATTGGGAGACACGACCACGAAGTCTAAGTGGAGAGTAAAAGTTGTAAAAGTTGAGAGTCTGATGATGGTTCTGATATGTTCTGATTGCGACGGTTTGGAATGTTCCAGGGGATTGATCCACGGCAAAACTGCCAAGAAAAACAGGTGGACGGGGGTAGTTCACTGTGAAGTTTCATGTGATTGGCAATTCCATCCTGTGCCAGCTAGCAGAAACTTCCGTAAGAATGGTCTACTCTTGAGTCCATCTGTGTTTTCATCCTGTGTCGCAGCCAAAAATAAAAGTGTTCCATATTTTGCAGTGCGGCTGCGTTGCCTGTGTTGTCTCCTTGTCGTTAGCACCGTTACCGTGTTATTTTTTGGCAGGTGCCTTGTGAGTCGCCACTGGCAGCACTTGCAGCCGCTGCTCCTGCAGCAAATCCAGCAGCAAAGCCTAGGCCACTGCCACCTTCACCGGGCAATGATGGCATCTTCACAGGTACCGAGAACAACGGAGATGTGACGTGGATTTACTGGATCAAAATGATCAAAAGGGATCAAAATTTGACCGTACTTAGCATTTTACTTGCTGTTACCTGCAGCTAGTGTCTTTCCAGGATGTGTAATAACTTGCAAAAAAAAATCCTCTCAAAACAACTGCACCAAGCATGCTGGAGCACCATGCACCTTTTTCGTTTTGAAACTGAAAACCTCAAGGCCTTTTGATGATCATCTGAAATATCTGTACACTTGTAAGGCCGCCTCAAAAGAGCAGTCGCCAAACCATGTTTGCTATGTATAACAAACACTAGGGCACAGCGATGCCGAAAATAGATGAAAATGGTGTGAAACCGACATCCGGACAAGCCGAGGCAACGTTAAAGAATTTCACATGTCCTCGGCAGTGTTTGAAGCCGTTCAAAAGGGAGGAATAAATCATACTTTGCCAGCCGTCAATGATGAATATCGAATCTCAGCAACTTGTTGAAAAGCACAGGTTGCCTATGCCTGTAGTGTCAACGCATTTATGTATACAATAGTATATAACGCAGCGTACGTATATTTACCAGTAGTACTGCACAAGGCGGTGACGGAAGTAGTTTCAAAAATAGGAAACCTATAGGAGAGGTTGGTTGTTGTGAATCACGGATGGCAGAGCGAATCCACTGATGGACCGAAAGGTGGTTGGAGTTGTATTTTTTAGGGTGGTTGCAATGGTTGCAGTGGTCACCTCACCCACAACTGTTGGATGTAGCGTGGCGTAGTCCAGTTGTAGTTGTAGTTGTAGTGGATTTGTAGCTGTGGTGTAGTGTAATTAGTGTAGTGTAGTTGTAGTTGTAAAGTAGTGTAGTGTAATGTAGTGTAATGTAGCGTACTGTAGTGTAATGCAGTGTAATGTAGCGTACTTTAGTGTAGTGTACCGTCGTGCTGTGTACTCTAGTGTAGTATAGTGTAGTGAAATCTAGTGTAGTGTGTGTGTATGTGTGTGTGTGAAGTAGTGTAGTTGTAGTTGTAGTGTAGCGTCGTGTAGTTGTAGTGTAGTGTAGTGTAGTGACATTAGTGTAGTGATGTGTAGATGTAGATGTAGACGTAGACGTAGACGTAGATGTAGATGTAGTAGTTGTAGACCAGTAGTACCAGTAGTACCAGTAGTACCAGTAGTACCAGTAGTACCAGTAGTACCAGTAGTACCAGTAGTACCAGTAGTACCAGTAGTACCAGTAGTACCAGTAGTACCAGTAGTACCAGTAGTACCAGTAGTACCAGTAGTACCAGTAGTAGTAGTAGTAGTAGTAGTAGTAGTAGTAGTGGTAGTGGTAGTAGTAGTACCAGTAGTAGTACCAGTAGTAGTACCAGTAGTAGTACCAGTAGTAGTACCAGTAGTAGTACCAGTAGTAGTACCAGTAGTAGTTCCAGTAGTAGTACCAGCAGTAGTACCAGTAGTAGTACCAGTAGTAGCATCAGTAGTAGTACCAGTAGTAGTACCAGTAGTAGTACCAGTAGTACCAGTAGTAGTACCAGTAGTAGTACCAGTAGTAGTACCAGTAGTAGTACCAGTATTAGTATTAGTATTAGTAGTAGTATTAGTAATAGTATTAGTATTAGTATTAGTATTAGTAGTAGTAGTAGTTGTTGTTGTTGTTGTTGTAGTTCTTGTTGTAGTTGTAGTTGTAGTTGTAGTAGTTGTTGTTGTTGTTGTTGTCGTTGTCGCTGCCGTGTTAGTTCTAGCTGCAATGTAGTGTACTGTAGTTAGCGTAATGTAGTCGTAGTGGCAGTTGCAGTTGTATTTGTACTTGTAGCTGTAGTGGTAGTTGTAGTTGTAGTTGCTTATCTATCACATCTGTGTAAAACCGTGTCTGTGTAAACGCATCTGCGTGTAAAAGCTTGTCTGTGTAAACGCATCCGTCTGCAAAAGCTTCTGTGTTTTCTGTGTAAAAGCTTGTGTGTAAACGCTTCTGTGTGTCAACCCGTCTGTGTGTAAAGATGTCCCTGTGTAAACATGCCTGTATGTAAACATTCTTCTGTCTAAAAACACGTCTGTGTGTAAACGCTCTTCTGTGTAAAAACACGTCGGTGTGTAAAGCTCCTGTGTGTATGTGAAGACTTCTCTGTGTAAAAGCTCTTTCGTGTAAAAGCTTCTGTGTAAAGACTTTTCTGGCAGATGAAAACATCCGTATGCCACTGAAAACTGCAAACATGTAAGTGGAGTTCAAGTAACTGCACTGATACTTAGAACTGTACTGATACTTAGAACATTTCCCAAAGATATGCATGATTGCATGAATTGCGTCAACGCAAAGTAAAGTTCGATCATCAACGTCATTCATGATCACGTATCCTTCATCCTTGCTGATCACAAGTCATCGTCATCAAACATATCTCCTCAGCATCAATCATTCAGCATCAACAACTTCATTCATCAAACATTATCCTTCATCATCATTCATCATCATTCATCAACCAGTTGAATATGAACATCTTCAAGGGCAAAAGAGGGCAAAAGAAGCATGACTGCGTTAACGCGAATGGGAGGTTATGACGCATCATGTTGTTATGTATTAAAAGACTCGTATATAATTATCAAATAATAAGGGTCGGAAGTTGGAACATGAAAATATATGACTAACTTAAATTAAAGATGTGGTGTTTGCCCTGTTTCGGCTTCATTTATTGATTGAAAGCCGTGAAAATTGAATATTTCTGGGGGATATTGAAACCCATGTGTTTTCATGTGAGGTGGCCTCAGCATTGGAGCGGTCGTGTTTTGCACTTCAAGCTGCTTCGAAAGGTCTTTGTGGAAGCATTGCTCTGCAATGGCCCTTCGTCACTGAAACAAAAAATATTGCAAACATTGCTATTCATTTTGAGGATTGGTTGGATGGAACACCTTGTCGGGCACTCGTGTACAGAGCAGGCCTACTCTTTGCACACCAACACCCATCCGTGAGGCTTTTCCAAATGCCTTGCTGGGTGTTGAAATATGAGTGAGGGAAATGTGAAAATGATTGTCTTTATCTAGTTTTGAAACTTTGCACCTAAGCCTCACAGCCGTGTCCGGTGGCTGCGCCTTTACTCAGGCTGGTGATCTCAGCAGATCCTCACAAAAGAAAGTTACCAGGGCAAAGGAGAGCCGCCAGCTTCCTCTTCCTCCTGGTGGCCAGGGTTTTCACCCTCCTCATCACCCTCAGCATGCACTTTTCATCTCTCATCTGACCACATGGCTCCGCACCCGCCGCTTTAGCGAGCCTACTTTTCGACCCTCCCCGGAGCCAAAAATCATTGGAAAAACACAGTGGTTCGCGACTTTCCTACCTTTTCGCGCACCTGCATCTTCTTTCTTCGCACTCTTTCTCTTCTCTGATCTTCTCTCTTCGGCTCTTCTCCTCTCTGACTCTTCCCATCTCTGCTTTTCCCTGTCCATATTGTCTGATGTTTGACTTCTAAACTTCCTTCGAATATGTATTAAAGAACGAGTATCTTCCAGCAGGGAGGCACAACGCAATCGGCTGCACGGTCTGGATCCACCTGGGCGATGCCTTCCAATAGCTTTCGCATTCTCCGACCTGATTTTGAGAAGCAAAAAGTTTCGAATTATGATGCCCAGATTATCAATCAGATTGGCTGACACACTGCCGAACAAAATACAATCTCTTGAAACAAAGCTGCCCTTGGCGTGTCGGAGAAGTAACTCCTTCAAGGCCCAAAAGACACCAAAAGACACCACAATCACCACCACGATGTATAGACCAAACATACCAAACGCCTAAGAATTAAATTGGACATAATTGGGCTTTAGATTGAGAACGCTCAGCATGGTCCTGGTTCGGCTCCAATTTCCAAGCGCCCTGGAAGGACTTTCCAAGGAGAAACAAACCCAAATGCAAGCTGTTGGGTCAAAAAGAGGACAGTTGTTGGCCCGAGTGAATGCTGCAGTTGAGGAGCCTTCTTCACCAACAGCAAGGCGCAGTCCTTCTATGTCCACAAGTTAATCATGGATTTGCGACCTGTTTGCATAAAAATAGTAGAAATAGACAAGTATTCCATAGATTTCTATACTATTCCTTGCTATCAACGCAAATGCCATTTCTGGCGGTCAAAAACTAGCAATACTCCTCGTGGCCAAACTGCACCGCCCACCGCAAAGCAGTCTCTGAATTCAGTTCCTGTGCGTCTCTTTTGGAATTCAACATCATGAATGCGGTATTCCCTATGTGAGCTGCTTTTCCTGTCACAAGTTTTCTTCGGTTCCAGCAAACCCTCGACATCTGACAGCTGAATAGTTTGAATGATACCAAAGGAAATATGGATCTTACATTATCTTACATTACCCGTCTCTGGCGCTCCCTTCAATGATTTCAGCATCGGCGTCAACCACTTGCATACTGAATAGCAGAATAATGTATAATGATATTGAATAATCATGAATAATCATGAACATACTGAATATACTGAATGTTGAAGTCGCATAGCCTTTACAGTACGACAAAGAACAGTTTTCCTGGAAGGGCCTGGTCCACATGACCACCGGCATCAATCAGAGCCTCCACACAAACACGTCAAAATGAAAGCAAGACATGGCACAGATTTGCAAAACGGGTTGAGTGAAGAACATGGGAAACTTGGGTACCTCCAGCATTTCAGGATCTCCCCAGGAGGCTGCTCCAACCATGGCCTGTGAGGTGCGTCATATGCAATTGGCAACAGCTGGCAACACAACAAAAAAGGTGCGTCAAGAACCCAAAAAATGCCACATGGCCCACCATGGCCCGCAGTGGCCCACCTGCATGGTTTTTGATGGATCAGCTCCGTGCTCAAGCAGCACTTTGATGGCGTCAATGTTGCCAGACCTAAGACTAGGACCGCGAGTGGCTGCAAAACCAATGCACAACTACAGAATTACTCCGTAACTACTTCCTTCTGATTCATGCCCCTCAAACAAAAATAAATTAAACGACGAACTATTCTGTGGCAAAGAAGAAAGCAAAACGGTTCAGGTTGGACGAGCTCAAACGATTTGATACTGTTTGCATCTATTTGCACTTTTGAGAGGTGGCTCGTGGTGGAACTGCTTGCAACATGACGGCTGCGGAAGTATGGAACACATTGGACCGAATTCAATTGCAACTCATGTACTGTATGTACTCCAATAATCTCCACAACACTTTCGTTTCATTGAGAAAAAAAACAGGCTGTTTTGGCCTCGCAGAATGGAGTGTGTGTAGTTGCTGTGAGGACGGTCCAGCTCGGTCCAGGGAGATTCGCAGGCTTTGGTCCGGGGTCGGATGTGTCGGTCTATAGAGAACGATGTATGGCACATGTATGGGCTATGCTTGAAGTTGTGAAGGTGTTATTGCCCACATGCATGCTTGTTGCTGTTGTACTCACGGCTCATGCACGCTACCTTAAAAACAAAGGAATAGGGAAGTAACGAAAGGGTTGAAAAATGTTGAGAAAGGGAACAAAGCCTCCCTTGGCATCTTTGCTCCCTGGACTCCATGGCATCCTTTCATTTGGTTTCCAACATTTTCATACATTTTCCAACGTCTGTTGACTCGGCAACTCCGTTTATCTCCTGTCCGAAACTTCCACTGTTCCCATAGTCAGGGCTGCAGCCAAGCGCATGAGTCTAGCGTGTAGTACCCATCCTGACAAGGCGGTCGATTCCCGATGCTACCACAATGGCCATAATGATCCATAAAGTGCACATCCATTGCGGTGTGATGCAGTGCCTGTGGTCGGGGCTCGTTGAAGTCAACACCATCCTTGCAAACCGAGCCAAATGTGCGCTGTCCAAGGTACTCCGAATCTGGTGAAACAATTGTATGATGGTGTATACATGTGTATGCTGTATACTGGATGCATGCTGCATGTCGTGTGAATGAACTCGCGTCCTTTGCCAGCTTCTCTAGCATCTTCACATCATTATTGCAGGCAGCTGCGTGAACCTGCAGAGTGCTCCACTGGATAGGATTGTGAAATCATGTGAAATCTATTACGTGAAGTTCGGAGTAAAAACTGGTGTGAAAGGTGTGGCAATGAGGCTGAGAGTGTTGTTTCACACGTTCATCAGGGTTCACCATCAATTCTGTGGCCGAGCCTTCAGTGAATCGGTAAGCTCTGCATAAGGATCCTCTGCTGACAGCAATGCAGCAATGGGTCAATCTTCGTCAGTTCCGGCTATTCTTTCACATTCTTTCAGCCACCTGGGTCACCTGAGTACCCACTTGTGACCAATCTCTTCCTCGCCTTCTTGACACTCTCCTCCCCCTGACGGTAGCTTGAACGGGTATGAACGGTTCAGAGTCAGAATTCATGCAAACTCTGCTCAAAATCTGCTGCGGTGTCGAGGCCTTGAGCTTCCTGGTCAAGTATCGAAACATGACTGATGGCGCAGGTTAAGCACGCATATGACCGCAGGTCTGTATCAATTTTCAATCCATTGGATCTTGTTGTAGGCTCAAGTTGCAGGTTTGTTCGCTGTTACGGTTAAAATTCGAAGCTTGTGACTTCATGCTGTTCCTGCTGCTTCTCAACTGCATCTCAAATGCTTCTGAAATGCTCTGCAACATTGACATGTCCGGTCTTGGCATCCTCTGATGTTTTCTGCCATTCTGTGTCAGCAAGCTTGAGCAAATAGAAAGGGGAGAAGTGTCCATTGCACACGGTGTTCGTCCATGGAACTTGATCCATTTGATCCCATTGACAAACAAATCCTGTGGGAAAATCACGGAAGATCTCCACAGATCTCTTGCCTTGGCTTTGTGGCAGACTGGCTGACGGCGCGCTTGTGGCAATGCTGGAGACGCTGGAGCCTTCACGGGTGTTCGACGGAGAAAGGCAAAGGGGCAAAGGGCTTGAAACCCAGTGACAGACTTTAAATTGCATGCTAAGGCTGCTAAGGTCTCACGTGTCTCTTCACATTATATAATCTTGAAAGCATGAATTTTTGAATATCATGATTAGATTGATCTGCCGCTGAGAGTCAGAGGATATATGCAGATATGCGAAGCATTGCGAAGCTATGATGGGTTTTCCCATAGTGTGTACTGCACACACAGCAGAGTGTGATCAGTTGCCCAGGAACTCATGTCACCCCTGGCATCTTTCAGCGAGACCAACTCGGACGTGCCAGGCCCCGTAGCCGCCGTTGCCTGTGCAAACTATATGGACTATGCAGTTCAAAGTGACGTAACGCTGCGGATGTGACAAGAACAAAACCTTCGCCCTGAACAGAAGATATGGCGGTTATATAGTTATATGACAGTTATATGATGTTATATGACAGTTGTGACGAAGCGATGTTCTGGGCAAAGCCGGGCAAAGCGGGTGCTCTGAAACCCAGACCACTCCCATGAAGAGGTCATCCAGCTCCTGGCACTTTCACATCACGCATCGCATCTTGGATCTTGCCTTGCAAACACGCGCTTACTTGATTTTACTTGCCTAGATCATCGTAGATCTCACTAGATCTTCATCGTGGTTTGAGCATAGTTAAGGTGGGAGAAAAAAAAGGCTTTGTACATGAGCTGTCCTCTGGTACAATGGATAGTATACAACACTCGTTGAGCTTTTCAGATTTGAATTCAGAATCCCTTCCTGGCTCTTGGAAGCTGTTGCGCGAGGGACCTGTCATGACAACCAGCCCTTTAAAAAGGCACTGCATCAAACATGTCGCATCAGCTTCCAGGGCACCTCCAAATCTGCTGCGCTTGGCTTGTAGGTGAATACCTGAGAAGGCCTTCCCACTTCAGACACCCTGGGGATCCTTCATGGTATTATCTTGAGCACCAAAGGAGACATGTTGCGAGATTCTAACCAAAAAGGATCAAAAAGGTATGAGCTGTGACTGTCGTAACGGCTGCACACCAGAATCTGGGTCAACTACATCCGAAGTGTTGAGACTTGAGCGAGGCGCCTTTGTGAAGGAACGTTCCATCAAGAGCTGTGGCTGAAATGTCCATAGCTTCTCAAACCAGCAACAGGAGTCAAACATGTATGCAAGAGTAAGGAAGCACCAAAATATCCAACTCATCAAAAAATGGATAGCCTGGAAAGCAGCCCGCCTCATCCCAACTTGGACGTTCCCACTGCGTCTTGTTTGTTGATACCTATCTACAGCATGCTCAAGTTTTTCTGTATCGACTTCACACGGGTGATAGAATGTCGGAAGGACATTGAATCAGAAAACTGTCCCACAGTGTCCCACATTTATTTCCAGATTCAGCTACGACCTCTACATGGAGCTCTCGCTCGGCTTCTGGCATTGTGAAAATACTCCTTTCCATCATCCGTGGTATACCTGATTGGCTTCAAACGACAAGTGAAAGTTACAAGTAGCATCAAGTAGCACAAATTCAACAGCTTTGGAGCAAATCTGCCAAATTCTGACACACCTCTCCCAGCTTGGCGGCAGTGCCATGCTCCAGGCCGCTCTGGGACGGAATGCTGTCAACAGTGCTTGTTGCATCTTCCTGCTTGGAAGGTATGGCAGAAATCTGATTCCCAAGGTTTTGTATCATTCCGATGCTTCAAAATCGTGTCACAAGCTATTTGCCTTGGACTTCAAGTCAAGCAACTGGCTCAGCCAATTGAACAAGCTTTCCCGATCTTTGGTAGAGAGTTGAGAGCTTGGAAAGATGCGTAGAGGTTGCATGAATCGTACATTTGGGTTTCTGAATCGTACATTTTGGTTTCTGAATCGTGATTTTTTGGTTTCTGAAGCGGGCGAACCAACAAGTATTCTTCGGAAACCAGTGATTATTCGGAAACCAAAAACCATTCTTCGGTAACCAATGATTATTCGGAAACCAAAAGGTCTTCTTCGGAAACCAAAAACGATTCTTCGGAAACCAAAAAGTCTAGATAGGAAACCAAAACATGCAACATAGTGGTCAGAGGCAGGGGTTTTGATCTCTTGTGAAGTTCAAGATGCAACATAGCAGTCAGAGGGGGTGGCGGGGTTTAGATCTCTTGTGAAGTTCAAGATGCAACATAGTGGTCAGAGGGGGTGGCGGGGTTTAGATCTCTTGTGAAGTTCAAGATGCAACATAGTGGTCAGAGGCAGGGTTTTGATCTCTTGTGAAGTTCAAGGTGCAACATAGTGGTCAGAGGGGGTGGCGGGGTTTTGATCTCTTGTGAAGTTCAAGATCCAACATAGTGGTCAGAGGGGGCGGTGGGGTTTTGATCTCTTGTGAAGTTCAAGGTGCAACATAGTGGTCAGAGGCGGTGGCGGGGTTTAGATCTCTTGTGAAGTTCAAGATGCAACATAGTGGTCAGAGGGGGCGGAGGGGTTTTGATCTCTTGTGAAGTTCAAGGTGCAACATAGTGGTCAGAGGGGGTGGCGGGGTTTAGATCTCTTGTGAAGTTCAAGATGCAACATAGTGGTCAGAGGGGTCAGAGGGGGTGGCAGGGTTTGGATCTCTTGTGAAGTTCAAGATGCAACATAGCGGTCAGAGGGGGTGGTGGGGTTTTGATCTCTTGTGAAGTTCAACATGCAACATAGTGGTCAGAGGGGGCGGTGGGGTTTTGATCTCTTGTGAAGTCCAAGATGCAACATAATGGTCAGAGGAGGTGGCCGGGTTTTGATCTCTTGTGAAGTTCAAGATGCAACATAGCGGTCAGAGGGGTCAGAGGGGGTGGTGGGCTTTGATCTCTTGTGAAGTTCAACATGCAACATAGTGGTCAGAGGGGGCGGTGGGGTTTTGATCTCTTGTGAAGTTCAATATGCAACATAGCGGTCAGAGGGGGTGGCGGGGTCTTATCTCCTGTGAAGTTCAAGGTGCAGCATAGTGGTCAGAGGGGGTGGCGGGGTTTAGATCTCTTTTGAAGTTCAAGGTGCAACATAGTGGTCAGAGCGGGGTTTAGATCTCTTGTGAAGTTCAAGATGCGACATAGTGGTCAGAGGGGGTGGCAGGGTTTTGATCTCTTGTGAAGTTCAAAATGCAACATAGCGGTCAGAGGGGGTGGCAGGGTTTTGATCTCTTGTGAAGTTCAAGGTGCAACATAGTGGTCAGAGGGGGTGGCGGGGTTTTGATCTCTTGTGAAGTCCAAGATGCGACATAGTGGTCAGAGGAGGTGGCGGGGTTTTGATCTCTTGTGAAGTTCAACATGCAACATAGCGGTCAAGGGGGGTGGCGGGGTTTTGATCTCTTGTGAAGTTCAAGGTGCAGCATAGTGGTCAGAGGGGGTGGCGGGGTTTAGATCTCTTGTGAAGTTCAAGGTGCAACATAGTGGTCAGAGGGGGTGGCGGGGTTTAGATCTCTTGTGAAGTTCAAGATGCGACATAGCGGTCAGAGGAGGTGGCCGGGTTTTGATCTCTTGTGAAGTTCAAGATGCAACATAGCGGTCAGACGGGGTGGCGGGGTTCTGATCTCTTGTGAAGTTCAACATGCAACATAGTGGTCAGATGTGGTCAGAGGGGGTGGCAGCCATGTTTTGGTTTCTAAATCGTAAATTGTGGTTTCTGAATCGTACATTTTGGTTTCTGAATCGTACGTTTTGGTTTCTGAATTGCGTTTTTTTGTTTCTGAACCGGTACATTTTGGTTCTGAAACGCTTCAGTTTTGGTTGCTGAATCGGTCATTTTGGTTTCTGAATCGTTTTGGTTTCTGAATCGCACATTTTGGTTTCTGAATCGTGATTTTTTGGTTTCTGAAGCGGGCGACGATCCTTAGGGTGGGCATTCAAAGCTATTCTGCTGAGGTGGAAATTGAATTGCAAAGGCAGCACAGTTCGCTCCTTTTACCAAGCATACCATGTCTATCCATGTCTCATGTCCTGCGCATGTTGCCATCCTCACGCATGCTTAGACACAACTGGCCCCTGGGCGTAGCTCCCTACGTTCGCTGAAGTTTTGTGATGATATCTTTGGACGTGAGATCATCGCGAGACATTGAGCTTGGGTGAGACTTCAAAGGCTAAAGTTGTATCGACAGCTTGCACCTTAGGTGCAGAGTTCCTGGTATTGCCTCTTTGCACCTTTCAGCTGAAACAGGAGTCAAGGTTTTAATCCGCTATCTTTCAAGCGAATTTAATCTATCTACCTTTACTTTTTCACATTTTTTGGACTTCTTGAGTTGTCAACAAATATTGAATCATCGAGTCTGTTTTGAAAAACCAAGGATCTGAATGGTCTTCACAAAGCCGAAGGGTACAATAGTGCGGTATACAATGGTATACGGTGCTGCTTCTGAAAAATTGAAAAATATCCACTGAGCCATCGTCGTGAGGCCAAAACAGTCCATCACAGAAAAAACGGTAAATCATGCTGTAAACTCAAAATAGTTCATCTCAATGGCGTTCAATTTTAAAAATGTTGTGTGAATCTCACAAAGCAGCAGAATGTCACGACGGTTTGGCCTCAAGACTAGGGTTCTTCGCTCACCTTGGCCCTCTGGCATAACAGGATATGATATAACATGATGGGGCTTGGTTTGGGGTTGGTCAAGCTGATCGACGCGGAAACTCTGCTCGGCTTTCGTTTGGGCTTCCACCAGGAGGACATAAGCCGTGGCACTCAGTTGGTGTTGCCCCAATTGACAAACCTGAGTGCCAGTGTGTGTGTGTGTGCCAACATACCCTACGGATCCCTACGGATTTAGTACGGTCCAAAAAAACATCTCATGAAAATTGTTCCAAACTGGGCTTGGTGTCCCTGCTTGCCATCCTTCCAGTAGCTTTTTCGCCCTGTTCCCTGCAGTTTGCACTCTCATTGAGAGAATCATAGGCACACAAGGATGTGCACAGAACTCAAAATGTATCATGTGCAGGCCAAAGAAAAAATGGCAAGGACGTACACATAAACTCTTTCCGAAATCATCCCAATAGGTCCAAATGATCCGTGCTGATTGGTTCCAGCCTTTGAGGTTGTCACCACTCCCATGCCGTGCTGCTTTCCATTCGCCTCAAGGATCTGCAATGCAACATGATGCAGCTCGATATATATATATATATATTTATTTATGTTTATTTATTTATGTTTATTTATTTATTTATTTATTTATTTATATAATAATTTATATAGATATATATTATATGTATATATATATAATTGCATCTGCCGTGTTCCCATGAGGCTCAAGCCCACTGACCTTCGTAAGTTCGCCCGTCCTTGGTGTCTGGTGTAGCTGACAATGTATTGAAATCGTCGTGGCCAAGTGACATTTGATGTGCAACCGAGCTTGCGACGGGCCAGGTGAGCGTGCCTTCTCCCTCCTGGTTTGCCAAACCCCAGAAAGAAACGCGTACTGCCGCATACTGTCATACTATGTCATACTGCCACTGCAATCCACTGTATGCTTCTGAGAGTATAAGGTCTCCCGTTACACATCGTTACACACTCACATCATCACATCTCGCATGTTTCTATTCATCATTTGCTCCCTGGCTGATACCCCCTTGAAAGCAGCTACATGGCAGCCAAAGCTGGGCATGGGCATTCTTACAGAACAGACATTTGCCAGCAGTGTAGAACAGCTTGAGCTACACTTGACATCCCTTGACTTTCCAATTTCCTGCAGTCTCTTTCCACACCAGATCCAACCCTTTCGAGGTGTCAGACTTGGGCGCCCACTTTCTTCCCGTGGCTAAACTCACCCTGCAAGACACCGAATTCACTGGAACAAAGACAGAAATGAACAACGGGGCATGAACTGGGACGAACTGGGCAGAGAGCTGACTGCTCTGTGCCCACCTCGAATATCCGGCCATCTGGCCATCTCATTGTGCCAGAGCCATGCCTCAGAAGCACCCTCTCAGCGATCCACATGACCCACTCACTCGTGTGAGTCGTCAAACTTAAAGGCGCTGCTTGGATCTGCTTAGACACCGCCACTACCACTGCTGAGAAGCTGCTGTCTTCTGCGACCTATCTGAACAACTATCTCAACAACTTGATGCAACTCCCCATAAGCCAGATGCATTTGGTTCTCCATCCAGTCGCCATTGAATTGCCGGCCATCTGCCCACACATAACGACCTGCACGAATGGCTGGTGTTGGATTACGAAGAACAAGTCAGCCAATCTTCAGCAAAGCAAGTGCATCGTGCCTTCACCATGCATGTCATTGTTCTGGAAGTTTCCCTTGGGCTTCAGAATGTGGAACACACCGCAATCCATCACAAACAGTACGAACGCAAGCATTCTGCGCTTTCCTCCGAGAGCGCAGCCTCGTACATGCAGCCCTCGCCCCACATGAATTTACCATGTCCGTGCTTCCTGGCTGACTGAGGACTTTTGGAATGGAGGTAGCTAGCTGCCCCTGAAGGACAACAAACTGACAAGTCGGCGGTTGCTCCAAGAAGCAGGAAAGCAAGAAAGTTGGAGGCACTGTATATAGTTGGAAGATAAATCGTAGTGCACTCTTGCTTTCTTGAATCTCCCACTGGCACAGACTAAAAGGGTTTGTCTTGCGTCAGGTGGTTACACAGAAAGGACAATCTCCGGGTGCTCTCCCTATGGACATCCCGATGATTCTTTAACTACTCTCGAATTAGAAAGTGTCCGTCCTGCCATCCTTGAAGGAGCCGGTGAAGATCGATCCATCTCCCCATCTCTCAATGCCTTGACCATCCTGACCAATTGGAAATGTCCATCGCGATCAATCGTCATCACATGTCATCATTGTGATATGGAGATATCAGCAACCTTTGACAAACTTTGTGCAATCATTGCAAACATGTGGATTTTCTCATCGTGAATTTGATTGCAACAGCTCCTGCAAGTCGTTTGCCCAGTCTCCCTCATATGTGGAGGCCTGCAAGCATGGCAATAGCCAGCAGCCACTTGAAAGATCTTGAAAGTTGGCTTTCCGTTGGTTTACCAGGACATTTGAGATAGTTTGACTAACTTGACTACCTGAAATTTCAACACTTGGGGCCTATCACTGCAAAATCATGAATGTGGTTTTGACATGTTTTGACATGTTTTGACAAGGTCCAATCTCGTGGAGCCCAATTTTCAATGCGATTGAGCTGGAGCCGTTGTTGAATTCACGAATCACGCCCCACAGAGCTCCAGTCGCACAAGTCGCACAAGTCGCCTCGGCCAAGGTGCTACCATCACAGATCAATCTTCCCTTGCCATCCTTCATGTCCTGCGTCCATTGGAAAGGCAAACAAGGCAAGGGATGGCGAAAGGATGGTGAAAGGGGCAGGGACATCATGTCACTTTCGATTCAGCTCTGAAATGTGCCTCTTTGTACTCGCCTTCGTACACTGCGCCATTTGCGTATGTGTACCTTCAAGCAAAGTGGATGGTGCAAGCCAATTGATCCCAGGAAAAATTGAGTTCAAGTTATTTCTGGATTGAAGAACATCTTTTGCAGCACTTCTTCTCAAATCATGTGCGCACTTTGCGACACCGTGCTTTTTGCCGTCTTTAAATTGGCCCTCGTAGACAGCACCGTCAGGCATGGTCAGTGTCCCCTGACAATACAAAGCTGACTGGACTGACTGAAGGCTAATAACACTGCTGCGCGTTGGTCTATCTCAGTTTTTCCAAACTGAACGACACTTTTCCGGTGCGGGAGCAGAACATAGCCTGGCCTCTCCATTGAAGAGGCCATCTCGACACTGTCCCTGATAGACCTCAGTCTTTGGGTAGGAGTCCACTGCACCAACCACGCATTGAAAATGTGAATTGCAAACTGAACTTCGAGATACTTGACGTCAAATGAGGTCACTGCGGAGCCATCCTCCAACTGTCTTCTGACATCCTGAACGCCACAAAAATCGGTTGCCGGAATATAAGTGACAATTGGAATGAGAGTACACTCAGGAGCCTCCAGAACGGATCCGTCAGTGTCCTTGCGTCATGAACAGCATGCTCAAGCAAAGAGCTGGATTGCAAAATGGATCAAAATGGTACATCTTTGGCATCTATGGTTTGAGTTTGGTGTTCTAGATTTGGTGCTTCAATTTCAAGATTTGGAAGCCATGTCTTTGGGGCCCCATTTCGAGAAAGAGTAAGGCAAATACAGTTGGACTAGGTTGGATCACTAGTCTTCAGCTCCTGTGGAGGGCTTGCTGCCTTATCGCCAGGTCGGCCTTGCACAAGTCTCAATTCCAATAAAACGAAATGCGAAACGGTAAGATGTTTGAAAATAGATATGAAATATAAAATAATATAAATACATGATATGAATGTGTTGAAGCATGTTGAAGCCAGTGTAGTATGAAATGAGAAACTGAAAACAAATGAAAACAACATTAAAATGATTGAACAATATTGAACATGTATAACAACTAGCCCTTGCCAAGTGGCCCAATGGCAGTGATGCCCTGCCTGGAGCCGGATCCCGAGGATTCAAAGGGCTGGTACCATCCTGGCAGACCAGGCAGATCAGGGAATCTTTTTGGCCATGTGCAAAATGAGGCAAGGGATAGTAAGTCGGCAAAGTGACAATCGCTTGCTGCTGCGTACAGGCTTCATCTTCCATCATCTTCCATCATCTTCCATCATCTTTCATCCAATAGGAAGCACTGCTAAGCACTGTTCAATCATGCTGCCATGTCATGGAGCTAAAGCTACGGCTTTCAAAGTTGACCAATGCAATTCACAAATCAAATTCCAGAGTAAAAATATAGCATTGTATTATAGTAAAATATCGTACAACAATCAAGGACACTGAACTCTCCACAAGTTCGATCAAAGCACCTCTGCTCCAGGAACCAGAGTTACCTCAGCAAGTTTTGAATCGGGGAGCTGAAGCCTCGGCTTGGGACCTCTTCCCCAAACTCAAGCGCCACTCTCGCCGATGCTTTCAAGGCACTACGGGTGGCTTTCCAGCGCCGCATTTGCCATTCTGCGGAACAGCACATTCGGAAAGTAGCTTGGCGTCTGAAGCTTGCAAATTTTGAAGATACCTTCCCCGCCTGCTTTACGAAATATTACGAAACTATACGAACTCAACACAGCACACACAACTTGGACAATTCATGATACGCATAGAATGTATGGGTTAAGGCGGTTAAGGCACCTCGCCAGAACAATTGCAGGCCCCCATTTTTGCTGCACGCCTTGAGTTGTTGCCAATGAATTCAATGACAAGACATCAGTCTGGGACAAGTCTCCAAGTTTACATCCAGTGCTGAGATTGGAACAGCAGCCCTCAGCAGGGGCTACATCTCCATATCTTCATGCCCACGAAGCTACACTCAGCAACACTTGGCTAAAAGCTGCAAAGCATATCCCAATTCAGTTCGGCACCTCGACCTAGAGTTGCTTTCTTTGCCTCCAACTGTTCCCCTCTTTCCACTTCTCTGCATCGTATCTAGCATTTTGCTTTTGTGCCCTGCCAGTTGTTGGATAGTGATTGTCACGTTAAAGTTTGCTGTCAAGAACCTCCCCCGCACCTTCCTCCTTACTCTCTGGATAATAATGCTCTAATGATGGCACAACGAGATCTACATCTCCGATTTGTTTCACACTCTCATCTCTGCTCTGATGTCGGCGTTCTGATGCTCTCTGCACTCTCTGCCAATCTTTGGCAGTGACTCCGTAGAAGCTTACATATCTGACATTGAAAATCAGTGAAACGAATTGAAACGTAAGATAATTCTAGATACTTCAAATGGCTTTGGCGTCGCAAGACTGATGGTCAGAGCTTCCCGATCAGTAGGCACCGGCACCTCGAGGTAGGGGAAACTATGAAAAAGTAGAGAACGACGAATCGAACGATATTGAATGCCAAGTGATGCCAATTGTTCTTTAATATCATTCAAAGTCATTCAATTCAATCTCATTCTTAATCTGCCCGCCTGCGAAAGCGTTGGGGTTGTGAAGTGGGTAGTCCTTGCCAGCGCTGGCTGGTATCTGGTTCACTAACCAAAATAGAGCAGGCAAAACACCGTTTCTTCGATGCAGTTTGCATGTTGACTGTCTGTCTGACGTTGGCGTCAACCCATAATTGGACGTTTGAGCGCATGAAACTGGGCCCTGCCATCTCAGCCTGTATTTCTGTATTACATGCCTCTCTGCAGTGGCCTCGTAGTAGTCATCCTCTTCCTCCTCTCCCTCATCCTCAGGAGATAGTCCGAAGGGTTCTGTTCCAGTCGTTATCGCGGAAGGGTGCATTATGCCTTATGATCTGATGCATTTGATATCCGTATCGTTAGAAGCGGAGAGCTGGAGTCTGCTTTGGGTTTGGGATTACCTCCTGCGAATCATATCTGAAGATCTGGATCCTATTCGGCTGAAGTCCAAGTCATACATTTCACTGCGACTTGCAGCATTAAAAAGTATAAATTTTGCTGAGGCCATCACGTATTCCGATTCATCCTCAAACGATCTCAAATGACTCCGGTTGCTTGTGTAGCAGTGTAGTATTTTCACAGTGCTGGGACACTGCTACACTGTGCCTTCTGTGATCTGTTGTGCAATCCAAGCTACATCGATCTCGGACAGGTTGAGGGCAGGAACTGAGGACCTTGCCCACCACACAAAGTTTCTTCGGAGCTACCCATCGGGGCGCATTGGCACATCGAACTACATTGATACATCATGATACATCCAAACACCCGTTGAAACTGAGCCTCAGCACGGCCTGTCGGGCGGAGGCCGTCGCATTTTTGCCTCAAACTTTCATGTATCTTCTTTCAGATCACTGTCAAAATATTGCAAATATTCTTCTCAGGCTGAGTGGATTATAGGGACACAGTGAATCCGAAAACGCAAGAACCGACTTGCAACAAGCGCAAGAACCGCACTGCTAGCGGCTCTGGAGAAGACCACACTGACAAGCTTGTTGCAGCCTGCGGAGGCGACCGTGCAGTGGAACCCTTCATCTGGATGAAACTTTCGCTGGAATCATCTGCAATCTGCAATCCATGATCTGATTCATCTCACAGGCCCGGCCGCCACTGGGAGCGGTTCCGACTGCGCGCTGGCCACCTGAGGCACTCAGCTGCTCCTGCTTACTGGCCACAGTGATTTTACTAATTAATCATGTGGTAGTTTCATGTAGTTTCCATGCAAAAGCCTCAGCACAGGCCCTGACAGGTCTTCGCTTAAGCTGCCCATGGCAGCGTCGCAAGAGCTCGCGCAGCCTACAGCTGGAGTAGGTCAGAAATGCTGGATGCAACACAGTCTGCGCAGGCGTCACCATGCCATGCCACTTCTTACAAAACATTCACAAAAAGATTGATTGTCACTGATTGTCTATGTTGTCCTGGCCAGAACCGCCACTGAGTTGGATAGAAAGCTCAATAGAACAGCTGTGGAAAGGCAAGCTGCAAGCTGCTCGCTAAGGACTTGACGCCAGATTTTCTTGCTCCAGCTGTCGAACCTACGAAGGGTATCGAAGGGTTCGGCATGGTTTAATCACAACAAGCGACAAATCTCACCACAATCCCAAGCGCACACCCATGGCCATGATCTGATGACAACAGCTGCAAAACCCATTGCACTCTTGTCTGCGTGATTTCCTATTTTGGACGAGGGGGTTCAGGTTGGGTGATTGTCCTGTAAACTTGATCACAAATGATCATATACAATAGTTTATGAATGAGATTTGGATCATGAGCAAAATCGTGGCCACAACCGACCCTGCCAAAAATTGAAGAATGGGACACACATCTTTGCATCTGCATGCCATGGACGGGATTCTTCCTGCAATTTAAAAGGACTATTGAGGATAAGTAAGAGATTGGACAAGCCTTCGGCATGCGATACATGGTTATACATTGTGTACTTTGTGGTCTATCCCAAAGTCAGTAGTCATATCCCTTATGTGGATAGCTTGTTGGAAGACACGTTTGCCCTGCAGAGTGCAAATATACTGTAGATATTGATGTGCCGTCGAATTTTGGGCAACTTTCTTACTTTCGGTAAACAATCTGCACTCATAGTTGACTTTTGGGGACCTTTTGCAATGCCTGAATTCGAGCACCAAGAAGTTGTATCTTCCAATTTTTTTACAGAAATTAACAGGCAATGACCAAATCAAACAAGGTCTCTTTGATGAGGTCTCCCAGCTCTCAGCCATATCATGCCATATCTGATCTTTTGGCGGTGAGTTTGGAGCCCACCTTCTGAGGTGGAAGCGGACCTGACAGAGTCTTGCAGTACATAAGTACAGTACACTCCAACAATTCAGGATATGTAAAAAAAAAATCTAGTCAGGATATAGTCTGGATATGCTGGAAGAGTCTGGGAACAAGCCGCTCAAGGGCCCCGCTGCTGTTTGCCCTTGCGGTGTCACCTTGGCATTTGATATCCAGTTGTCCTGTTGGTCATCACTTCTAGCCGCTTGGCCGCGGAATGACACAGCAAACCCCTAACGCAGACTGAGGATTCGGCAGTCATTGGTGTCGGTGCCATCCTCAATCCAGGGCCTTCAATGCAACAGATTCTCCACTCATCCTCCATTCAATTCATCCTCCATTCAATGTTTCATGTCTGATATCATGATATCATGATGTTTGATGCAACCACCTCCTGATGGCATCCACTGCAATCTCTGCTGGAGATGCCTCCCGTTCCAGAATGGCTGCCAGTCTACTGTAGTAAGCCTCAAATTCATATCCAGCATTACTTATCCCTGCGCTCACTAGGACAAGCCTCGGAAAAAACCTCAGGAGCGCAAGCGTCAAGCAGTCTTTCCACAAATCTGCAACACAAGATGGTCTGAACCAAAGGACACCAAAGACATCATATACAATATAGTCGTGGTTGATGGATCAAACAGAAAACGTCCCAAGTCACAGGCTGTGGGTACTGGCTGCTCTGTCGACTTGTAGCTAGCCTCCGAACATACAAATATTGATATCATCAAGTACGAAAGGAAAGGGTCACAAGCAGTGCCAATCGACATACCGATCGAGACCGTTTCGTTGTGCTTTGATACACCGAACTCTTTCTGGAAGCATTTCAAGTACAACAGGCTACATGATTGCTCGACAACAAAACAAAGCAAAACATTACCACTTGCGCACCAACAAAACAACTTCAAACCAGCCAATGGAGAGGTAGAACTCATTTAGGGTAGGCCGGTAGGCCGGTTGTGTAAGCCTTAATCTCCTTCAAGATCGTGCCAAAGAATTCATCAGTACCTCACAAGCCAAAAAGGAACCAATTTTTGATGCCATACTGTGCTGCACCATGCTGCACCCTGATCAAATCCTGTTGCATGTTTTTGGAAAGGAAACAATTTGCATCCAGCCAAACGCAGCTTGAAAGTGTCAGTCACAGTAGTTTAGTCTGCTCTATGTCTGCAAACTGAGAAACTTGGGATCCCAAACGCATGATTTCCTCGAAAACACACTTGTCTCCTGCAATGCCAAAGAACAACCTCTTGGTCGTCTCATAAGGCTGGTCAATTCAATGTCATGCAATGATATTCGGTATCAGGATCCACCAATATCTGTATCTATCAATACCGAGCGCCGCCTAGCCCGACCGACCAAAGTCACCATAATTTACGGTGTTTCGTGTGTGCGCGTGTGAGGTCACAAAAGCATCGTGTTTTACGGTGTTTCGTAGCCTCGGCCGATCCCAATTTTTTGGCTGGCAAAAGTTAAAAAAAAGTAGTTTTTACGTGGTTTTTGCGTCCGCGGAGGGGTCCGGGAAGGAAAAATTGGCATCTTGGAGGTCTTTCGATAGAGATGATCTCACATACCGCGAACCTAGCCTCAACATAGACCCCAAGATGGGCCAACATGGGGCCAACATGGGCCAACATAGGGCCAAGACAGGGCCAACATGGGCCAAGATAGGCTAATAGGGCCAACATAGAGCCGACATAGGGCAACATAGGCCCAACCTCGGCCCAAGATAGGCCCAAGATGGGCCCAACCTGGCCCAACATGGACCCAAGGGCGGCCCTTTAATCTGGTATGGTCTGAGATATCGCCAACATAGCCTCAACATGAGCGCAGCATGGTCCCTACACTGACTTCAGGCCGTTTCTCTGCCGGCGCCCGGCTGTCAGGCGTAAGCCCTCTTTGAAACGTCTCATGACTTCGCCGGCCTTGCAACTTCTCCTGGCTAGGCCTTTTCCCTTGTCTGGCATCCAAGCCTAGCATGTTGGGCTCAGTCTGCAAGCGCAGCATTCCCAGCATTCCTAGCATGCCTGCGGATGGAGCTTCGACGGTCACCTGCAGTGAGCAAAAGTCACCGCACTTCAGAGTCCAAGATCTGCAAAGATTGTTTTAAAGGATTTAAAGGGCCCAAGCAAAAGCAGATGTTAAAATCATGCAAAAAAATCGTAGAGGGGCTGAGCTTGTTTGTTGCGAACCTCTGGTCGAATTGCCGGCCGGAGGCAGGGTGCTGAGTGTCCTGAAAGCACATGCAAATCATCAGTGATATGGAATCAACCACTGTTGGCTGACAACTGCTGCCTGCTGAAAGAGCTCGCTTTGGAGGGCTCTGATTTCTCGCTTGTGCTGCAGCTGCCATGTGTGCGATACGCCCTCGACCCACCAGTCTACCTGACACAGGGCAGCTTTATGCAGCTTTCCCTCGCAGCAGCTTGCTCAAAAATATGCAAGAATCACATAGAATCACGAAGTGTATCTAAAATTATCTAAATGATGTCTTGAAATGTCTTGAATCTTGTTCGGTGCCTTGCTTGGCATGACATGGCATAGCATTGCCTATGTGGTGGCTGTGGCCAAGCGAAGAGGTCGGTCTTTGTATTTGTGGAGTTGAGTGTTTCACGGCGACCATGGCAGCAGCAAAACCCTGAGCGTTGGAAGCGAATGCAGATAAAGGCAGAAGTGAATTTGATGGCAGCCCTGGCAGCACACATCTTCCAGGCCACCTGTGATGCCAACTTTGTAGCAGCAGCTGACTGCGGTCTCGTCCTGCATAATGTGGATACGATTTCTGACGACATGCTCAAAAATTGTAAATGTCTTTTGTATTCTTTTGTTGTGCTTTCTTGCAAGTCCGATGATCAGAAGATGCCATGCTCGTTAAACAGCTGTTGCATCATGCAATGTCAAGCAGTTGTTGTCCTCGCTGGATATGTGGCCGTTGGCATTGATCCAGAGAGTCCGACCGGCACAGCGGATACAGGGCGAATTCTGGCTTGACTTGGCTTGCTGCCGCTGCCATCCATCTTGTCGCTGTTCTCAACCTTGTCATCCGGGACCTGTCACAAGAGCGGGACAAACACGTGGAGTCCGTTGGATCTTTCACGATGACAGTCATCGCCGTCGCCCTAACAGATGGCAGGTGTTCTCCTCATGCCACGATCTCTGATCCAAAAGAGACCATCAACATGCTTCTTTCAGTCACCCTGTGCTAGTTTGCTCCTCGACTCTACTTTTCTCCCTTCCAGACGCTGGTGACCTACTGGTCATCAAAGATAATTTGAAAAAACGGTATGCTCTATAGTAAGATATCTTAAAGGAAAACAATGGAAAATCGAGTTGCGTGGAATCATCGGTAGAATTATGGAGTAGCTATGCATTACGGACAAATACTCATGGTATTGAAATGGTATTGACATCTACTGATGTCCCGTGTCTGCAGGTTCAGGCCTCAACCGCACGACGCACCAATGTAGCAGCTTGGGAAGCGGAGCTGGGACGTGATACAGGGCGCATGGTCAAAGTCGTTCCAAACCGCAGTGTCCTCAGAGAAATCTGACAACATCTGAGAATTGTTTGCAGAACGGATAGGATGTCATGGTGTGTGAGTGTGATGGAAGTTGTTACCAGCTCTACATCTGACATTTGCAACTGAACTCAGAGAGCCTGTCATTCTGTCTTCATCCTAAGGCTCCCACGCCGCCTGCATTTTCTGAGGCATAATGTTGCCACAACTTGCGCTCAGGAATGAACCTTCCCAAAGTTTGCTGATGTTTGCTGCAAGGGCGGGTCTACTTGAGTCTGCTTGGCACAAAAGCAGAGACATTCGATCGTCATCCCTTTGAGTTGTTCTCATGATGAGTCCAAGCAAGAACAAGAATGTGCATTCTTGTCAGGTCTTGTTTGGAGCAAAGTCCAGTAATTTTTGTCAAGCTGTCCTAGCGGTCCTAGCGGTCGTAGCATCGGATTAGCATCGAATGTGTTTTCCGTCCAATTGCAGCTGGCTTGGGCCATCGGGCCATTGGGGTTCATTCATGTTGGTTCATGTTGGTTCTACCTCCTTGAGGTACCTGGCAGTACCTGGCAGTACCTGGTACCCCTCCCTCCAAAACCGGCAGCGATTGCTCGCCTCTTCCAGCTCCAGGCTTCCGTCCAAAGCCTGGAGGAGCCATGGCCTTTTTGGGGCGAAAGCACTGCACGCGCTGACAGTTTTTGTTGGATCTTGTGCACTACTGAAAAGTATATTCCAAATTATTCCAGATTATATATTCCAATATATTCCACAATTCAACAGTCAACAATAGACAACAGCCATAAATCGGCTTTATTGTGTTTTCTGACGTGGGAAGGAATGGACGGAGAAGTTGTGCTGCTGCCTCTGCAAATTTAGGAGATTACAGTTAATTATCTGAAAAGCATTTAGATGAAACAGGCTTGCAGGGCTGAGAAATGGCTGCTATACTAAGCCTGAGCATGCAAATCAATGGATTCATGCAAACCAAGCGTTTCTCTTGACAACGCCGAGGTTTGGCAAGCGATGCTGGCCTTTTTTGGCATACTTAATACTGATTCCAGCGATGCCCCACAAACGATGGACTTGACAGTCTCCCCCAGACTGATGCCATCTGACGCCATCTGTACATTGACATGTACTCCCAATATCTCCCAATGACATGTTGGCTTAGTGCAAGCCAAAGTGTCAACCCACTTGAGGCAAGGACCGCTTGAAAGCCTTGATCCCCACACTCCACGCGGTGAAACAAAGAGCAGTTTGACTGCAAGTCAAACCTCCTATCTTGGGTGCTCTTTTTGGAACACTGCCTGCTCTGGCAAGTGCATTGAGCAGCTACGCTTGGAGTCACACTCTGAAACTCACGTTCGGCGAATCTTCGAAGCTGGGCTACCGCTGGCCTGGCATGCGCGAAGCGGACAGAATGAAACCGGTCCGAGAACCACATGGTGTGAAGCATCTAACAACGGTGGATGAAGAAAAGACTCGCTTTAGCAGGATCCAATAGACCCACAAACACAACTCCGGTTTCCAGACCTGAAATCAGGCATTTGTAGAAAATATATGATGATTGAAGGGAGTGTTTATTTAATGCGTCTCTCTGTGATGTGTATGTAGATCAATCTAAAACCAGGGTTTCGGGAGTACGTTTATCAAGGCTGGTTGGCACAAAAAAATGTTCAGAAAAGCTGCCATTGGTGTGGCAGGCTGTCGAGCTCCGTTCGCAGCCTCTCCAAGCAGACAGGGCAAGTCAAAAATCCAAGGCGGAACTCTTCGGACATACCCATCTACAATCATCTATATTACTATGACTATGTATATATGTATATACATATATATATATATATACGTATTACCAAATCTATATATTACTATTGTATATTATATATATACATAGATTACATAGAGTAATAACATTGCATAATTTACAGTAGATACAGAATGATAGTGACATTTGTGTACACACACATGATGAGCTGCCTGGTTGGGCCGCTTTCGCAAGAACGGATTGGACTGCACCCGGGGAGCTGCCACCTGCCAATCAAATCGGTGGAAGTCGAATCTCAAAGCTCGACTGCGCATCCGACCGGTCTGACCTCAGCCTCTTTCTGCAGCTTTTCTCCAGTTTTTGCAGGTGAGGCAGCCGAGGCAGCCGAGGTCGCTGACTTTGTCTCGGCTCTTGCCGCAGCATCCACGGCTGGTGCGCTTGGTGCACTTGGTGCGCTTGGTGCGCTTGGTGCGCTTGGTGCGCTTGGTGGCTCTGCAGTTGACCTGGCAAAGGGTCAATGCGTAAGTGGTTTTGTTGCTACCCATTCAGCATGGAAATGTTTCTTTGAATGCTCAAGTGGCTTGTTGCATCTTGCTGCATTTTGTTCTTGTTGCCCTGTGAATCACTTGGCAGGCGCACAATGTCGGAGTCTTGGCATCCGTCTGCTTTCCTGTGCAATATCAAAGTCACTCAAGGCATTAGATTTCAGCTCAACATATGTACGATTGAGCATCCAGTGTCTTTGGCCAAGGGCATGCGCCTTCTATCTTTATTTCTCTGCCGTGTTTGCGATGTACTGGCAGGCACGCAACACTCCACGTGCGCTTTCCCTTCACACTTAAGAGTCACCTAGCAGTGCTTATGTAACTTAGCAGACTTTGCCACGGAAGTTGCAGGGAAATTGCAGGTGCGGATAGGTGCAGCTAAGATTCCCTCAAACTCTCCAGGCCGAAACAGAGGTGGAGCTGATGGAGCTGCTGGAGCTGCTGGAGCTGGTGGAACTCCAAGGCTCTCCATCCTGCTTAAAAAACCACCGTTGCAGTTGCAATCCGTTGACCATGCAGAATCTTGTCATCGTTTGTGAGGGGTTGAACACCAGGGGAATGCATACATAATGCGACATGGTACTGCATCAAGGGTCGGCTGCACTGAAGCTGCATTTAGATTGACAATGAATGATCCATGCCTCTTGTTACAGAGCGAAGTAATCTCATCAGCCAGCTTGTATTGCTTAGCGCTCTCGGCAAGTTTGCACGCCATTTCCAACACCTGGAGACGGGCTTTGCATCAAATCAATCTCAGCACTAAAGGACTCAAAGGTTTCAGTTCGGTAATGAGTAGTACAAATAGGCCTTTGAGTCAAACCAAGTTTCGGCACAGAATCACTGCGTCAAGCATCTTCAATAGCACCCAACAGCACACAATTGCTTGCCCATAGAGAGAGAGAGAGTTTGTCTGTTCCAAATCTGAGTGTTGCAACGTCCAAAAGATTGGATCAGTCCAATCCCATTTTGCATATCAGCTGAGTGTCTGATTTGTTGAACTGCACAAGATGTGTCTGTACTCTGTATGATAACAAAATAAATACATACTGATACAATATACCGCTATGATCAGCTATGCTATGTACAAATCTCCACCATCAAGGAGTGGCAGAGTCCTGAAGCTCCTGCTTGTGCTCGAGAATCTTCTGCCGTTCTTGAAGGAACTCACGTGCCATTTGGTCTTCGCCAGCTTTCAAAGACTTTTCAGCTTTTCTGTACAACTCCTTCGCTTGTTTATCCAAGGCTTTCAACTTCTCCTCTTGCCGCTGTACCCGTCTTTCTTCACCTTCCATCATTCTCTGAAGGCTGGCTTGAGACTTTGATCGAGCCTCAAGAAACTCACGGGCTGAAGTTTCGTCGCCTTGTTTCAAAGCCTCCTCAGCTTTGACGTAAAGATCATCAATCTGTGCTTTCAGCTTCTTCTGTTTATCTGCCACACTGTCACGAAGCCGCTGCAGTTCATCAGTGAATCCCACCGGCTGTGGTGCGTGTGGTGGGAGTTCCGAGGTGCTCGCACTGGAATGATCAAAGTCTGACTCTTTGGTCTCCTTTGTCGCTGACGGAAGCGGTTCCTTTGCTGTTGGTCTGGGAGGATTTGGAGGTCTTGTTTCAGCAGCCTTCTTTGGGACTTTGGTTACTTTGGTTGCCTCTGTATCAGCTTCCAGGTCTTGTGTGGCTTTGCTCTTGCCCTTTGGAGAGTTCTCCGCGTCTTCGGTCTCGTCTACCTCCAAGGCGTCCAATGCATCATTCAAGACCGGACCGATTTTTGAAGCCACCTGTGAGCCAACTACAGCCCCCAAAGGACCAGCGATCATGCCCCCGATCACAGCACCACCAACACCTGCAGTTCCTTCCGCTTTCTTCTCCTCAAACCACTTCTGCACACCTGTCGGGCCTTTGTCATCTTTGCCTTTGGCACGCCTCCTCGTTAAAGCCACGAGAGGCAGTAAGGCAGTGGCAGCGCTGGTTTTGCAGACACCAAACGCTGTACTCCGTGGCTGGAATTTCTCTGCCCTGTGTTGTTTTGGAACTCCATTCAGCGGTCTCAGCGTTGACGGCGGCAAGGAATGCCAAACAAGGCCAGCCATCGGGGCAGTGTGTTGGAAAAAAATCAACGCTAGTCTTCTACACACAAAAGGTTTTTGATGCTCTTTGAGAATGACATGAATCTTGAATCTATGCACCGCTGAAAATCGGACCCCCAATGGACAAAACTGAGACAAATGTGTGGTTTATATGATTTTATATATAACTCGTAGCTGAAAACTGTTGGTGTATCAATCAATACAGCCAACAAAGTTCAAGAGTGCGATGCACACTTCTCATTCATTCAGTGTAAGGTAGGCAGTGCCCCCATCTTGCAAAGCAGCATTCAGTGTTGCTTTACCCATGTCACAGAGAGCAACTCGGCTCTTGCTAAACATGCCAAATGACATGGAAAAGATGCCGGCCATCCAGAAAATAGAACTCGCGGACTTTGGGGATTGGTCTGGTTGACAATAGCACACGCTAATGTAAACAACATACTAGAAAGTTTAGAGACGTGCTCCAAAACAGTATTGCGCCTTGCGTTTGTGTATGATATGGTATCATGATGCGATATCGTGGTATGATTCGGTATGATCCTTTTTTAGGGCGCACAACTTTTACAAGTACTGTTGTTCTGAAGCCATGACATGTTTGCCCACGCAGGCAAAGATTCCAATTTGCAGCCTTGTCCCCACCGTTCACCTTTGCCAAATAGAACCTTCTGGAGGTGATGGTGGCAGACAACTCAAGCAATGAGCTCAAAATGTCCAAAGCGTGCATCAAACAGGTCTCTAAAGTGCAAGTAAGATCCCTGCTGAGCCACGTGATGAGCACCTCACAAAGTTGGAGTTGTGATGGTTTTCGTTTGAGAAATTTCATCAAGATCGCATAGCTGTCAAATTCCGGGGATTGAGCTCCATGCGTTCTACCTCCCCGGATTTTGCGAAGTGAGTGAACAGCTTGAGAACAGATGTTTTGTATTTCTTCTCCACGGTCTCTACCTTGCAACTGAAAACATAGAGACGGATACCCAACATTGTAAAGGTGTCTCTCGCGGGCCAGTGGAAACAAAAAAAAATGACCTTGAAACCTTCAGCCAAGCGGCTCTGGAGGAATCTTGCAAGTTGGACGTCAGCAAAGCCTCTAAGCACATGTTGTTCACACACAAAGATATCAGAACTCAAGCCAAATATAGCCAAATTCCGACAAACTCATGGAAAATGCATGGGAATGAATCAAGGTCAGCAATGCGAAGATGCATCATGCTCCAATTGTGCTCAAAAGACTGGCATAAGCGCACTGCAATCTGCCTGAATTTTCTACTCAAATCGTGTAAGTGGCCTCACCTGCTGGTGTCGTAGCAACAACTGCTCCTGGAAGGTAAACTCAATGGCTTCTCCGCCAGAAGGGAATGCACCAAGTGGCATAAACCAAGGGATCGCCCTCGTCGGCTTTAAGCCTCGCCACAAGATCCCCTCCTCCGCAGCACAAACCTTTTTCCAAGGCAAACCTTTTTCCAACATACGGTAACAGCAGATGCAGAGCAGGTGAATGCTGCAAAGATTCTAACCAAAGTCTAATCTTTCTTGATTCTTCCTTGACTTTCTCATCTCAAACTCTCTGCATTCTCTGAGAGGACCTCCCGCCTTCACCTTGCTAATTCCAGATTTGGGTATCAAATGGATTCAAAATGCTATCAACCTGAACTTGTTGGAGACTTGACTCAGGACAACAGTGATTGGCCTCCAAATCCAAACTCTGCAGCTGCAGTATGGACTTCTCCAGCGATGACCTACCAACAGTTTGAACATCTCAAGTTGCTCAAGACTTCCAGTATAGATCGGGTATGACCAGGTTCACTTTTTGACGATCCATACACCACGGCTCAGCCGGGCAACCCAGCGATCAAGAAAGTCTAGTGTACCGCGTATTTCTACAACGATTGAGTCACTTTGTTCTTGTTTTGCCGACATGTTTCCTACAGGCAGGCAAGCAAATATTGCTCGAAAAAAAAATACACCCCCGTAGACCCCAAACAGTTATTCCATATCCATTGCAGCGTCTGTGTCTGTGTGCATGTTTATGCTTATACTAGCTCCTGACGCTGGCAATGTTTGATCCATGTCAAATGAGAACAGCATGAATCACAAGCAACATTTTCTGATGCCACGCGGTGTCGAATTTTGTGCCACGCTATATATTTGTATCTGAGACAATAAAAGGGAAACAAGGTACGAGTAGGAGTGACAAGTGATAAACAAGTGGTAAAACGTAAAAAAGTAATTTAAAAATCCTCTCAACTACTATCCCCAGACCCTAGGAAACTTCATTGTAGACCCTGGATCTAGGGTCTAAAGTGGGGTCTGGAATGTAAATACCTAGGTGATTCCAGAAACATAACGGAACCATGCTAGACCTTACCTAGGGGTCCGGGAACTTGCACATAACACAGCTATGATACTGGAAGGCTCAGAGAGGTAACTTCACTTTAGACCCCTGGGCCCGGCATCTCCGGCAGTAAGCCTAACATCAAAGCTTGAAGTACCTTCCCTCAGGAGCATATCTCCTATATTTTCTTATTTAAGGGTTATATTGTGGTTATTTCGAGACTATATTGATTTAGTATTAGTCTATTTGTTTTACATGCAGATGGAATTCAAATTAACAATTTTTGGGTTATACAATAAACATGAATAAATATTTGTCACACTCTGGTGCCTTAAGATTTCCTAACACAGGGGGTAAGTTTAAAAAACCTGATTTTTCTCGACTCGAGTAAAACCAACTTACCCCAGAGTTATCCTGAACTGTGTCTACCCACAACTTTGAATAAACCAATCCCAAATATCCAAATCTTGCCATTCGACCATTCCACCGAGGGCAGTTTGAAAAAGCTCTGATTAACACGACGCATCCTGACAGCTTCCATTGCAAAATGCTCGCCTTGCATTTTTTCCGCCAGATAGAATTATTTCCACCTTCGAGGTATTTTGGGGTTGGATGTGTAATTATGTGATGTGACCCAATATGTTTTTCTTATCTTTTCCTCATCTTCATGGGTCTGAAATGGTTTACCACATCCTGAAACCAGAAATATTCACCACAAATGCTATGGGAACATCATTTCAGACCCATCAAGATGGACCATTCCCAACTATACAGAAGAGAAACCATCACCATCAACATATCAGAAAGAATGTCAGAAGATATGCCAGATAGAATGTCAGAAGATATGCCAGATAGAATACCAGAAGATATGCCAGATAGAATGTCAGAAGATATGCCAGATAGAATGTCAGATAGAATGCTAGAAGATTTGGCAGATAGAATACCAGATAGAATGTCAGAAGATATGCCAGATAAATTGTATTTTCATCTTCATGGGTCTGAAATGGTTTACCACATTCTGAAATCAGAAACATTCACCACAAATGCTATGGGAACATCATTTCAGACCCATCAAGATGGACCATTCCCAACTACACAGAAGAGAAACCATCACCATCAACAAAGATATCAATGATATGTGTTAATACCAATGGGTATTTGATTTGGAATCATTCCAACCTTCCAGGTATTTTGGGGTTGGATGTGTAATTATGTGATGTGACCCAATATGTTTTTCTTATCTTTTCCTCATCTTCATGGGTCTGAAAAGGTTTACCACATCCTGAAACCAGAAATATTCACCACAAATGCTATGGGAACATCATTTCAGACCCATCAAGATGGACCATTCCCAACTATACAGAAGAGAAACCATCACCATCAACAAAGATATCAATGATATGTGTTAATACCAATGGGTATTTGATTTGGATTCATCCCAACCTTCCAGGTATTTTGGGGTTGGATGTGTAATTATGTGATGTGACCCAATATGTTTTTCTTATCTTTTCCTCATCTTCATGGGTCTGAAATGGTTTACCACATCCTGAAACCAGAAATATTCACCACAAATGCTATGGGAACATCATTTCAGACCCATCAAGATGGACCATTCCCAGCTATACAGAAGAGAAACCATCACCATCAACATATCAGAAAGAATGTCAGAAGATATGCCAGATAGAATGTCAGAAGATATGCCAGATAGAAAACCAGAAGATATGCCAGATAGAATGTCAGAAGATATGCCAGATAAATTATCTTTTCCTCATCTTCATGGGTCTGAAATGGTTTACCACATCCTGAAACCAGAAATATTCACCACAAATGCTATGGGAACATCATTTCAGACCCATCAAGATGGATCATTCCCAACTACACAGAAGAGAAACCATCACCATCAACAAAGATATCAATGATATGTGTTGATACCAATGAGTACTTGATTTGGAATCATTTCCCAATATGTTATTATGCGATTCGCAAGCATTCATCAAATATGTTATTCGTTTATTTGTGTAATTATGCACCATTATGAACCATTACAATCCATTACATAAAAAATAACATCGCCATTTTACCATCATCTTGTGACAACAAGATTGCGCCTTATGTCTCCACTGGTTGTGGTTGATTGATGTTGGTTGTGGTTGCTTGGTATGCGTTTGGCAACCTTTATTAAGGTTCCAAGGATGCAAAGGGTCTAAGATGAAGTTCCCTATGCAAAAGCCAAAAGGTCTAGAATGGATTTCCCTCATGATAGTAAGGGTCTAACATGGTAGGAGGCAAAAGGTCTACAATGATTTTCAGACCATCTTAGACCTTCCATCTTGGGAGCCCTAGGCAAACCATCTTAGACCCTCTAGTAGTTGAGGGGATATTTAAAATGAGTTTCCTCTTGAAACAACAAGAAGACGCAAAGGGAGTAAAGAACAGAGACAACCACGAAACACGAATGAAATCATGATACTAGAACCGGACACCGCCACTAACGCAGACATATGATTGGAGACAGATGACTTCGGAGACAGATGAAGTAAGAGACAGATGGTGAGGGACAAATGATGGAAGACACACAAAGGTAAACAGGCGATAAAGCCGGACACCACCACTAAGGCAGACCGCTGATTCGAGACAAATTAATTGGGAGACATTTGGGAGACAAATAAATTGGGAGACACATGGCGAGAGATACCTAATGAGAGACCAGTGAAACAAAGAAAAGACATCCGAAGAGCCGGATACCACTAGACAGAGTGGGAGACAAATGAAGGGAGACAAGTGAAGAGACACGTCCAAAGAGCCGGACACCAACCAGGCTGGGAGACAAATAAAGGGAAACAAGTAAAAATGATACATCCAGAGAGCCGAACAGCACTGGCCAAACTGGGAGACAAATGAATTGCCATTGGGAGACATCCGGAGAGCGAGACACCACCAGCCAAACAACGGAGACAAATGAATCGGGAGACATCCGGAGAGCCGGACACCACCAGGGAGACAAATGAGTTGCCAGACTGGGAGACAAATTGGAGACATCCGGAAAGCCGGACACCACCACCTGGAAAGAGCCGGACACCTTTTAAGAAAGAATTGAGAACCCCAACAGTAAACTGTTTCGGGGAAAAAAACTGCATTATGACACATGCTGGCAGATGTGTGTGTGTGTGATTTTCCATGATTTTCCGACAAATATGATGGTGTTACTGCCCGGTAAATGGCCTTGGCATGTGGTGGACAGGGCTCTGTTTCCACTTCAACTACCACCAGGCCATTGCTTGTGGCGTTGACGGCCCACAGCTCACATTCCTGGAGACACTCAGAGACATCAAAAAGGCAGGGGTTGTCCACTGAATTTGGCCGGAGGAAAACGGAACATACCTTTAAACACAACTGAGCACTTGGCATACACAGGAACACGGAAACCCGTTCCCAAGTTTCAACTGCTCTGAAAACACAATACTCTGTCATTGCTATCAATTAGTGCTATCAAGGATCTTCAGTGTCCAACGAAAGCAATTGTGTCCACTCACCACCCAAGTGGTGGGAGCCCCAGTTTCCAGCACCCGCGCCCAGCAAAGCGCGAACAACTCCCATAGTGTCTGGCATCAAGTCAAATCAAGAAAAGCCGACTTGACAGAAAAACACAAAGGAACTGCACCATTATAAATTATAAATTATAACTATAACTATACACACAACTCTTGACCATGATGAATCCATATGAATCCACCGGTTTTTTGGAACTTGAAGACCACATTAAGACACAAACACACATACAACACTCATCAACACTCAAGGAAACACAGAGGTAACACGGAAAAGAAATGAGACCGCCGAGATCTCGCCAAGTCGCCAATCGCCACCGGCACCATCTCTTCAGTGAAGCCCACCCAGCGGAGGAGCGCTCCCTCGCTGAGGGGCAAATGCCCGGCACTGCGCTCGGACCTGCAACGGCTGCGGAACAAAATCGCTCACCATCTCACACCTGACCCATCGGTCTGAACTATCTTCACATGAGCAGTGCTCACAACCCCTGTGGTCCCATCATACTACTTGGGTAAGAGGATTTCCCGATTGTGACAATCTCAATAGTGTAAACCCATATAGTCACCAATTAACAGAGGTGTTGAACACTGTTCATGTGAACTTCATCTCTTCACATCACATTGTGACATGATACATCATGACTCGTGCATCCGTGACATACTCAATCTCGCCACCAGGCCTGGACTTGGTATCAAGCAAGCGAAACTCTAACTCATCCTGGGAGGAAAACAGGAGGCTTGTGCTGGTCCTCCTTGTCTGCTCTTTGATTATGTCTTCGTTCTGACTCTTTCATACTCTTCCTAGGTCTTCTGAGCTTCTGTGGGTTTTTCCAGTTGTAGAAGCAAATGGACAAGTGGCAGAGGGATATAAAACTAGAGCTTGGTTGTGACAATCAACTCACTGCCGTCCCCTCTGTGAGGTGGAAGGTAGAAGAGCTCGGTTGTGACAACATGGTAGTCTTGCGGGCCAACAGGGGCAATGCTGAAAGCTGACTGTGAGTCTCCTCCTCACCACCTGGCACACGCGTGACCACCAAAAGCAATGATCCGCGCGCTGACAGAGCAACACTTTGCCCAGGCCTCGGATAAACATATACTATGCACGATACTTTCAACATCTTTCAACATCTTTTCTTGCATTATTTTCCAAGATTTACCAAATCCAAGCCCCTAGAACTTTCAACTTGATAGAGGATATTCAAATTTATTCAAGGCAAAAAATGTTGAGATTCTCGAGGGTTGACCGAGAATTTCAGCATGATGGCTACACATCGCGATGATCAAAAGCAAAGCTGAGGATGGTGCATGCTCAAAAGCCCCAGAGGCAAGCCGCTGAAGGTGTACCTAGGTGACTGGATGCTGCTGAATGGCCTTAAATAATATCCTTAAATGGCCTCAAGTCGGATGCCAAGTGCAGGGCAGGCGAAGTAAGCGGCTGGACGTCAATACCTGGAATGTAGTAGAACATCTATCAAATAGGGAAAATGTGCAATGATACAGGATCTATGATCCTAGTTTGACAATTTAGTGGTCGCTGCACAGGAGATCATTCTACGTCGTTCTGCATCATTCCATCATTCCATCATTTCTGAGCCCAGCACAGCAACAAAGTCTTGGCCTGATGCAATGGCTTCTGGACTCTCATTGCTGTGGCCCAATGGAGCAGAGAAGACAGCCTCCCAAAACGGGATCGACATGACATGACCAACATGGATCAGCACATTCACACTGGAAGCCCAAGCAGTGGCGTCTCCAAGCAGTGGCTGGCCTTCTCCCAACGTTGCGTGGGCCGGAGTTGTATCCGTGCCCTGGGCGAAAATCGTTGGAATCTGCAAGCTTTTCAGCCAATGCCAATGAATGCAAAGCATTTTATGGAAGAGTTCCAGCAAAGCAGGAACTGCACCCAGTTGGAGAACTGCTTGTTGAAGCCAGGATAACCACACCTGATCCAATGAAAAGGGGCTCGCAAAGAGGCCAATCATCTACGATATGGAGCTACATACATGTGTGCGGATGTATAATACGTGTGCGTAACGACGTATAACCTCTGAAATCGTCGCGGGTCTTTTGAGACTGCTGTCCAAATAGAGTGACAGCAGGGATTCACGAGCATACATAATCCATTTCACCTCAGTTGTACCCATTTGCCGGCTGGGCAAAGGCCTTCCGATACAGCCGCAAGCTGCAAGCTATCGTAGTCCTTGATCACCTGTGCGGCAACCATACATTTTAGGTCTTCAATGGCCTTCATACTTGAGAAATCCGCATCCACTGTCTCAATCATTCTCACCATGCAAAGCTTGGACACCTGGGACTTCTCCTCCCCATTGCGGTGAATCTGTGCGGGGCAAAATCAAGAAATGTAGAGATGCAGAGAACCCAAAGTGATTCCATAAAGTTGCAGCTTGAAATGTTGAAAGTTTGAACTATGATCCAACTAGTGGCACTGCATGGCATTGCTATACCTTGCTATACATTGCTTCGCATTGCTTGCACCAATGACGGCAATGGCGGCCTCCACACGAAGCAAGTCCGGATAGCTGGCTACATGGCCATACTCCTGGATCAACAAGACGGTGTTGCAGCAAAAAATCAAAAGGATCAACAGATCAACGGACCTCGCTAAGGATCCAGCATTCCAAACCAAGAACTTGGGGCATGCTTGCGTCCGCGGTGTACCCTCAGAGAGCAAATGTTCCAAGAGTGGTCCAAGCTTTCTTCACTTCTGTGAGTGAATCATGACATCTCACAACATCTCACAACATCTCGTACTTGCACATCTCACAGCAAGCCTCCAATTGTTGCCAAGCACCTTCGAGCTTGACTGCCTCCTGCCAAAGGAATGAAATCCGGTCTGTTACTATCACAATCACAACTAAAGCAACTAAATACTGCTTGCATCTGCGTACTGTGATGAATCACAAAGTTGCTGAATGAATGCAGTCATCCATTTGAACGTGAGCTAAACTGTCAAAGCAAAGCTTCTTCAAAGCTCCAGATCTATCAATAGCTTCCACCAATCACCACATCTGTCACCCCAAGTCAGAGTCACCGAGTCACCCCATCTCCTTTCCATCCTGTGACAGCCCATCGTCTTCGTCGGGTTCCTCGGGTTCCTCGGGTTCCTCTTTCAACTCAGGCTGCTCCAACTGCTCCAACTGCTCCGATTGCTCTGGCCCTTTCACCTACGCGACAGCAGCTTTCATCAGTTGCTCTAGTTGCTCTCAGTTTTCACTACGGAAGTTTGTCATAGCCGGAACATGCCGGAACTTCAAGCAAAGCCTTTCTCTGAAGACTTCTGGTTTTGTGAGGTTTTGTGAGTTTTAAAGTGTATTAAAGTCCAATGTTTTCTATGCAAAAACGTCATCATCAAAACCGTCTTCCATATTGAAGACAAAACTATGGAAGTCCTGCAAAGACTTCCATAACATAAAACAATATAAAACAATATAAAACATAAGAACACCAATGACCTATCGGTGCCCATTGTTGGTTTGTGCTCTCAACCTTGTGAGTCCGGCTGCATTCCCTGAAAACACTGCCTGTGCTTCAGGGGGCGCATCTGCTTCCTCTTCCATGTCCTGGCAAGTCCACCAGAGCAACGTCAACTTTTCAACTTGAAAAGAACATCAATTCGATCAATTCGATCAATTCGATCAATTTAATGTGCAGTCCTTCGCTGAGATCCGTGGCCGGTATCCCCATACATCTACACTGGTCTAAACTGAGCAATGCCCAAAGATGCAGCATTGACCACTCAGCTGTTCCGGTGTCTGTTCAGGTAGAAAAAGGATTGAGTGAACAGCAAAGAATTGGACAGCTTTTAAGAGGTTGCTCAACGAAGGGACCACTTTGCATCTGGACGAAATCTAAAAGAGTTCATTCATTGTGTGGGATGTTGATACGATTTCGAGATGCGGAAGCTACATGGCTGCCTTTTTCCTGCATATTAGATGCCAAATAGGTCGGACGGTCAGCGTCGCAAAACCGCACACGTCAACTTCGCCTCTCACGTGCCTCAACCTCAGGTTTGGTCAGGCAAGACATTCAGCAAGTCCATCTCCCTCACTTTATTTAGCAAACGAATACATATTGTTCTGGAGAAGAAAGATAGGCCATGCATCTGAAGTTCAGCAGCCTACAAGGCTTACAAGCAACAAGTAACGAGGAACAGAGATTGTTACAAGGTGACCATAGAACACCCTGTCCGATGATCTTAAATCTGAAGCAGAAGTACGCATCAAATGATCTTGCAGCAATAATCCAGGACCCTCGCCGTATTGACCAAACCTTTACGATCGGAATCCCTGCAGCACAGGATGAAATTGTGCCATTACAAAGACTTCCAAGGCCGTCTCTGTCTGAAAAGGCTAAACTGTTTAAGTATGTTCGCTGCAAACCCTACGTTTGACTGTGCCGGAAGTCAACTGAACGCGAAATGATCACGATCGTCATCATGAATATCAGCATCACCATCACCATCACCATCATCATCATCATATCATCATATCATCATCATCATCATCATCATCATCATCGTCATCGTCATCGTCATCGTCATCATCATCATGGTGACCCTCATGAACCCCGGGGGATTCGATCACTGATGAAGATAAGTGGAAGCTAATAAACCGTTCAACATATTTGTTCATTTGTTCAGAGGGGTGGGGAATTTGATCCCTTATGAAGATAAGTGGAAGTCAATAAGCCATTCAGCATATTTGTTCAGAGGGGTCGGGAATTTGATCCTTATGAAGATAAGTAGAAGTTAATAAACATTTATTTGTTCAGAGGGGGTGGGGGATTTGATCCCTTATGAAGATTAGATTCCCCTAGTATGACTCAGGTACTTGACTGTTTGTCTTTGTTGAACGTGTGTGTTTGCAGGGTGTACATCATGTTTGATTTAGATAGTAGAGGAGAGATCTTGTGGGTCATGGTCGAACGTGGGGTTTGGCGCCAATATGTTTACAGTAACCTTTTGAACTCTGGCTCTAGAAGCACCTAGAAGCTGCCCAAAAGTCGTCGCTGTACGACATTTGCTGTTGCCCTTTCAGACTGCTCAAACTGCAGCCTCACGGGCCTCGCCTTGCCCTTGCCGCGGTTCCTGCGCATGCCACCAGGGCGAGGTGGACGACGAGCGTCACCAAAGGTCTCCCTGAAAAATCGCAGCTGGCAATCCGACAACTCCCTGCCGTTCTCCGGGGAATCTTATGCATCTGCATATAAATATGTATCGTACTGTATATCATATGTTGTATAGTATATCATGCCATGTCATATCATATCATATATTGTATAGTATATCATGTCATGTCATATCATATCATATATCATATCATATATCATATATCATATCATATATCATATATCATATCATATATCATATCATATATCATATCATATATCATATCATATATATCATATATATATCATATATCATATAATATATATATATATTATATATATATCATATATCATATATATATATATATATCATATCATATTATATCATATTATATTACTATTATAGTATTCATAATAATAATAATAGTAATGATAATAGTAATAATAATAGTAATAATAATAATAATTTTATTATTATTGTTAGTTATATCATATTATATAATATTAAATCATATCATATTATATTATATTATCTCATATAATCTCATATTATCTCATTTCATATCATATCATACCATATCATATCATACCATATCATATCATATCATGTTGTTTCATCATGCTAAGTGCCGATTCATATGGGCCCCTCAGTCCCTTCCCTCACTTAACCATTGAAATGTCCAGCATACCAACAGATTGATCAGAAACACTTCCAAGCATTGAAAAAGTACTTGAACAAGACATAACATGGTCGATTGATCTGGCCCCTGTAGATTTTCTCGCCTGTCCATGCTGCGCATCTTTGCAACATCGGCCTCAATTTGCATGGGATCCGTCACTGTTTTTCTTCCAACTAATTTCTTCCTTTGACATCTGCAAAGTGGCTGCAAAGTTGTAGCAGATGCTCTCCTTTCATCTTCTTCAGCTGCAGCTCGCAACAGTTCCAAAGGTCAAAATACGGAAAACTTACCAAAAACGACAAAAAACGGTTCTTTGAGTGTTGTTGGATGTGTATAGGATCGCCCCCCAACAAGACAGCTACTCACACCCTTTTGCAGCGTCCGCAAACAGCACTCAGCTACAGCGGTCTCACTTCATCGCCAGCAACACCTCTTTGTCCTGTGACGTATCTCTGTGAGGTGTGCCCTTTGGACAAGCCCTGCCTGGATTATCACAGAGGTTCTCTCTAACAGACTCCATTGAAATTGTTGAAAAAAAAACGCAATTCCTATGCAATTGCTATGCAGTCATGAGAACATCTGCGTTCTTTCTGTCGGTGAGAGTCCTTTTGCAATTCTTCGGAAGCGTGCCACAACCTGGTGCAATTCCGCATTCATCCTGCTTAGCTGTCTTCCTGACTTGCTCTTGACTCTTGACAGTCAAACACTCCGCTAAGCTGCTGACGCTATGTGGCCGCCTTCAGCAACAGCTTCCATCACCACCTTACACATGGCAACTGTGAACAGTTCAAATTCTGTGAGAAATGGCCAGGCCAAGCTCTCCCACCTCCTTGTCATTCTTCAAGCTTTCGTGAGCAAACACCAATGCCTTTCAAGGCCGTTCTGCTAAAAGGTGTTGAGTCCTGCTGAGACCATGAAAGAACTCGTCAGCCTTGATGCAATAAAAGACGCTGCCTTGCCTTGCCATTCTGGCGGACAGCTGCCAGGACGACCTGCTGTGAGCGGTTGATGCTGTGCACGCTGCATTGCGCAGCTCGAATCAGCTCGAACCTCGCGGTCCTTTCGCAGATTTTCAGGCGCGAAGACCAACACCTTCGTTCAGCGCCACAGAATTCCACAGCACACGAGTCACACGAATCGGTTTGATTGTTTTGGATCTGGCCCAAACTTGTCTGAACATCACATCGAACATGTCATCGAATAATACAGGTACTTGTTGCCGCACTATTCCAGCAGGTTTCATCACTGTTCAACAAGTCGAAGCCTTTCCGTTCTGCTTCACGGCCGCCAACACAATCTCCTGTGCCATTTTAGCTTTGGCGTGACTGCACATGACTGCACATGACTGCACAGGCTCAAAGTTTGTCACACTGACGCAGCCTTCAAATTTGAGGAGCCGGCTCTGTCTGCCTGCATTCGCTTGGAGGCAGTACGCAGAGCATAACCGTCCACCTGCGGTCAGGTCAAGTGCACCGAGTCTTGAATTTTTGACACTGGTTCAGCTTGATGTCCATCGAAAACAAAGGAGCTGCATTGCAAATTGACATAAATTGACCCTGAGGCTGAGATTATCTGAGATTGAGCTTCCTGAAATTCTGGCATTTGGTGGCAGCTGACCTTGACAGAATTGAGCAGTGCGTAACGCTCGGAGGCCAGTGCCGCCTCTTGCACATCCTCGTCGGACTTGAGCTCCTCAAATCTTCACCATGATTCGACACCCAAAACGCAGATTGTCTCCGATTCAATATCTTCAGTGCTTGTGCTAAGCTGTAACTGTGAGAGCTTTTGGGGTCGTCAGCTCATAATGGGTCCTCAGACACGTTCTGGAAAGCCTCGCAGAAGGGATGTGTTCATGTCAAGTGGAACATTGCGCAGACTTCCAAAAGGGCAATCATAGTATCACAAATCAAACAGAGATTGTGTTTGAAGGGGCAACATCCAGCAACTGATTAGTCTTAGCCATGCAAATGCCAAGACTGAGCAAGGAGACGATGCAACAATCCCAAGCACTGGCCTTGACGTTGCTCTCAATCGCACGCAGGGCCACAGATTTGTTCGCTTGCACCTGATGTGCAAGCCCTGAAATCCACTGCTTCACTGTACACTTTGAAGTAGCATGAAGTAGCACTGGTAGCACCATCTTCATCCGCGTTGAAGACCAATTCATTCGAACCATGAGCTAGTTACAGCTAGTTGTTCTAACTTTGCAGAGAGGCAGAGAGGTTCTCAAGCCTAGCAGCGTACCTCTGTGGGGAGCAAACCCAAGGTGATTCCATCTTCAGAGACTGCCTGCAAATGTGGCTTGGTGCAGCATTCCGGGATTTCTTGCTGAACCTCTCATAGGAGATGATCTGCTCAGAGCTGTATAAGTCGCCGTCAGTCATCAGTGCGCCATTCAGAAAATGCTTTCTGATAAACACGAAAACGTTGTCCCACCTGCATAGCAACGTCTATGTCACGCTGAATCCTCAGCAAACTGCAACATGAGCCAAACCTTAATGAGCTCAATGACCTGCATGTGCAAAGGAATTCGAACTGTAGCACCGTTTCTCAGCTTCCAGCTCCTCAGAAGCATATGAAATTGCATGCCCATCCTATCAAAGACTCTCGTATTAGTCCACTTCTGAGACTTGCAGCAAGGCCTTCCGTTTGCCTCTGCTGTTTTTGTTTATGCGTTTGGCGGGGATCCTTGGGCATCGTTTGGCAATCGATTGGCATCGTTTGATCGTTGGGCAATGATTTCCTTTTCGCATTCTCCACGAGTCCTGCTTCACTGCTGCAGAGACCGTTGCCTTGGATGTGCCAGGATGTGCTAGCTAGGATGTGCCAGGATGTGCCAGGATGTGCCAGTTCTCTATGCAGTCTATGCATCTACAAATTGCATCAAATTGCATGATCTGGACAGAAGCTGGACGGCTCTGAAAGACATTGTGTCAAGTCACCCGTAATTGCAAGAATCTGTCAATATCTGTCCTATGTATTCCTCTGTGATCAAGGATGCGATCAAGCTTTCGAGATTGAACATGTTCAAACGAGTTCAAGTCCGTTCATTGAGTCTTCAAAGATCAAAGCACGTTGTCTCACAGTGGCCCTGACCTTGTCAGCTTGTAGAGTCCTTTCCAGGTATACCAAAGCGTGGCCGTCAGCTTGCAAAGCCTGATTGTGGCGACTCTGGACTCGGCTGGACAGATCCAGAAGAAACCCCCAAAAAAAAAACAACACCCAAAAAAAGGCCCACAGACTGTCACAGAGGTCCACAGAGGCCTTGCCCTTAAGGCTTGCCCTTGGGCCTCCTCAACAATTGCAGGATCTCTGCGCAACTCATCGCTGATCATCGCCAAAGCTTGCCTGGAAGCTCTCGCTGGTTACATTGCCCTCCCAGCTCTCTCTCTCTCTGGCCCAACTGCTTGCTACGAGCGCTGCTAATGCTAAGTAGGGCCTACAGTATCAGTATCTGGCTGCATTCTTTTTGCCGGAAAAGCTTGCACCGCATTGGCATCATCCGCAGAGCATTCCATGATGCTGGCCTGTTGGTGGCGACTGCGGCCTTCACAATGTCTTTGTCATTCCTGTCGCAAAGAGAGTCACCAGCAATCGAAGTTCTGGCACCGTGGGCGACTGGAAATGACTTGAATGATGATCAGATATGATCAGATCACTTCTGTACTATACAAAGAAGGCAAGTTTCAAGAACTTCAAAGAACATCAAAGAATCAACACTTCAGAGCACTCCTCTGATCACTCTGGACACACGACATAGTCACTACATGTCACTACTGCAGTCGCAGTGCAGTCACAGCTTTGCCAAAGCATCAGCGGACCTGAGCTCTGGAGATGCATAGCCAAGCGCTTGCCAGTTGCTCTGAACCGCTTCGAAGATGACCTCCTGCGCAAGGCTCTGAGAATAGAAATCTTCGGGATTCTAGGTCATAATTTCAGGAACGAAAAGATCAAAAAGCTCTTTTTTGATTTTTTCGTATGCCAAGTGTCTGTTGATGTAGGCTTGCAAATTTTAGTGGTGTGATTCAAATGTGGAATGGCTGATTCAATGATCTATCTTTGACCGGACCGTTGACCCTCGCTGCTAGACCTCTTTGCACTGGTGTATTTGACAGTTCACTGTTTCAAGTTGTTTCTGAGATATAGAAATCTTTAGGAAATCTGTTGTCATTCAATGTCTTTTCCTCAGACATCGTCTCAAAAGTGGCCGGACGGTGCCTTGTCTGCCCGCAATTTCTCGTGCGCAAACAGCAACGCGAAGCCTGTGCTTCGCACTGCCTCAATCACCACCACTCTGTCAGCTCGAAGGGCAGCTGAGGCGTAGCTCAGGGCATAGCCATCCTGCCGATTTGCTCACGATACTGTCGCAATGGATGAATTATGAATTATGATATATTATGATGAATTTACATGTGAAAATGTAAAAAACATTAAACAGCCAGGCAAAAGTGACTGGTAAAGTCGAAACAAAGACGAGATGGTGGCACCGTTGGCACCTGCTGGACAGCCTCAAGCACAACATCCTTGTCAGCCTTAGTCGCAAAACTATGCATGCAAAACTGCTAGCACTTGAAAAAAGAATGGTCAAACAAGTGAGTTTCTCATGCCATGACACGCGGAGCCCCACGTCTGCGAAAACAATGGAGTGGCCATCCTGCAAGACTATTGTCAACATTTGTCAACTTGTCCCATATGTCCCATGTCATCCATGTCTCATTTGGATTTGAAAAATCATTTGGCATATGGCATAGGCTGTTTCACCTGAGTTCACCTGCAACCTAGGCAGGACATGCTCCTGACGAACTGCTTCTAACGCCACATCCTTTCTGGCCTGGTCGGAGGTTCACAGGAAATGTCTATGCCGTCTATGCCTTTTGATGTCCGTGTCAGCCGCGTCAGTTTGATATATCTAATAGCGCATTGAGAGCTTTTTCTCCACAAGCAGCACTCCACAGGAACAGCCCTGGAGGGGTGCTTGCGCAAATGGTGATGGTCACTTCCTTAAGAGTTTGTAAAGTCTGACAAAGCAGAACTTGCAGAACCAGAGCAGACTGAACCGGAGCAGACTTGGGCGCACTCTATTTTTGCAGACACTTTGTAATCCTGAAGCGGAGTCAAAGCTGCAAAAAGACCAAAGCCTTCAGCGCTGCAGAAGCAAAGACCAAAGCGTGCCCATCCTGCTCAACTCAACAGTCTTTGGACATCTTTGGACATCTTTGGACATCTTTGAACTCATGGTTGCCCGTGCGTTGAGTTTGTCCGGGTCCTGGCGAACTGCTTCCAAGACAACGTCCAGGTCATCGCGGAGCTCTTGACTGCAAAACTGCCTCACAAGACAGCTCAAGTTTGCGCCCTTCCTTCCACACGTGCACTATCCGACTCTGTCCACTCTTGGGCTCAGGTCACTGGTAGACCCTGGTAGACCCTGGTAGACCCTGGTAGACCCTGGTAGACCTTTGGCTGAGCACGTGGCAGGGCATGTCCGTCTTGGCGTACGGCCACTCTGGCCACCTGCGCTTGCGCATACTGCACAGGCGCAGGACAGTTGACAAGATGTAAAGGTGAAGTGGGACAAGGTGGGACAAGTAAGCAAAGCTGACCTTATTTGGGTACCCTTATTATCCCTTATTTGCAGGCCATCAGACCTTGTAACATCTTGTAGCCAATCCAGCCAGTTTTTGGGGCTGTTCAATGTTGGCCAATACTAAGGCTTCCTGAACATGCCGTAAAAAACGACCCTACTCATACTCATGTTCTCATCTGCGCGCACACCCATTCTTCTCGGATGCTCGAAGAGTCAACATGGGAGTCAGCATGAACCTCTCTGGAACAAAAAGCGGACTTCTGCAGTCATTTGAAATCATGGCGACATTCCTCGCTGACAGTGCTTCCATGTGGAGCTTTCTGGCATCGGGCTACTCGCCCTTGCCTTTCAAGTGCCACCATAGGTGCAGTTGGCGTCACATCATGTGGATTCATGTGGCATGCTTATCACATATGACGATTTTTTTGCTGTAGCAGTAGACTTCCAAACGAGTCTTTGAAATCATACAGGACTCGAACCAACCGCATGGCCACAGGCACGGCATTGCTCGACACTCAGATCGGCATGTTGGGGCCTCGGCACCAACAGAAACTCTGGCAATGCAAATAATGTGCCCAACACCCAAGTGAACAATAATAATCAATACATTTCAATATATATCAATACTGAATAGTCAAATATAATATATTAATAATATAATGATCAATGCACAGGTCTCCTGGTGAGGTGCTGGCACTGCAATGCCGTTGCTGTCAGCTGCTGTACCAAGGCTTTGACCGAAGAGACCGATGGCAACCTTGATACCACGAGAGTGGTCGTACCTGGAGCAGCCGACAACTTACTGGAGGTGTAATTACCATACGTAAGAGACTCATGAAATCCATGCTCCGAAAGGGATGGAAAAAAATGGTCTGATAGGTATGATAGGTATGGATGGTATGGATTGTTCTTCTCCGTGCTGCTGCAAACCTCTGCCCTTTGCGCACGTGTTGCCCCAGAAGAAGCAAGAAACCTCAGCCCGCTCTCTAACGTTGACATACCGTCAGGTTACGCACCAAACACATTGTAATATATGTCGTGGTGCAACGGTGACCAGGGTGGGACAGAATTGGGCCCATGGCAGAGGTCACAATCAAAGCCCACCAGCCAAAGCCCATGGGTGGGGCTACGTCGTTGTAGCCTTGCATTTGTGTGCTGCAGTAAGACTAGTTTGAACCCAGTTCAGCATGATGGGTGCTGAAGATGTTTCTTCTTCGTTCTCTACAAGTAGTTTGCTTAACGGCATCACTGCATCACTCATTGCATGACAGGTATCGAAATGAATCGCCTTCCGGGTCAGGATTGCGGATCCTGCTTCCAGGCCTGGGACAAGATGAAGACACGAGAAGAATCCATAAGACAAAGAGAAGACAAAGATCAAACTCTTCAAACTCAACATGCACCTGCCCAGCTGCCCAGCTGCCCAGCTGCCCAACTTGAGACCACCACCATCCCAAGTTGTAATCATAACCACCAAGCTTTGGCAGTGTAGTGCAAATGCTCCTTGCCCAATCTGTGAAAGGGATATGAATGGATATGATTATATGCTGGATATGCTAATATGCAACGGATGACTTTGGCAAATGTCAATGGTCAATACAACACACAGGATTAGGTTGGCCTGAATGAGCATCACCTTCAGTGTTCTGGATATGTACTGAAGGATGTATGGAGCAATATTAAGTCTACAAATCTATACAAATCTTGCTTCATCGGGTGTCGGTTCTCTTACCAAGTGCTTGGAATAATTTTTGCAGAGTTCTTGCAGAGCTTCGCATTTCTGCAAGCTACGTATTCTCAAGACCCCTGGCCCAAAGCCATGTCAAGTGTGATCCTGACTGCCATGTTCCCAAGCCCAGGAGGAGCTCGCGCTGCCTTGACAAGATGCTCAAAGGATCGAAGGATATCGAAGTGGAGTGATTTCTCTTGGAAAAAAAACGGAAGCATAGAGGGGCTTTCAGAAGATGTGGATAGATGTGGATAGTACAAGTGTGTCTACAAGTTTTTCTGTGGCATTGACAACCTCCCACCTTTTTCTTCGAGGTTAAGAAAACTTCCTGAAAAGTCCAACAAAACTCAGTTGCTTTTGAACCCAGGCCACATGGCTACACAAAATGTTTCGAAAGGTTGAGGTCCCAAATTGGGGGGAAGCAACACCAGGGCCAAAAACACCAGGGTCTTGTGTTGCGAACCAATTGAGACACTGATGGTGAGAAAGTCAGGCAAGCCTGAAGGGCAGCACGTCCTGGTCGGATTGGGCTGAAGACTTCCCATTCGACATACATCCATCTTCATTGCACATGTACACCGGGTTTGGTTTCACCCTGCACAATGAAATTATGGTTATGAATATCATAAGAGCAAAATATAAACAACAAGATGAGGAAAAGGACGAGGGTGAATGACCATTAGGATGGTGGTCAACACGAGAGTGATGTTGCTGCTGGTGCTGAGAACGCTGGTGCTGCTGATCATAGCTGCAAATTAAGCTTAGGTTTAGCCGTGTTTGGACAGTTCTTGCATCAAACATTTCAAAGTCAATGCCAGAGTCAAAAGATGGGATAAACACACACACACAAACACAAAACCATGTCACTTCGTAAACAGTAGCCGGAAACAGTAAAAACACTGCAAAAGTATGTGAGCTGTGTCAGACTCACGGTCTGGTTCAACCCTCAACCGACTCAACCGACTAAGAAATACCAAGAACGCAAGCTCGCCGAAGCTCGCCTGCTGTGCGGCTCAGCATTGTGAGGACCATGACCTGGGATAAGAATCTTCCCAAAACGACCTCATCTCAACACCTTAGGACCTAACCCCAATGACCCCAACAATCCACAACACATGTATATAAAGTCAAAACATTCCAAAACCCCAGTTTGCAGGCGTTTTAAGAACAGTTTGGGGCAACAATTCTTGACAGAGTCCATCGCATGACCCTATTATATAATATATATATATATATATGTAAATATGTATACATACACTGCATACATATATAAAAGACTTGCGCCCTTCTGTTTTGCCGCTGTGCTTCTGAAAGTTTTTCTTGCGCCACCCATCGTTGTTAGATGGAGGTGGCATATCTCCATCATACCCCGGCTTTTCAAATCTCTTCGGAGGAAATTCTGCCGTGTCACGTAGGAGGTAAAACCACGTAGTGGAAGGAACACCACATTGGAGAAAATCGATGCGTCGATCTAAGGTGGTGGCAAAACCGCCCGAGCAAAACTCAATAAGTACTTTTGCTGCTGGTCGCGCTCTTTCAAGGTAGGTGGACACTTGCACCTCTTGCAGATAAATCTCAAGGGTCTTCACGCTAAGCCACCTACCACGACGTCTGACAACCTCTGCGTTTTCAGTCTTGTGAAGCAGCCACGTTGCTCCGCCGGGACGGAGGGAACCCAAGGCGAAGGGCTTTTGATCTCCAACCCTCTCTATCGGTAGCTTCAGAGCCAAGCGCACTTCAGAAAACCGTTTGCGAAGAGTTGCAGCTGAGTAAGGCCAAATCTTTGTATCACCTGCGGCTTCAGCATACATGGCAGACAGAAAGTTCACGATGTCAATCTGATCTATCCGTGCAGCCTGGTGCTTTGCAGCACGGCCCAGAGTCTTCGGCATTTTCACCATAACTAATGCGAAGGAGGTACCTGGTGCACGGTCTCCTGGCAGTACCAACTCTCTTCGGGAAGCTGCAAGAACTTCTCCGATACGCATCACACCTGCCCAACCTATGAGCAGGACCGCTGTGAAATGCGGCCATCCCCAGGTCAGTGACACAACTGACATCGCAGCCATGACTGTCAACAGCATTGCAGGATGGTGGTCGTAGGGCTCGTCAGCAAGCCAGCAAAATGCAAGGTCCCAGGCCGCTGTCAAAGAATGCTTGATCAGGGGCCTGGAACACGCCACAGCATTCATGGTCTCAGCGTAGATCCCATATGCTTTTCCTGCATAGTACAACTGGCGGCCATATTCAATAAGCAAGGCTGAGACTCTTTCAGGATCTGCCGGTTTCTGTTCGAACAAAAACTTGAAAGACACACCCTTTTCTTCCCACAGCCAGCTTTTGAAACCCACCAAGTATAGATTTCGTTTGTCCTGCGTCTGTCTTCTTAGAGCCCGTGTCGGAGCCAAGTTGCTATCTACCCTGGCTGAAACACGCTTTCTCTCCGCAGCTGAGCCCGGAACGATCGGCATGGCTCTTCCTAAATCAGCGCGACAGACAAGGACCATGGCGAAAAGAAAAACCCTGCTACCGATTCCAATCGGGGGACTCTTCCATGGCCTGGGGTGTTTACACTCAGCTCCCTGCCAGTCAGACAGGTCAGGACTCAGACGGGAACCAAATCCAACGAAAGTCCAAAGGAGCACACACAGACCAAACCAGCCGAAAGCGGGCGCCAACCCACAAATGAGACGGAAGATCCAGGCATGGAGAGGAAAATCCAAAGTCGCCAGACAAGGACAACCAACAGGACAGAAGAAGGACAAGCCTGACCCAGTTTGCAGCAAAACGTCGAAACTTTCTCTGGCTGCACCCTTGGAGAAAATCCATGGAGTAGCAGTCCAGGAGCCGACTGGGAAAGGCACATCGCAGAGGAACATCACGAGAAGGATCATCAGCATAGTTCAGACGAGTGGAGAGAAAGTCCAGGCAGGATAAAGATCTGATGCAACGGAAACCGCACAGACACGGCGGAGGCCAGGCTGAAGAGCATGCGATGCAGATCTCCCCTTGGACAAAGCCCCTCTACACACTGCTGAATCCACAAAATTTGCAAAACGCACAGAAAAGAAGTTTTCGGCAACCTCAGCCATGTTGGAGACTGTGGAACCAAGTTTAAGCACATTGATATGCCCTTCGCGTTTCCAGTGCCAGGAGCGCACAACCTTCCAATCAGAAGCACACATGACCTCGTTGGACAAGACAGATTCCAAGAAATCCACACACGGTGAAAGTCTCTCAGAGACATCCAAGATATCCAAGCTGCGCTTGTACGCAAGTGCCAAATGATCCGCCAAGGCATCTGTATAGACAGCAGAAGCTTTTAAAGAGCCCTGAACCCTGACATGAGAATGTCCTCCACAGCACCGTACTTCCATAGCGACAGTGTCCAGCAAAAAGCACCAAAAGCTATTCTTTCTTGTGAATAGATTGAAACATGCACGAGGCAATGACCGCCTCCGGGAACCCTTGGTCCAGAGGTCAAGCCAACACATCTTACTCAGCCTGCTCTGCTCGGCTCCACAAGGGCGTCGACAACGTCTTCCAACCCTAAGCAAACAGAGAGCCCTAAAAGCCAAAGTGTTGCCAAGGAGAGTCTCAGGGGGAAGTCGATCAAAACCCGAAGGCAAGGCGTAGGATCTGACTGCAGGGTGACCCGCTGGTGAGAAGGAAGTGCATGGAGGAGCCACCAAGAATGAGCGGAAACGCCCTTCTTCCAACATGTATATCATCCATTCCATCAAGCGCAAGGAAGTCAGGTCATAGTGAGCACTCTCCGACAAATCCAACACAGGGGCAACGGAGTATCCAAGACGTGACAACGCATCACCAACCTTGCCAGCACCTCCACAGATCTCGACAAAAACAAAATACATGAGGGGTGACTTCTTGATGCTTTCAGGCTCAGGAAAAGGTGACTCTCCATCGATATCATCATCATTTTCACCTATCTGTCGCAAGATAGCATTGAATGGATTATTGAAGTGGGTGTGGCTCCCCTTGCGGTCGGCGTCGACCCAAATGGACATGTGCACTTCAGGGTCAACCGAGGCCGTGATGATGGCACCCTTCTGATTCGAAGCATCAGTTGCAAACACACGGTCCAAAAGGCCTGCAGTGATGTTTGTAAAAACCAAAGGGGCAACAGCTCCTAGCATAGCCAACTCGTTTGCTACGGCACGTGGCAGAGGCCTAAGCTCATTCAAACCGCCAACAAGACACTCATTAGCCAACCGAAACATGTCATCGATGATGCATGGAAAAACACTTCCGATACTGCAAGACTGAAACCCAATTTCCAGCCAACCGGCTCAGTACCTTCCCATTGACAATTGACAGCAGGAAGACATGCAGCACGCAATGACAGGACCGACAAAGCAAGCCTCTTTGCAACGGGAGCTCCAACCGGGATGTAGCCAAGGCGAACATTCTCCGGGCAAGATCGCACTTCAGCACCATCAGCCTTGAAGGTATGGGCTGCCACAACATCTTTTTCAGGTGAGCCTAGGAGCTGCTCTGAAGATTAAATTCCAGGGGCAGATTCCAAAGAGCGAAAGGCAAAATTGGCACAACTGGCTCGGCCCCAACTGCAAAGTAATCATCAATCACCAAAGCTTCAAGGCGAGAGCCTATCGGGAAAGGCTTATTTCCCTGTAACCGGGTCTAAGGAATCAAAAGCCCACCACGCTCAAGCAAAACCTCATGACTCCTCAAAGCAAACTCAACACCGAGATGGTCGCCCTGGAAAAGTGAGCGAAAAGCCACAAAAACAGAAGGGGCCATTCTTTGGCACATTACACCTAGATATACCACCTCTAAAACCATCTCCAAGCTGCTCCCTCTTCGGTCGTTTTTGCAAGGCAATCTCAGCTTCGAGAGCAGCGTAAGCATGGGTCTGAGAAAAAGCTGAGCTGGGGAAAGCAACAGAAAGCATGTTGCTCTGGGCTCTGGCATCAGTGACCTTGGCTTGGTGATAAAAATCACGACGATCAGTTTTTGAACCTCTAACGCGCTGGGTGAACTTTGGGATTGAAAGTAAAACCAACTGATGCCCCTGAGGCAAAAACCTTGAAGGCCCATCAACATGCAGCTCAGCTAAATTGGGGATTCTTCGATCTCCAATCTGTCTGTCACACTCCGCATTCTTGAAACAGTTGAAGACACGGCAGAAAAGACCTGGTCGTTTAGGCTCAGGGTACAAAGCAAGTAGATTCTTGGCATCCCAAATCAAAGCCAAGTTTTCAGACTCCGCAAGATCGTCCGACTCAAAAGAAGGAAGTCCATCAGAACACAGAGACAGGCCATGATGCAGGAACGCAGGCTCTTGAAATGGCAGCCACCACACGCCATCAAGAAAAGATTCCATAGACCACTGACCCTCTCAAATCCTCAGACGATCTGCACAAAGAGATCTGTAGGGAGTCAGCTCAGGAACTCATCCCTATTGAGAAGGTTGGGGTCTTCTCGAAAGGGCTCTCGCCCACGCTGCATGTACCCGGAGGCAAAAGCGGGGCATGTTTCACAAAACTGCTCAAGCTGAAAAACACTCGTCCAGGACAGCACCACACACAGTGATAGATCTCCTCAGGTGGTCAAACACCTTAAGCTGTTTCGCAGTGGGGGTCCTCCTGAGCTCATCACATGTCGGCCACCTTGACAGATACAAAAAGTCCAAGACCAAAAGCCACATATTGATAAGGCGAGAGTGGCAAACAGAAGTCCAACGACGATGTGACAAACCAGGGCCGCTCGACAAAAAGCAATCCAAAGAAGCCAAAGGGAGCGGAAACACTGTGGAAGACGTCTCTAAGGAACGCCGCACAACTGCGAAAGAACGACGAAGACAAAAAGCTAGCTTTGTGCGTGTCTTCAAAATCCACCTAGGCAAACAAGCAATCCACTTGCCAAGGCTTATACTCAACCTGAGTGGGTTTGACTCCGGCCCCACATCAGGTGTATCCATGCAACCTGTAGAACTAGGCAACCTCATGCCTCCTCCTGGTCCTGCTTGCTTTGACTTGCACCTTTCCCTCCCCACTTGCCCTTTTTCTTTGGCTAAGGCTTTGGTTTTGGAGCCTCGTCTGAGTTCTGACCACCGAATGTCCCTGGCCTTGAGACGTTTCCCATCTCTGCGCGCTTTGCAGTACTGGTGTCCAACTCCGTCAAGTAAGCCAGGGCAACCGTGATCCATCTCTGGTCTGCTAGGGGAGAGAACGCCCTGCTTCGTGACAACATGCTCACCGGGCGATGGGTGAAGACACTGGCTGGAGGTTCCTCGGCAAGACATAACACCTGAGCTAAGTCGAACCGACCCTGATCCATGCAAGCCTGATCCAGTGCTACCGACAACAGTGCTACGGCATCCTTTGCTGCATCCCACTTGCTTGCTTGCATGAAGTCCATTATTGTCATCACCTGGAACTGAAGGGCCCCTAGATCCTTGTGTTTCCCGTAACCTCCATATCTCTCCAAGTATTGAGTTCCTGACACTCCTCTGGCTAAGAGTTCCTCCGGAGAACCTGTGGCTGGCTGCGTAGGCTGCCATCTGACTCAACACACTGTTGAAAAACATGCCCTTCTGGAGAGCAGCTCGGCCTGAAGCTTTGCCCCCCCTGCCGCCCCCCGAGTCCCTGCCCCACTCCCAGCACCCACCAAATTCACCAGACCCAACAACTCCGTCAAGGCTTGAGCTTAAACCATGACTGCCCCAGCAAGAGGATCTGACGAGGTAGATGGGGGAGGCTGAAGCTTCTCTGATTCCAATTCCAAGAGATGGGGAGGCTTCGTGGTAGGAGATGGCAACAGTCCAGGATGAGATGGGGCCACAGTGCGAGCAGGAGCCCCCAGCATTTTTGCAATTGCCTGGGGCTGATTCAACGGCTGATTCAAGGAGGCTGAGATAGGCTGGCGTAGAACAGAGCAAGGGTGCAAGCTGGACTGAGACGGTATCGCGACCAACTGTTGCTCGAGAACTTGCTGACGCTGTGTCAACGCCTGCAGCTGGGAAGACATGCCCTGATTTGGCTCCAGCACCTGTTGAAGAGCTGAGGCAAGAGTGGCTACGGTGGGCTTTTTGGCGGCAACGGAGGGCCGATCTGGCCAATGCACTGGAGTGCGTCTTTCTTTCCTCCTCGTGCTTTGGGGGGTGTCTAGATCTGAGGCTCCGTTGGCTTGAAGAAGCTCCTTGGGAACATCCCCCTCTTCCAGATCTGGAGGGGAAGGGATGCTGTAGGGCTGTTCGAGATCGAAAGAGAAGTTGATCTCTTCGAATTCCAAGGGCAGGCGCATTTGCTGAACCACTGACTCCTGAAAATCCACAACCAACACCGAGGCTTGAACGCCAGTAGGAGACAGAGAGCCATTGTCGAGGACAGCCAAGGGAACCACCACCAACGTAGAAGGACCAACGCTCTTCCGGCAAAAATCCAAGAGGAAGGGCTGGGAGGAAACGGCGGGACGGCGTTGCAAAACCAAAGTCAGCACTTCTCCTCCATCCTCCTCCAACACAGGCCATTCCAACATGTAGGGCTCGACGTCGTGAGTCAGAGGAACCAAGGAGTCCAAAGTCAAAGCTGAAGCTGAGGCCATGATGACACTCACTGGGCAATGCGCCAGTCAGGGAAGCCGGCAGCTTCCGAGTAGATTCGAGCCTCGAGCTCGCTGGGGAAGGATTGCGAAATGGCAGTGGATTCAGCCAAGTCACCGATGAGCTTCCAGTAGCTGGCAGCAGATTTGAAGATGGTAGGAAATTCAAGTCCAGGTGCTGACGCAACACTGTAGAAACGAGAACGCAAATCCAAAACAGGGGTCCTGTTGGGACTACCAATCCTCTTCTGTAACACTGCTTGGGCCCAGCTTCCAGCAGTCCAGGCTCTTTGGATACGGTCACGGCCAGACCAAGAGGATCCACACAGACGCGACGACTCACGAAGCAACCGCTCAGGACAGCCAGGAAACGAACACAAGATGGAATCCCGAGTCTCAGCACGGCCAGGGGTAGACACAGCAGTAGGAACAGCACGTGACGAGCCCGCGTCAGACACCAACTTTCAACTCAAAAGACGCCTCAGACCGATCAGGAAAGGGACCAGGCTCAAACAGAGCAATATGCCTAAGCAGATCAGCAGCAAGTCCAGAAGAGTGGGCAGGAGCCCTGATGTCAACCGAAAGCCTACCTGGCAGCTGGATATGAAGTTTAATCTCTCCGTCGTGGTCGGTGGAGAGGGATCTGCTGATGCAGGTAAGAAGCAAGGACTTGGGATCGACTCGGACGAGCCGGAGGGGAAAAACCGACACACCAGAAGGCCAAAAGGATGGAAACCACCCAGACAAAAGACCCAAAAGGTAGGAACACAGGACCAACCCCACTGAAGGCTGCGTGCAATACGCAGGACACCCCAGGCCCCAGAAGTTTGCCCGCAAGCCTTCGAAGGCAATGCTAAGGGCAGAGGAAAAGCCCATCAGGCTTTGAGCCGGAAACATCCAGTTGAAGTCTTGCTGTCATATATATATATATATATACATATGTGTGTGTGTGTATATGTCTAAGTCCGTCCAATAAGGTCTAGTGCAATGAGCTGGGTGAATGGCTTGCAAGGGCCACACCACAAGGCGGAATGACAAACACTTTCTCTAAAGACGGCAGCGGTTCGTGGTTGAGTTGCTTCCGGTGAAAACACAGCAAGTGCGCTGCCAAGTGTGCGCGGGCACACACGCACACACACACACACAATGCAGTGCATGATCCAGACTTGATGTGCTGGGATTTTTTGGACTTTGGCAGGTAGGTGGTGCTCGCGCCACTTTCGAAGCGCCAGGAAACCCAATGCAATCTGCAAAGGCTAGTTGCTTACTGCAGAAGGGGGGGTGGCGCTTCGCGGCACAGAGACTACGCTGGCCGGCTAGCTGGGCTAAAGGTTCGGTTTTGAAGCTCAGAAGCTCTGTCTGCCGTTTTGAAGAAACAGTACGTTGCCTTCTGCCCAGCTTTCTCACCCATAAAGTAAAGTTGTGGGCAAACCTGTTGAGTCTTGACCACTATCAGTGTATCAAGAGTGAAACTCACATAATACTGCCTCGTTTAATACGCTAACATCGCATTCCTTGAGCAAATCGTCTCAAGATGCTCAAACCCTGCTGTGCTGAGTAAGAGCAGTTGCCATGATTTCAAGTGCATGCAGATTCGGCACGTGTAATGCCTGCTGCACTCACTCCTATCAAGGGCACTTTTGTGTGCACGCATAGTAGGCCAAGAATGTTAAAGTGTAGATTCATAGCCTCCAGTCCCAAATCGCTGCAGAGCCACATCACAAATAGGTCAAGATGCAAACACACAATTGCGAGTACAAGTGCGAGTACAAGTGCAAGTACAAGTACAAGCAAACATGAGCAAACCCGCAACAGGCAAGCCAGCTTGCCAGGGAGCAACCAAGGAGCGAGCCAGAAAGCAATCTTTCCAACGCGGCAATTTGAAAGTAAAATTGCAACCAAGCAATCAGCTAGCCGCATATAACTAAGAAGGAAGCTCGCAAGCAAGCAAGCAAGCCGCAAGCAAGGAAGGTAGGAAGCATGGAAGCACGCAGGCAAGCAAGCAAGCAAGCAAGCAAGGAAGGAAGGTAGGAAGCAAGGAAGCACGCAGGCAAGCAAGCAAGGAAGTAAGCAAGGAAGCAAGGAAGCAAGCAAGTAAGGAAGCAAGGAAGCAAGCAAGTAAGCAAGGGAGCAAGCAAGGAAGCAAGGAAGCAAGCAAGGAAGCAAGAAGGAAGCAAGGAAGCAAGGAAGCAAGCAAGGAAGCAAGGAAGCAAGCTAGGACCTAGGAAGCAAGCAAGGAAGCAGGCAAGGAAGCAAGAAAGCAAGGAAGCAAGCAAGGAAGCAAGCAAGGAAGCAAGGAAGCAAGGAAGCAAGCCAGGAAGCAAGGAAGCAAGCAAGGAAGCAAGGAAGCAAGGAAGCAAGGAAGCAAGGAAGCAAGCAAGCAAGCAAGCAAGAAAGGAAGCAAGCAAGGAAGCAAGGGAGCAAGCAAGGAAGCAAGGAAGCAAGCAAGGAAGCAAGGAAGCAAGCAAGGAAGCAAGGAAGCAAGCAAGCAAGCAAGGAAGCAAGGAAGCAAGCAAGGAAGCAAGCAAGGAAGCAAGTAAGGAAGCAAGCAAGGCAGCAAGGAAGCAAGCAAGCAAGCAAGCAAGCAAGCAAGGAAGCAAGCACGCAAGCAAGGAAGCAAGCAAGCAAGGAAGCAAGGAAGCAAGCAAGGAAGCAAGCAAGGAAGCAAGGAAGCAAGGAAGCAAGCAAGGCATTAAGCAAGGAAGCAAGGAAGGAAGCAAGGAAGCAAGGAAGCAAGCCAGGAAGCAAGGAAGCAAGGAAGCAAGCAAGGAAGCAAGGAAGCAAGCAAGGAAGCAAGGAAGCAAGGAAGCAAGCAAGGAAGCAAGGAAGCAAGGAAGCAAGGCAAGCAAGCAAGGAAGCAAGCAAGGAAGCAAGCAAGCAAGCAAGGAAGCAAGGAAGCAAGCAAGGAAGCAAGAAAGCAAGGAAGCAAGAAAGCAAGGAAGCAAGGAAGCAAGCCAGGAAGCAAGCCAGGAAGCAAGGAAGCAAGCAAGGAAGCAAGGAAGCAAGGAAGCAAGCAAGCAAGCAAGGAAGCAAGCAAGCAAGCAAGGAAGCAAGGAAGCAAGGAAGCAAGGAAGCAAGGAAGCAAGCAAGGAAGCAAGGAAGCAAGCAAGGAAGCAAGCAAGGAAGCAAGGAAGCAAGCAAGGAAGCAAGCAAGGAAGCAAGCAAGGAAGCAAGGAAGCAAGCAAGGAAGCAAGCAAGGAAGCAAGAAAGGAAGCAAGCAAGGCAGCAAGGAAGCAAGCAAGCAAGCAAGGAAGGAAGCAAGGAAGCAAGCACGCAAGCAAGGAAGCAAGGAAGCAAGGAAGCAAGCAAGCAAGGAAGCAAGGAAGCAAGGAAGCAAGGAAGCAAGGAAGCAAGCAAGGAAGCAAGAAAGCAAGGAAGCAAGAAAGCAAGGAAGCAAGGAAGCAAGCCAGGAAGCAAGCCAGGAAGCAAGGAAGCAAGCAAGGAAGCAAGGAAGCAAGGAAGCAAGGAAGCAAGCAAGCAAGGAAGCAAGCAAGCAAGCAAGGAAGCAAGGAAGCAAGGAAGCAAGGAAGCAAGGAAGCAAGCAAGGAAGCAAGGAAGCAAGCAAGGAAGCAAGCAAGGAAGCAAGGAAGCAAGCAAGGAAGCAAGCAAGGAAGCAAGCAAGGAAGCAAGGAAGCAAGCAAGGAAGCAAGCAAGGAAGCAAGAAAGGAAGCAAGCAAGGCAGCAAGGAAGCAAGCAAGCAAGCAAGCAAGCAAGGAAGCAAGGAAGCAAGCACGCAAGCAAGGAAGCAAGGAAGCAAGGAAGCAAGGATGCAAGCAAGGAAGCAAGGAAGCAAGGAAGCAAGGAAGCAAGGAAGCAAGGAAGCAAGGAAGCAAGGAAGGAAGCAAGCAAGGAAGCAAGGAAGCAAGGAAGCAAGGAAGCAGGCAAGGGAGCAAGCAAGGGAGCAAGGAAGGAAGCAAGGAAGCAAGGAAGCAAGGAAGCAAGGAAGCAAGGAAGCAAGCAAGGAAGCAAGGAAGGAAGCAAGCAAGCAGGCAATCAAATTTCAACAAAACCAATTGAGCTATTTATCAATGCAACAAATGGGCTCTGTGCCAAGACAGGCCGAGCAGCACGGCACACTTCGTTAACCCTAGAGAGATATTCATAGATGGTTCCTTCGCACACGACGCTCAAGCAGTGGCTACATGCTCTTTGGAAGATTTCGTCGACTGTGCAAAGGTTTCAAACTCACTAAGTCTGGTCGTGATTTGCATCGTAATCAAACGGTCAAAACGGTCAGACTTGACTTCCTTTAGCTGAACTTTGGCTGAACTTTAGCTCATCAGTCTCTCATTCACTGGCCAAAGGCAACATGTCGTCCTTTGGAAATCCTGTGGCCTTCTTGGCTCTTGCCAAATAAATCGCACATGATTCACACAGAAAAACCTGAGAGCGTGGAAACTGAAAGCTTTTGAGAGGAATAGCATTGGCACAGCATTCGATAGCTTTTGCACAGCATTGGCACTGGATCCAGTACCAAGGAGCAGTGGCAGTCTCCATCACAGGACAGGATAGGTCCTGAGGTGAGAGAAGAGGAGGCAGGCAGAAACTCATTCTGCACATTCTCAAGTGTTCAGATAGACATTTATTTGTAAATAAGATATACAAAGATATACAAAGATATACAAAGATATACAAAGATATACAAGATATGCAAAGATATGCAAAGATATGCAAAACAGCAAATCATAAGATTTGCTCGCCCCAACCCGGACGTTGCTCCACACTTACAATCGTCATGATCGTCATCATCATCATCATCATCATCATCATCATCATCACATCATCACATCATCACATCATGATCATCATCACATGAAAATCTGCCACCCCCTCTGAAAAATATGTTGACTGTGGTAAAAACATCAACTTTATCTTCATGAGGGATCAAAATCCGCCACCCCCTATGAACAATATGTTCATTGGGGTAATGACATCAACTGTGTCTTCATAAGGGATCAAAATTCGCCACCCCCTATGAACAATATGTTGCTTGGGGTAAAAACATCAACTTTATCTTCATGAGGGATCAAAATCCGCCACCCCCTATGAACAATATGTTCATTGGGGTAATGACATCAACTTTGTCTTCATAAGGGATCAAAATTCGCCACCCCCTATGAACAATTTGCTGATTGGGGTAAAACCATCAACTTTATCTTCATAGCCACCTAAAGTCAGACGCGGCGAAACGTCAGGGTTGCAGCGGACTTGTTTTAAGGTCCAATCATCTAGCAAACCTCCCACTGCAAGAGTGTCCATTGAGTCCATCGCTAGGCAGTGCTATTATTTCATATTATTTCCCTGTAATTAACCCCATTTACAGTCGACTGTCTGCGATGGAGCTGCAAGCGGACGTGCTTCTGATGTGTCACACAGGAACTTCTAACACAGCAAAAGAGATCATGTCAAATCAAGTGCGGCTCAGACACATTCTGATCATAAGCGAAAAATTGCATAGCGCGACTCCAAATGAATCAAGCACCTTCGAACTTCCTTGGATGTTGCCATGCTAGTTTCAAACAAGTCTGTCATTTATATATATATACCATTATATATACTTGAGAAAAGGGGGACGAAAGCCAGCCCCGCAAGGAAAGCCATTCTGTACATGTGATATACGTATTATATATATATATGTGCTTATCATGTACACATACATGTATATGTGTATGTATGAATGTATACTATGAGGAGGATATACTATGGTACTCAACAAAGCCAATACACCACAACAGAAGTCACAAAAAAAATAAGCTTCGGTGGTATCCCCAATCGCCGCAACGTTTTATTTTTACAAATCTTTCTGAAGCGTGCTGCGAAGCCAAGCGCTGGAAACATCAGCCTGCTCCAAAGCCTCCCAGCCCTTCTCCGGAACCTTCTCCTGAACCCTGTTGAACCTGATCTGGCTCTGCATCAAAGCGTCCCCGGAACCTTCTCCGGAACCTTCTCCGGAACCCTCTGCACCTGACCTGGCTCTGCACTAAAGCCTCCCAGGCCTTCTCCAGAACCTTCTACGGAACCCGTTGAACCTGACTTGGCTTTGCACCAAGGCTTCCTGGAACCTTTTCCGGAACCTTCTCCGGAACCCAGTTGAGTTTGACCTGGCTCTGCACCAAAGCCTCCCTGCACCAGTGCACACCGGAGCTATTCTGGGCTGAAGGCGCGAAGCAAATTTCGATTTCAAAATGTACAAAAGACACCAAGTTCGGAACACTCTTGGGAGTTTAGATGTCGAAAAAGTGCACACCGTTGTGGGCGAAGCACATTTCGAAGTCAAAATGTACAAAACACACCAACGTCGGAGCACTTTTGGAAGATGACAAAACACCACATGTTCGCGCCACTTTTGGACGTTGAAGCGTCGTTTGGCGTGGCACGCGCAAGGGATTGCGCACCTTGATGTCGGCAAGTGCCACGCCTGCCACACAAAGTGAAGGTCTTAGCAAACCTGAAGATCTGATACTCCAAAATGCAACCCCTCTCACAAAATCAGCACCCTGACCTCCTAACATCTCCAAAACATGTCTCTTGTGCTGCAGCCACGCGAACTCATCTTCGCAGATCCTCTAAATGCCCCACGCCTGCCAACGTCGTTGAAACTGGTACACCACCCCTCACATTTTGCTCGACCTTCACTTTGTGTGGCAGGCTAAGCACTTATGGCACTGCGCTGGCTCTGGTTGCGCGCTTGCGTCCCGTTGTCGCCATGATCGGCGTGGCCGTTTGTGTGGCAGGCGTGGCACTTGGCGACATCCAGTTTCATGTGGCGTGGCAGGCGTGGCACTTGGTTACATTGACCTTCACTTCATGCGTCAGGCGTACTTGGTGACATCGATTCACTTTGTGTGGCAGGCGTGGCATTTGGCGACATCGACCGTCACTTTGTGTCACAACCTGGCTCTGGTGGCGCGCTTGAATCCCGTTGTCGCCGTGGTCGCCGCGGCTGTTTGTGTGGCAGGCGTGGCACTTGGCGACATCTAGTGGTTGCTTCTCCGGAACATTCTTCGGAACCCTGTTGAACCTGACCTCGCTTTGCACCAAAGCCTCCCAGACCTTCGAACCTTTTCCGGAACCTTCTCCGGAACCCTGTCCTGACTCTGCACCAAAGCCTCCCAGACCTTCGCTGGAACCTTCTCTGGAACCTTCTCCAAAACCCTGTTGAACCTGACTTGGCTCTGCACCAAAGCCTCCCAGACCTTCTCCGGAAGCTTTGGAACCCTCTCGGAACCTGACCCGGCGCCTGCACCAGTGCACACCGGAGCTATTCTGGGCTGAAGACCTCATTAGCTTACGCTGTTGGGGAACAAAGAACGCTGCTTCCCTTTGAACGTGTCCTCGCTTCAAAGAAAAACAAGGTACCGCCGCCCGTAGCGAACTCGGTCCTTTTTACCTTTCTCAGTTGCAGGTGCAAAATCTCACGCGCAAAGTTCTTTCAGAACCTTGGGCAACATTTGCCAAAAGGCATGGCGTTGAGCAAAGCATGAAAGATGTTAGAGGTATGTACAACCATCTAAAGAAGACATGTGGAGCGTAGCATCGAACATGTGAGCAAGTGCGCAAAGACGTTATACATCCCCCGAATCCCGAAGGTATGTGTGATCATGTCAAGAAGACATGTGGAGCGTAGCATCGAACATGTGAGCTAGTGCACAAAGACGTTAACATCCCCCCACTCCCGAAGGTATGTGTGATCATGTCAAGAAGACGTGTGGGGCGTAGCATCGAACATGTGAGCTAGTGCAAAAAGACCTGAACATTCCCCCCTCCCGAAGGTATGTGTGATCATGTCAAGAAGACGTGTGGAACGTAGCATCGAACATGTGAGCAAGTGCACAAAGACGTTAACATCCCCCCTCCCGAAGGTATGTGTGATCATGTGAAAAAGACCCGTGCAAAGTAGCATCCAACATGTGAGCAAGTGCACAAAGACGTTGACATACCCCCCGAAGGTATGTGCGATCATGTCAAGAAAATGTGTGGAGCGCAGCATCGAACATCTGAGCAAGTGCACAAAGACCTTCACATCCCCCCCTCCCGAAGGTATGTGTGATCATGTCAAGAAAACGTGTGGAGCGTAGCATCGAACATGTAAGCAGGTGCACAAAGACCTTAACATTCCCCCCTCCCGAAGGTATGTGTGATCACGTCAAGAAGACGTGTGTAGCGTAGCATCGAACATGTGAGCAAGCGCACAAAGATGTTAACATCCCCCCCACCCAAAGGTATGTGCGATCATGTCAAGAAGACGTGTGGGGCGTAGGATCGAACATGCGAGCAAGTGCACAAAGACCTTAATATCCCCCCCGAAGCTTATGAGTGATCATGTCAAGAAAACATGTGGAGCGCAGCATCGAACATCTGAGCAAGTGCACAAAGACCTTCACATCCCCCCCTCCCGAAGGTATGTGTGATCATGTCAAGAAAACGTGTGGAGCGTAGCATCGAACATCTGAGCAAGTGCACAAAGACCTTAACATCCCCCCCTCCCGAAGGTTATGTGTGATCATGTCAAGAAGATGCGTGGAGCGTAGCATCGAACATGTGAGCCACTGCACACAGACCTCAACATCCCCCCCCCGCCCGAATGTATGCGTGAGTATGTGAGGTATGTGTGATCTTGTAAAGAAGCCATGTGTGTATGCAGATGACAGTCATGAAATTAAAAAAACAGCACGAACACCGAGTTCGCTACGGGCGGTGGTAGCAAAAACAAGGGGAGTCAGGTTTAACATGTGACACAGTCAGTGTCTGTGATGAGTCAGTCTTGCTTACGCCATTGTCAAACCCAAAAGGGCACCCAAACTCTTTGAGTGACACTCAGGGTTTAACAATTACGCAGTGTAATGTACTGGGAGATGACAATTATGTAAAAAAAACAATATACCATGTGAGAGACAGGGTTTAACATGTATGCTGTATGCAGTGTAATGTACTTATTATTTTTGTAGGTGTGTATAAATTTGCAAAAAAAAATGAAAAAGAAAATTAGATACGTTATACCACTTTATACTGCAAATACCAGTACAAACAGCATGTCCTGGGGTCGTCGGGGGGCGGGGGGCGACGATATTATATATAAATTATATATATATAACTACGTGTGTGTATATATATATATATGTGAGTATATGTATATACACCACTACGTGCATATTATATATACACCACAAGGTGTATGTATACATATAATATATATATATATACCAGCATATGTATACTATATGGAAATGAGACATCAAGCCTCATACCTGCGCGATACCGATGGGATTCAGGCCCTCCAGCTCCGGGACTTTGGCGAATCTTTTTCTTGTCTTCGCCCATGGTTGAAAAGATGTCAAAATATGTCAAATCATCAAGATCCTTGAAAAATCTGATAAAAATTAAACATCCAAGGGGCATTGTCCCAAGGCAAAGTGTTCAGGTCGCTCAACTGCTGCGGACGGTGCCAGAATTCATCGAAGTTGGCTGCTTCCCCCAAGTTTTCTCCTGACAGAAATTCTGTGAGATTCTAGAATACGGCTGCTTACAATTGTAGCAATCTGAATGATTCTGAACGCAGACAGACTAGGATAGACCAAGTGTAACAATCCCTAATAGCATCCCAACAGCATCCCAAAGTCTCCCCCAAAGCATCCCTGACCTGCATAAGCTCGCTGTTGCTGCACTAGCCTCTTCGCGGCTCGAAACATTGCGGGAGTTACCACACTCCTCGGCAGGGCAAATGGCATACGGGGCGCTGCAAAACTGATCTGCAGTGTACTCATGTGATTTCTCGTTATTTGGAGCCAGCGGGCACTAAACAACCCAGCACCTGCACATGTCCGCCAACATTTCGGCCGAGGCGATGGTTTTGCGCAAATCACTTCCTCTCCCTTTCCCGCATATAAAGCAGCTACAGCAAATCCGACAACCGCAGGTGACATTGGATGCAAAATGCCAACCTTCCCACCTCACAGCTCGGATTTTGACAGAGTGGTCGGAGGTTTGCATCAGCTTTGGCATTGCTACATGTATCTCCTTTCCGGAGATGTAGCTGCAGCTGACAAATCGAACTATCTGTCTGCCATTTCCACCTCTTTGCGCTGCGCAGACCCAAAGCACTTTGCACAAGTCACCTGTGATAGGTCTCCTTCCACGAACTGATAGCCTGCCAAACAGCAATACCAGCCGCAAGTTATCTTCCAAGTGGTAGATGGTGAGAATACCAGGATCTTGCTGTTCCTGTGGACCATTTGGTGACGTGCTGACCGAACCATGGTTGGCAAATATTTCGCCGTGATATTCACCTTGTCTTCGATATTCTTCATGGCGTCTGACAAAGCTACTTTCGAACCTTGTGAATCAGATTTGAGTGAGCCCAATTCTTCTCTCAGGCGGACAACAAGATCCTTGTCGACTTTGTTCTCCAGCTGTTTGCCCAAGGAGATGAGGTATAATATAGAGAAGGAGCCTTCGTGTCACCCTTGGAGCCGGAGGGCGTGTCATTGAAAGTTGGAGGCGTTGACTGCCATCGATTCCAGAGCTTCTTGTGCATACTCGAGAGAGACATTGCTCTTCCACCGCCTCAAGTATCCGACTTGGCTGATTGCCCAACCTTTCCTGATGTACTGCAAGGCACCTGAGCGCCTGGTGGAGTGACCCGTGACGGATCTGCTACGCAGCCTTTTCCAAACGCTGACAATCTCTGCTTTCGTGGCACCTTCTCCGCCGTCGCAAATGGCTAGGTGGCCGCCCTTCGCGCCCTTCAGAACGGCATTGTTGACCAGCATCTCCAAAACTGCGTAAGGGCAACGGAGGTCGCACCCCTCTTCGCAAATGCATTGAAGTGTCCTGGAGATACTTTGTCCTTCAGAGTCATCTTGGATTGTTGCCATGTAATCGTAACCATGCGACTGTCGGGGTCAAACTTTACGTTCGACGATTTGAGGTCGGCCAGCTCTATTCTGCCATCACCCACTCCGCAAGCAAACAGATGAGCTGGTAGCAGGACTCGGAAACCTGTGCGTGGGTGTTTTGCAAGAATTGGTGTGACGCCCATTCCATTTCGGGCACTTCTATTGCCTTCTTGCGAGGGCGCATGCCCCGTTTCGCTGCTGCCATGCACAGTTTATAGTTTATAGCTGCACTTCCACGTGGATGGTCTTTAGCCTCCGCCAATAGATGTATGCTGACTTATAACCAGCTTCCTTCAACGTGCCAACCAGGAGTTTCAGGGAGCGAGGTGAAAGTGGTAGAGGTTGATGACGGGCTTCCAAAATAATTATTCTCAACGGTCTTGTGCCTGGACAGCTTTGCAGCACGTGACGAGTTGGAGTAAAAACCCTTCTCCACCTGATTAACCACTGGGCTCACGTTCTTCTTGGATGTAGCTAGCCTGACAGCACTGCGTAAAGATGGTTTCCGTATGTTGTGGACCGAAGAGCGTTTTGGGAGGTCCTTCCTCCGGCACCGCGATGGCTTTTTCGGTTCGCTGTCCTTGGCGTTTTCCTTTCGTTCGGGAGTGTCAACCTGATCGAGGCGTGTTCCTTTTGACATCAGAGGTGGCAACGTCAGCTCAGGAATCAAAGTTCAGAAAGTTTGCCCCAATCTGAGCTGAGCCTCTTGACCGGGGATGCTAAAAGTTCCCGCCACCATGGCCCTTGATTTGTGTTGGACAAGGACCCCGGTGGAGAAGGTGGGAATATGCGTTTGAAAGTTGAGGGGGCTGAGCTTGGGACTTCAATGGTGACAGTATCATCCTGCGTACTACTTTGCAATGTTGTAGGGCCATGTAGGGCCCATCGTGCCGAACAAGTTGGCAGTGTCATAAGAAGCTGACTCCCGCTCTGGGTTTAGTCCAGCACCAGGAAGCAATCCCTCCCCGCCAACTGGTGGCTTCTCCAAATGTCCTTCCTCCGTGTCATAATTGGAGAGGTTTGGTCTGGTATCCTTGTCACAAAGGTCGCCAGATCCCCTCCGTCCTTGGGGTACCACGACCGTGGTAGCGTCGTTGCTGGGTTGGTGCGGGCTCTTGAGCAAGTGGAGGAGGTGCCTGCTTGAATGGTCTTCGGTATCTGCTGGTCCCGCCGCATGACCCAGCAACAGTTGAAGCATCCCTTCGCGCTGAGGAGCGAGAGGCATAGTAGGACGCTGCAAAATGCTATAGTCCTCCCCAAAAGGTCCATGGATTGGGAGGGACCACGATTTGAGCAGGTGCCGCGGGAAGTGAATAAAGCACTAAACTTGCCATGCTTGAGTCTAGACAAGCAAAGAAAACTTTATGAAAATCAAAAATGTTAACATGAGGCCATGATCATCGCATGAAGAGAGGACAATAAAATGCGGCGCTGAAAATGCAGCAGTTATCCTTGCAATTTATCCCTGCAAAAATGTCATCAGTGAAGGTCTGGCCATATGTTGTTGGCCGCCACACTGGAAATCCACAAATCCGGGGCCAACTGCGGTGGCGGGAGGTGATAGAATTCCTGTCCCCTAGGTGCTTCATCCTTATGCACTGGGAGACCTTTGAGTTCAAGTGCAAAACTCCTCCTTAGCCATCCGGCCGGGCCTGCTCAAGAAATCCGCCACGACGTTGGCAGCACCCGGAATGTGGCTGCATTTCAGCCCCTCAATACCAATCTTCTCACATTGAATTGCCACTTCCGCCCCCAGAAAGTTGAAAGCGAGTTTCGAACTTGACATTTTGTGTGTGGTGGCCAGGGCAACGATGCTGTCTGAAACCTGTAGCTCAACGTGGCAGGAGGCGAACTCTTTCTCCCCCGCTTTGCTGCCGATCATGACCTTTGAGCGGAATCTGTTCGACTGCGAGGATCTTGCAACTTCGTTCGCAGCATATAGCATGGGTAAGTGCGAGACAAACGTTCTACAGCCATCTCGTACCCGTGCAGCGCCGCCAAGCCCACAGCGTGCAACATTATGAGCGATGTTCTCAGCAGCCTGAAGCACGTCCTCCACTGTGTAAATGTGGCTGGACCTTGCAACTCTTTTGTTGTGTATCCAGTGGAGGTCAACACATACGTCCGGAAACGAAATGCTTTCAGTGCTCGGTGTCATATTTTGCAAAGTCCACGAAATGGGGCTGTGTCCTGGGTCGTAATCCTCCTTTGCAAGGCACTGAGTTGTTCCAATGTAGGGTCTTCTTCTTCTGGAGGCCACCCACCCACGGTAGCCAGGTACTGTTGATACCACGCGGCTCTGGAGTCTTCGCCTTGTAGTATGAATTCCCCATCGTCTCCTTGATCCAAGATCTGTGTCATCTTCATCTGGCGCTCTGTCCCAGATGGGTTTGACAAAACCTTCGACGTGGCCTGGACTTCCGCGCGCTGTGATCCAAAGGGCGACGTTTCCGTTATCCCAATCCCCTCCTCCTTTGGTGTTCTGTATGCGCTTCGCCAAGCTGTAGATGAGTCTCACATGGGAAGCTTGGACTGTTGAAAGGGGATGACCATCGGGTAGCAGAGCTCTTTCCAGTGCCCTGCCAATAGGCGTAGGTCGTCGCCTGGATTTCCAGCCACTGCAGTGAAGGAATCCCACAGTTCCGCTGGCAGGCTGTAGTGGTCTCTCAATTGTCGAATTGTACCCATCTGCATAGCGGCTGATTGAGCAGGATACATAGCTGACTGCACACCAGAAAACAATCCGCAAAAGAAGAAACATCATGTTGCTGGTGGCAGGTCAGCTTGAGCCAAAATCGCCGACCATGCCACCAGCTTATTGTCACGCAGAAAGTTCGTGGAAAGTTCGTTGTCTAAACAAAATGCTGAACACGCTACATGGTTGCCAGCTTGCCTCATTATTTTCTTGTCAGTCTTGCTCCTTTTCTGTTGCTCTCGTTGTGGTGGTAGCAATCCGTTGCTGCTGAAGTTTTTGGTGTCATCTCATGGCAGGTGCTTTCTCCGCTTTTGAGACACTCAATCACTGATGTCAGAGACCATTCTCGGCACATGCCTCTGAATGTCAATCTGTGCGCGTCTGCATGTGTCACACAAACCAACTTGAAACTGACTTTCAAAAAAAAAAGTTTCCATGACTTACTTACCTGTGCTTGCCTGTACTTGCCTGCTTGCCACGTGCCCATTTCAGCATCAAGTTCATCAATTGCATCCAAGCTTCGCAATTATGTCTCTGGGGCGTGAAACACAGATGCCGTTCAGAAAAACAAAAGGTGAGTAAGGTGGGTCAACAGCTGCAATGCCAAACCTAGCAATGAAGTGAGCCAAGTTGGGGCCGAGCCCATTGATCTGGCCCCAGTGCACCTGAGTGCTTGGTGCTAATCCCTGCGGACAGTTCGTTGCTGTGGACAGCCAATCCAATGCTGTGACCGCGGTTTGGTGGTCAAGGAAATTCACGAAAGCCAAAGAGAGGTTCTTGTGGGTCCGTATATCATAGGGCAAATGGACGAAATCATATTTGCCTTCTGCTATCTGGTCCAGCATCTCTACGAGTACAACGCTCGTGCAGCGAGGCGGAACTCGTTTCAGCACCAAGCTTGTGAGTGATTCACCCATATCTTACCATCTGCGATCCTGAAAGAAGACCACAACAAAAGCAAAAAAACATCAAAACATCCAAGACATAAATGGATGGAACAAGAACTCAAGCCAGCAGGATGACAGCCGTGCAAGCTTTGCTCTTCACATGTCTTTACCTTGGGATCTTGGTTTCTGTACAACCACTTCAACTTTGACAAGCTCTCGCCTCTGCTCCGCAGACTGGCCTTTGGACTTTGGAGTCGGACCTGCATTCCTAATGCTACAAGCACGCAAACGTTTTATACAGTACTTCTTCGAGCCAAATCGCTCTGGGAGGTAGCGTTTTATTCAGACAGAGCCATCCCCTCAGCACCTGCGAGCAAAGTACTTGATTGTGTTGCGGATCTGATTAACACTTGCCATCTGACCCAATCATCGAAAGCAAAGCTGGCTGTTCATGCTCTTTTAAGCTGGCCCGAGACCTGTACATTGGCTAAAGATGGCTAAAGTCTGGCAGTGCCACGGTCACTAGCAGCACAGGAAGGCACTAGCAACACTAGCAGTCAGGAAGTTCCCGACCACTGACCTCCAAAATCTCCGCTTCTGGCCTCGGGCCAGGATTGTCACAATACAACCGGCCTTGCGGCAACAACAAAAACAGCATAGGCCAAAGCATAAGAAAACCGAAAAATCATGGAAAAAAACAAATTAAAGGACCGGATAACCCCACAAGTCAACTTCTTCCAATAATGAGCATCAAAGGTTGTAGCGGGGACGGGGAAGGAAGGAAAGACAAAGGAGGTGGTGAAGGATCGAGAAGTTAAAACGGTTGTGTGTGACAAAGTGGAATGTGAAAGAAACGTCCCGGAACAGAAAACATGCTAGAGACGTAGCTACGTAAACATGCCCGCAAACGAAACATGAATTTGATGTCCAAAGGGTTTTCTGCTCCAGTTGCTTTTGCTTGAGCTAAACATGCCAGAAAAGCAAACATGCCAAAACAAGCCGATGAAAGAAACGTCCCGGAACATAAAACATGCCAGAGACGTAGCTACGTAAACATGCCGGCAAACGAAACATGAATTTGATGTCCAAAAAGTTTTCTGCTCCAGTCACTTTTGCTTGAACTAAACAGGCCAGAAAAGCAAACATGCCAAAACAGGCCGGAGACGCAGCTAGGTAAACATGCCGGCAAACGAAACATGAATTTGATGTCCAAAAAGTTTTCTGCTCCAGTCGCTTTTGCTTGAGCCAAAGCGACTTGTGAAAGATAGTATGTGAAAGACGGTGTGCGACAAAGTTGTGTGTGAAAGATGGTATGTGACGAAGTGTGTGTGAAAGATGATGATGTGTGTGAGGCGGGAGGCGGGAGGATGGTGTGTGACAAAGATGTGCGTGAGAGAATTGTTGAGAAAGATTGTATGAAAGATGGTGTGTGACAACACATTGAGACAGATGGCGTGTGACAAAGATACTATGTGACAGATGGTGTGTGACAAAGATGTGTGTGAGATGGTCTGTGAAACCAAGGTGGATGTCACATAGGCGTCACGCCTGCCACGCAAAACGAAGGTGGATGTGACATTGTACCACGCTTGCCACGCAAAACGAAGGTGGATGTGAGATTGTGCCACGCCTGCCACGGGCGACCAAAACCAGCCCAAGCGCGCCACCCAGTGCCATGAGTGCTGCGCCTGCCACACAAAGCCAAGGTGAATGTGAGATGGTGCCACGCCTGCCACGTGAAACCAAGGTGGGTGTCACCATTGTGCCACACCCGCCACGCAAAGTGCCGCGGCGTCACGGGCGACCAAAACCAGCCCAAGCGCGCCACCCAGTGCCATAAGCGCCACGCCTGCCACGCAAAACGAAGGTGGATGTGAGATGGTGCCACGCCTGCCACGTGAAACGAAAGTGGATGTCACCTTGTGCCACGCCTGCCACGCAAAGTGCCGCGGCCGACCAAAACCAGCCCAAGCGCGCCACCCAGTGCCATAAGCGCCACGCCTGCCACGCAAAACGAAGGTGGATGTGAGATGCCACACCTGCCACGCAAAACGAAGGTGGATGTGACATTGTACCACGCCTGCCACGCAAAACGAAGGTGGATGTGAGATTGTGCCACGCCTGCCACGCAAAGTGCCGCGGCCCGTCACGGGCGACCAAAACCAGCCCAAGCGCGCAACCCAGTGCCATAAGTGCCACGCCTGCCACGCAAAACCAAGTTGGATGTGAGATTGTGCCACGCCTGCCACGCAAAACGAAGGTGGATGTGACTTTGTACCACGCCTGCCACGCAAAGTGCCGCGGCGTCATCCGCGACTAAAACGGGCCCAAGCGCGCCACCCAGTGTCATGAGTGCCGCGCCTGCCACGCAAGATGGTGTGTGCAAGATAGTTGTTGACAGATGGTGTGTGACAAAGTTGTGTGTGAAAGATGGGACAGATGGTGTGTGACAAAGTTGTGTGTGTGAAGTTATTGTGTGTGAAAGATGGTGTGTGCAAGATGGTGGTTGAGAGATGGTGTGTGACAAAGTTGTGTGTGAAGTTATTGTGTGTGAAAGATTGTGTGTGAAAGATGGTGTGTGTGCAAGATGGTGGTTGAGAGATGGTGTGTGACAAAGTTATGTGTGAAGTTATTGTGTGTGAAAGATGGTGTGTGCAAGATGGTGGTTGACAGATGGTGTGTGAAGTTATTGTGTGTGAAAGATGGTGGTTGAGAGATGGTGTGTGACAAAGTTGTGTGTGAAGTTTATTGTGTGTGAAAGATGGTGGTTGAGAGATGGTGTGTGACAAAGTTGTGTGCGAAGTTATTGTGTGTGAAAGACGGTGGTTGAGAGATGGTGTGTGACAAAGTTGGTGTGAAGTTTATTGTGTGTGAAAGATGATGGTTGACAGATGGTGTGTGACAAAGTTGTGTGCGAAGTTACTGTATTGTGTGTGAAAGATGGTGGTTGAGAGATGGTGTATGACAAAGTTGTGTGTGAAGTTTATTGCGTGTGAAAGATGATGGTTGACAGATGGTGTGTGACAAAGTTGTGTGCGAAGTTTTTGTGTGTGAAAGATGGTGGTTGAGAGATGGTGTGTGACAAAGTTGTGTGTGAAGTTTATTGTGTGTGAAAGATGATGGTTGACAGATGGTGTGTGACAAAGTTGTGTGTGAAGTTTATTGTGTGTGAAAGATGACGGTTGACAGATGGTGTGTGACAAAGTTGTGTGTGTGAAGTTTATTGTGTGTGAAAGATGATGGTTGACAGATGGTGTGTGACAAAGTTGTGTGCGAAGTTTTTGTGTGTGAAAGATGATGGTTGACAGATGGTGTGTGACAAAGTTGTGTGCGAAGTTATTGTGTGTGAAAGATGGTGGTTGAGAGATGGTGTGTGACAAAGTTGTGTGTGAAGTTTATTGTGTGTGAAAGATGATGGTTGACAGATGGTGTGTGACAAAGTTGTGTGAAGTTTATTGTGTGTGAAAGATGATGGTTGACAGATGGTGTGTGACAAAGTTGTGTGCGAAGTTATTGTGTGTGAAAGATGATGGTTGACAGATGGTGTGTGACAAAGTTGCGTGCGAAGTTATTGTGTGTGAAGATGATGGTTGACAGATGGTGTGTGACAAAGTTGAAGTTATTGTGTGTGAAAGATGATGGTTGACAGATGGTGTGTGACAAAGTTGTGTGCGAAGTTATTGTGTGTGAAAGATGATGGTTGACAGATGGTGTGTGACAAAGTTGTGTGCGAAGTTATTGTGTGTGAAAGATGATGGTTGACAGATGGTGTGTGACAAAGTTGTGTGCGAAGTTATTGTGTGTGAAAGATGATGGTTGACAGATGGTGTGTGACAAAGTTGTGTGTGTGTGAAGTTTATTGTGTGTGAAAGATGATGGTTGACAGATGGTGTGTGACAAAGTTGTGTGTGAAGTTTATTGTGTGTGAAAGATGATGGTTGACAGATGGTGTGTGACAAAGTTGTGTGCGAAGTTATTGCGTGTGAAAGATGGTGGTTGAGAGATGGTGTGTGACAAAGTTGCGATGCAAAGAAGTTATTGTGTGTGAAAGATGATGGTTGACAGATGGTGTGTGACAAAGTTGCGTGCGAAGTTATTGTGTGTGAAAGATGATGGTTGACAGATGGTGTGTGACAAAGTTGTGTGCGAAGTTATTGTGTGTGAAAGATGATGGTTGACAGATGGTGTGTGACAAAGTTGTGTGTGTGTGAAGTTTATTGTGTGTGAAAGATTATGGTTGACAGATGGTGTGTGACAAAGTTGTGTGTGAAGTTTATTGTGTGTGAAAGATGATGGTTGACAGATGGTGTGTGACAAAGTTGTGTGTGTGTGAAGTTTATTGTGTGTGAAAGATGATGGTTGACAGATGGTGTGTGACAAAGTTGTGTGTGAAGTTTATTGTGTGTGAAAGATGATGGTTGACAGATGGTGTGTGACAAAGTTGTGTGTGTGTGAAGTTTATTGTGTGTGAAAGATGATGGTTGACAGATGGTGTGTGACAAAGTTGTGTGTGAAGTTTATTGTGTGTGAAAGATGATGGTTGACAGATGGTGTGTGACAAAGTTGTGTGAAGTTTATTGTGTGTGAAAGATGATGGTTGACAGATGGTGTGTGACAAAGTTGTGTGCGAAGTTATTGTGTGTGAAAGATGATGGTTGACAGATGGTGTGTGACAAAGTTGCGTGCGAAGTTATTGTGTGTGAAAGATGATGGTTGACAGATGGTGTGTGACAAAGTTGTGCGAAGTTATTGTGTGTGAAAGATGATGGTTGACAGATGGTGTGTGACAAAGTTGTGTGCGAAGTTATTGTGTGTGAAAGATGATGGTTGACAGATGGTGTGTGACAAAGTTGTGTGCGAAGTTATTGTGTGTGAAAGATGATGGTTGACAGATGGTGTGTGACAAAGTTGTGTGCGAAGTTATTGTGTGTGTGAAAGATGATGGTTGACAGATGGTGTGTGACAAAGTTGTGTGCGAAGTTATTGTGTGTGAAAGATGATGGTTGACAGATGGTGTGGGACAAAGTTGTGTGTGAAGTTATTGTGTGTGAAAGATGATGGTTGACAGATGGTGTGTGACAAAGTTGTGTGCGAAGTTATTGTGTGTGAAAGATTATGGTTGACAGATGGTGTGTGACAAAGTTGTGTGTGTGTGAAGTTTATTGTGTGTGAAAGATGATGGTTGACAGATGGTGTGTGACAAAGTTGTGTGCGAATTTATTGTGTTTGAAAGATGATGGTTGACCGATGAGTGTGTCAAAGTTGTGTGCGAAGTTATTGTTTGTGTGAAAGATGATGGTTGACAGATTGGTGTGTGACAAGTTGTGTTCGAGAGTTATTGTGGGTGAAAAGATGATGGTTGGACAGATTGGTGGGGGACAAAGTTTGTGTGGAAGTTATTGTGTGGTGCCAGATGATGGTTACAGTATGGTGTGTGACAAGTTGTGTGGCCAGTTATTGTGTGTGAAAGTGATGGTTGACGAGATGGTGTGTGACAAGTGTGTGTTTGTGTGAAGTGGTTATTGTTGTGTGTGAAAGATGGTGTGTGACAAAGTTTTGTGTGACAAAGTTGTGTGTGACAAAGTTGTGTGTGACAGAGGGGTGTGTGACAAAGTTGTGTGCGAAGTTATGTGTGCGAGTTATTGTGTGTGAAAGATGATGGTTGACAGATGGTGTGTGACAAAGTTGTGTGCGAAGTTATTGTGTGTGAAAGATGATGGTTGACAGATGGTGTGTGACAAAGTTGTGTGTGTGTGTGAAGTTATTGTGTGTGAAATTGTGTGTGAAAGATGATGGTTGACAGATGGTGTGTGACAAAGTTGTGTGTGAAGTTTATTGTGTGTGAAAGATGATGGTTGACAGATGGTGTGTGACAAAGTTGTGTGCGAAGTTATTGTGTGTGAAAGATGATGGTTGACAGATGGTGTGTGACAAAGTTGTGTGCGAAGTTATTGTGTGTGAAAGATGATGGTTGACAGATGGTGTGTGACAAAGTTGTGTGTGAAGTTTATTGTGTGTGAAAGATGATGGTTGACAGATGGTGTGTGACAAAGTTGTGTGCGAAGTTATTGTGTGTGAAAGATGATGGTTGACAGATGGTGTGTGACAAAGTTGTGTGTGAAGTTATTGTGTGTGAAAGATGATGGTTGACAGATGGTGTGTGACAAAGTTGTGTGTGAAGTTTATTGTGTGTGAAAGATTATGGTTGACAGATGGTGTGTGACAAAGTTGTGTGTGAAGTTTATTGTGTGTGAAAGATGATGGTTGACAGATGGTGTGTGACAAAGTTGTGTGTGTGTGAAGTTTATTGTGTGTGAAAGATGATGGTTGACAGATGGTGTGTGACAAAGTTGTGTGAAGTTTATTGTGTGTGAAAGATGATGGTTGACAGATGGTGTGTGACAAAGTTGTGTGCGAAGTTATTGTGTGTGAAAGATGATGGTTGACAGATGGTGTGTGACAAAGTTGTGTGTGAAGTTTATTGTGTGTGAAAGATGGTGTGTGACAAAGGTTGTGTGACGAGGCGGAGGAGGCGGAGGAGGCGGAGGAGGCTCGGGATACAGAATCAAAAACAAGAACCCCACACAAAGTTGTGTGTCAGTACCATGCCAGAGTATATGACTTCGCTGGCGCACATTGCAAATGAAATAATGAAATCCAATTGAAATCAGGTTCGAGTAGCCATTTTGTCCACAGTAGGGGCTCAATCTTTTTAGCGTACTGCGACATGCACCATGCCTGGCAGTTGGCTACGAGGAGACTGAATCAAATTGAAAAAATGATCTCGAGAAACAGTGAGAAAGTAGCCCAGCATACAAGCCCAATAGCAAAGTTTCGCATTTCCTTTGGCGCCAATTGGTGCCAACAGGTGAACCAATTTGGTCCAAAAAAAATACCGTTCCCTCAATACCACCAAGACACCACCAGAACACCGCCAAGACGCCACAGAAACACAACTAAAACATACCAAAACATCAGCAGGACACAAAGACCCGACCAGGACACCATAAAAACGTCACTAACATACTTAACATACATACCGCCAAAACACTACAGACATACCACCAAAGTGCCACCAAGACACCAACGACCACCGAAAAGATACCAACAAGACAAAAACATACAAAAACTACCAATTGCCCAAAGCACCTGCAACAAGTTTTCCCAAAGAGTTGCTGCCAGCATATTTTGTCTTAATCAGTTTCTCTCATCACCATCTTTCGCAAACACCATCATCACAACACAATCAAAACAACATGATCATCACATCATAATCATAATCGCAATCGTCGTCATCATCATCATCGTCGTCGTCGTCGTCGTTGTCGTCGTCGTCGTCATCGTCGTCATCATCATCATCTTCTTCTTCATCAGCATCATCAGCATCATCAGCATCATCAGCATCATCAGCATCATCATCATCAACATCATCAGCATCCATTATCGCCGTCGCCGTCGTCTTCATCATCACCACCATCACCATCACAATCACCATCATCATCACTCGTCAGTTTTAGCAAAGTTCGACTTGTGTGCGGATGAAGGTGGACATGACCTTCTGAAGCACATCTACAAATTTAGATTTATGTGCGCAGGTGTAGATGCCGGTGTAAAATATTGTTGCGGGTGTTTAGATTCAGGTGCATGGGCGCAGGTGCAAAGAATCTTCGTGAATCTTCTCTATTAACACAACTGCATATATGCGGGTGTATTGCGGCAGGTGTATAAGTATCAACTTCTTAAAGCACTTACAACTTGATATATGAAGGTGTATAGGTGTATAGTGGCAGCTGCAAAGATGCAGGTGGAGCTCAACTTCTTAAAAGCAGCTACAACCTCAAAAGTCTTTCTAGCTTTTCTCTTAGGGTGGCAGGGCAGTATCGATTGATGCCCAGAAAACGGAACCTTCTCGAACGAAATGCGCCTTGATCCTCGAAACCTGCGGTGAAATTGTTATTTTTACGTTTGGATGGTTTTGTGTAGATGCATCTCGATCATCAAAATTTGAAGAAATTGCGGGTTTTGGCATTTCAACGGTTTTGCATAGATTCTCTCGTACGAAATGCATCTCGATCGTCCAAAACTGCAGTGAAATTACAATTGTGCTTGAGGCTCGTGCAACCCTGTCGCACAAAAGGCGTCTCGAACATTTCTGTGTAAAAGCAACGGCCAAAAAAAAATTATCTTTGCTAAAGCATCTCTGTGTAAGAATATGTGTGTACTACAGCACCTGTGTATAAAAGCATATCTGCGTAAGAGCGCGTTACAATAAGAGCATCTTTCTACGAACGTATCTCTATGTGCAAACGTCTATGTGCAAAAGCATCTCTGTGTTGAAAACATCTCTGCGTAAGAGGACCTGTGTGTAGAAGTATCCTCTGCATAAGAATATCTCTGTTTAGAACCATCCCAGTGTCGGAGCCCCTGCCTGTGGACAAGCATTGTGTGTACAAGCATCTCTCTGTGAAAGCACTTGTGTGTATTTCTCTCTCTCTCTCTCTTTGGGACATTCTGTAAAAGTATTTGCGTGTAAAAGCACCTCTTTGCAAAATTATCTGTGCAAAGAAACGCCTCTGTGTAAATATATTGTTGTAAAAATATCTTTGTGTGAGAGTATTTGTCCGCAAAGGCCTCTGTGTGTAAAGGCTCCTCTGTGTAAAAAGCATCCCTGTGCGAAAGCACATGTGTGTAAACGCATTGCTGTGTAAAGGCACCAGTGTGTAGAAGCACCTATGCGTCTGTGTGTAAAAGCTCCTCTGTGTAAAAGTATCTGTGTGTTTACACGTCGTGCAAAAACGTGCCTTTGTTGAGAGCATTTCCGTGTAAAACCACCTGTGTGTAAAAGGTTCCCTGTTTATAAAGACCCCTTTGTGTAGAAGCATTTCCGTCAATTTTTGTGCGCCGTTCCGGTGTTTGAATTTCTAAGCCGCATAGTGTTTGTGCACAATCGTTCGGTATTTGCAGCATTTTTCAGCTTGCAGCTAACGCCTGCAAACTGCATGGTATTATATATGATATTACGCAGCATCTGCACATTGCATGGCACTTTTCCAGTGCAAAATATTTTGCAGCGGCGTGAAGCTAATCTCTGCAAATTGCATGATGTTTGCAGCATTTTGGAACTAACATCTGTAGAGTGCGTTTTATCTTTGCAGCGTTCTGAAACAGAAATTGTAAACTGTAGAGTGCCTGCAGCATTGCAAAACCAAAAACTATTGTTTACACGGTATGCGCAGCACTGGGACTAAAATCTGTGGATCACATGGTGGTTGCAGCATTTTGTAGCTATCACTTCATCACTTGAAAACCGCATAGTTTTTGCGACATTTTGAAATTAACATCTGCAAGTTGAATGCCAACCTGCAGCTTCCTGAAGCCCAAAGCTGCAAGTGGCATGGAATTTGCAACATGTAGCATGTTGTTTCTTTCAATTGCAAAGTGCTTGCGATACTAATCGCCTGGGGCTTGCAACGCTTTGAAAGTAACATGTGTAACTTGGAAACTCTATGCCGCATTCTGGAGCTAGACCTTCGTTTCTTTCTTGCTGCCGTCCTTGCTTCTTTCCCTCCCTCCTTCCTTCCGTCCTGCCTGTTAATATCATTTCCTGCTTTCCCGTGTGCTTTTTGTGCGTGGAGCTTATTTAATGCCTGTTTCTTTGGATGCCTATGCGTGGGAGTCTCGTAGCAAGCGTAGCATGCAGCAAGTACGTTGGCTCCACCGGAGAGCAGCCCACGGCCCTGGTTGCTGCATGGCACCAACGACTGTTCGAAATATATATATATATAATAAAAATAATAAATATATATATAGTTGTTTCGGTAGAAGAGTCGCAATCAGTACATTAACTCCTAACGTACGTGAACAGTCCCCCACCTCAACCCAACCCTGCGAGCGCAATGTCGTCGTGGTCGTCGTCGTTGTTGTCGTCGTCGTCGCCGTCGCCGTCGCCGTCCTCCTCATCCTCATCCTCATCATCATCATCATCATCATCCTCATCCTCATCCATCATCCATCATCCATCATCATCATCATCATCATCATCGTCATCGTCATCGTCATCGTCGTCGTCCTCATCATCATCATCATCATCATCATCATCATCATCATCATCATCATCTTCATCACTAGCATCATCAGCATCATCAGCATCATCAGCATCATCATTATCGTCACTATCGTCAGCAATGATGATCGCCAGCATGACACAGGATGGAACCGTTGAAAATGACCACGCGCATGGTGTGAACAACCAAAAAAAAAACCTTCAAGACTTGAGTGACACGCAGTGAAACGCCGCCGAGATGCAGCCAACCAATCACCAACACAACTGCCGGGGCACCGCCAACACAACACCAGCAAGATGCCACCAAGACACGCGGACACCTTGTATCAGCATGGATACATCTGAGACACCACCTAGGCACCACAGAGTCAGAGGCACCACCGGGACACCATACCGAGACACCATCAAAACCGCACGACACCATGGAGACACCATCGAGACGCCACGAGACTACCAAAACATCACCGAGACACCACCAAAACACCAGAGAGACACCAGAGAGACACCAGAGAGACACCAGAGAGACACCAGAGAGACACCAGAGAGACACCAGAGAGACACCACCAAGATTGCCACTGAGGCACCACCAAGGTACGATCGAGACCGAGACACACCGCCCAGCCCGGCCACCAGGAACCCGACGGCGCCCGTCCGCCTTTAGAGTTAACAACCCCAAGCTATTGATTGGGGAACAATGAGGGACAGGTGCAGAGGGATGGAATGGAGGATGGAGCTTTCAAGCCAAGCAAGTACGGGCGTCTGAGGTCATGCATGGCCATACAAGGTTATACAGGGTCATACAGGGTCATACTAGCTAGCTTCCAGCCATCTCAGTTCTAGTTTCTAATCAACACCACGAGTTGAACGTTTGCCAGCCTGTCGTTTTGGCGGCAATTCAGCAAAAGGTATCCAAAGTGACCAACCACACCTGGGTTAAAGTGGCTGAAGGATGCATGCCGGAATTGCAATCATATTAGTCATGAGTCTATTTTCCAAAGCTTTGGATTTTGCCCGATGCAGCTGCGCCGCTCTTTCCGCGATCTTGAACATTTTTGGCACCAATCAGGACTGTCAGCTGGTACCAAACTGAAGTCCATGGTTTTGAACCTTCAGCCCACAGCAAAAAAAACTCACCCACAAGAAACCCTATGAGCCTGAGTGGATTTCAAGTGTGATTTGCCAGTGCTTAGTTGTCCATGCGATTTTGACCGATTTTGTTTGGTCCGCTGCAAATTCTCACGGGTATCTGAGCGGTATCATGGTTATCATGCGTCATCATTTGCAAGGTGCAGAACTGCGCGGAACTGTGCAGAATCTTCGGCCTCCTATCATAGCATAGGCAACATCTCCAGGCACCAGGTCGCTGGTATCGCGGGTCCTGGAGCACATCGAAGGACAGTGGGACAGTGGGATCAGCACGGAGATGCACGGAGTCCTCCTGTTGGAACTTTGGCTCTGGCAGGGCATCCACTGGTCGTTGTTCACCTTGAAGGTCAGGACCTTAGGGTCGATGACAGGCATCACAGGCATCACCGTGAATGACAAGTCGGCCACATAGCCCATATAGCTTGTCCAAACGAAATCCCACGGCTAGAGCTGCAGAGCTGCGGTCAAAGGCCAGCATTACCTCACACAAACTCATCTCATCGTCTCGGCAGGGCAAGACTCGTGACTTCTTCACTGATTCTATTTGTTTTGGAACTCACTCTTCATTTTCCCTTGCCTCATAGCGCCATTTTCGGTATTGGCCAGGGAAATCTGTCTTGTCATCAGGATCTGCCTGAACAACCTGCAATCTGAGCTTGCTAGACGTAGTTCCTTATTTGACCTTAATTGTGCATCTTGTATCGCACACTGTACACCTTTCTACTTGTTCGCTTTGTGAAATTGGAACGTTCACAAAGTCAAGTCAGTTGGGATATGCTGTTGACAAGTTGTTGTGGCGCACCTCTTCAATCTCGCCTGGCTCTGGTTTGTAGAATTTGGATGGCGAAGTGCCATGCGATATCGCTCCCTGTCACAAGGCGCGAGATGAAGGCAACGGCGGCAACAGGAAGCTGTGCATCGACCAAGGCTTTTGGGCAACCCACCACCCAGCGCAGCTTCTGCATACCATTCGGAGCAGCTTCTCATCTGCCAGCCTTGATCGCTGTAATTTCCAAATCTGCAAGACGTGGCCCTCCTGAAGGTGCAAACATTGAAACATGGCAGAATGGAGCAACATGGAGCAAGCAAACAATGGACCAAGATCGGCCAAGCAATTTTCTCGCAAATCATGTTGATGTGGGTGATGTGTTGCCTCTTCATTTTCGTGCAATTCATTTTTGACAGGTGCACGCAGCCACCTGGCGGCAAACCATTCCAGTGGTGTAGCCTTGGCTGTCGGCTGGCTCGCCAATGATCATGCTGCCGGCTCCCCAACCGCTAGCATGCAGTTGCACCTATACCCTGGTTTCCAAGATGTATCATGACCTGCCGTGGAGACAACAAATAAGAGCAAAAAGTGTGATATTGGAAATATTGGACTATGCAAATAGTGGACAGGACAACATCAAAGGATCTATATAAAGGGCAGAAACGGATGCCGGTGAAATCGGCGAAATCAACTCCAACGCACACCATGCTTGACATGTTTCGACATATGAATTGTGAGTGTGTATGATATGTGTGCTTGGGATATGATTGACAGGTCTGATAGGTTGATGAGACTATTGGCATCAACTTCGTTGTGAGTCCTCCATCTTCCAGAAATGCTTGCCAAGAAACAGGAACTTGCTCCCAGGTTCTGCGGGCGTAGCAGCCGAACACCATGCGACTGTGAAATGGTCTCCACCATGAAGAATCCACACCTCAAAATGAAAGACAATCCAATAGAGACATTAAAAAGCGGAGAACGCTTGTGAAGAGCAGGCAAAGCAGGAATCAACATGCCAACAAGACTATTGAAAGTATGCAAAAAGCTGGAGAAAGAAGAGAGTGTTCAGTCTGTTTGCTTTCCGCTAGAATACTGAGGCAGATCAATGAAAGAGATTGAAAAACCACTGCACAAGACAATGCGCCAGCAAAGCCACCCTGGAAGCTGATTTATCTGGAATATGACACGAATGCCCAGACTGCGAGACAATGTCAGCAAACCAAGCACCTATGCACACACAAAGCTAAACAAACAGTTTTCTACCTCTTGCGAAAACTTATATATGTAAAAAAGACACATGAAAAAAGTATAAAGAAGAAACTATCAAGAACGGTTTGCTATCCGGGTCGATGTTTGGGTAAGACATATTAAGCGCAAGAGAAGGTAGCCATCGAGCCATAGAAGTCGCTCAAGCTGATGGAACAGGCCGATTTAGATTCGAAAGGAATCTTGGCGGATGCTCACCGCAGGACGAAGAACAAGAAAACACAGCAGGCAATAAATGACGATAAAGCATCGAAGAATCAAAGAGGATCAAAGAGGCGAAGAATGCTTGCACCCAAAGGAGCACAGTGAGAGGAAGAGAGCGTCTGAAATTCACTGTATACCGGCAAACACAGACCTCCGCTGTATACCGGCCAATAAATGTCATCCAGTCATCCAGTATGAAATCTCACCAGGCCAATGTCTCACCTCGCCCTGAGGTCCATGCTGGAGTCAATGGATTCTTCAAGGCATCAGCTATTGGAACACCCTTGTCCTCTGGATGCAAAAAAATGTTGGAAGAATAACCAGATTGAAGCTGACATGGAAATGTCAGTAACAGTCCGGTCCTTCTCACTCTTGGAGAGAAGACCGATGGTATTGTGTCCATCCCATGTTGTGTTCGGACCTTCAAATCTCAAAGGAATCAGGTACTCAGTGGCACCTAGCTCTTGCATGTTGCAAAATGTCGGCAATACAACAGGACTGGACAATATCTGGACAATAACCGGACGATCAAGGTGCGCACTTCCTTCTGCAGTATGTGCACCAACATTTCCCAATGCAGAGCCCCTCATCAGCAATGAGAGCAGCTCAGTACTGCAAAGCCAGCAGTCAAAGTTCCTCGGTGCGGTGCGGCATGTGACAAATGTGGCATCCCTGAGAGGTCGTTAAGAAGTCGCAGGAGGTCCTTAGACGAATCATTTTACTTGTATCCGCACGAAGTGCAGTTGTGAGAGTTGTGAAGTGTCACAAAGATCCTTGTATCGCAATGATCTGAGCAGAAGTCTTTGTCAGTTTCTCGTCAAAAGCTATATATATATATAAATTGAAGCAAGTTCTGCAAAAATGCTGAGAAGTCTTACTGGGTTTCCAATTTTGTACGACACATGGAGGAATTTACAACGGCTCAGCTCACGTTTCCACCGCAGCTTGAGGAGATGCACCTTGGGACCAAAGGGAGCTCTCCAGCCTCAAGGAGACACTCCTGCTTGACCTTCTCAATTCCTGGCAGAATCTCCAACTTATCACTCAGTGCTGAAAACTCTGTCACAGAAACCATTTGATGAAAGTTTTGTGTCACAAAACATCCAAATGCATTTCGAACAAGTTTCACTATATCTCAAAATCCGGCCTCGAGTGAAAACAGCAGAGTAGACCAAGTCAATGATTCCTCCAGGCCCTTGAAAATCTGCGATGCGTTCTACGACCTTAGGCGAGTTACTGACCGCCGCAGGTCCACTCCTCGTTTATGCCATCCTAAATAGCATCTGTGCATGCTGCATATTTGTCAAAGAAAGTTGGGGAACAATTTTCCGAGTAACAACGCGTACATAGCAATACATTACATAACAATACATAGCAAAACAATACATAACGTTACATTACATAACACAACACAACACAACATAACAATACATAACAAAACAAAACAAAACAAAACAATACCAGTAGTACCGCACAAGGCGGTGGCGGAAGTTTCAAAAATGGAAAACCTATAGGAGAGGTGACTTGGTGTGACGCAACAATGGCAGAGCGAACCCACTGATGGATTGAAAGGTGAACCTAAAACCATCAAGAACCTAAAACCATCAAGATCAAACAAAGATCGTTTGAGACACAACCCGTGTTGTGAGAGCTAACCCGTCTTAAGTGAAGATTGACATTCTCATGACTAAAAACCAAGCATCTACACATCATTCATAGGATGACAGTCATATCATCATAATAACAACATATTGAACATATAGATGAATCCACCATGAAAGGACAACCGATATTCTCTCATCCAATGGACATGTTCCTACCATAAGCGTCGATACAGGATTAGAAAGACAGCTATCATGCAATGGTATAACCCACGGTTTTGATCGTACAGAAAAACATGAAGAAATGTTACCCGTCCCTCCGACGTGTCTGCCTCACGGTGTCGCGGCAGCTTGTTTTTTCCTAGCAACAGCGGACAGGAATCTTCGGCTGCCGCTGTGCTGGCGTGCGCCATCGTGCCGTCAGAAGTACAGAAAAACATGAAGAAATGTTACCCATCCCTCCGACGTGTCTGCCTCACGGTGTCGCGGCAGCTTGTTTTCTCCTAGCAACAGCGGACAGGAATCTTCGGCTGCCGCTGTGCTGGCGTGCGCCATCGTGCCGTCAGAAAAACAGACCCGAGGCCGGGCTTGGCTTGAATCCCACGTATATCTATCGATCTATCTATCGATATTTCTATCGATCAATCTATCTATATGTCTGTCTATCTATCATTTTTTCTATCCATCTATCTATCGAGCTAACTATCTCTCTATCTATTTGTCTATCTGTCTATCTATCAATCAAATTCTCTCTATATATATATCTCTCTCTCTATCTGTCTATCTGTCTACCTGTCTATCTGTCCATCTATCTGTCTATGTCTCTACCCATCTATTTCTCTATTTGTCTTGGTATCTAACTATCTGTCTATGTGTCTATGTATCTATCTGTCTATCTCGCCATCTATTTCTCTAGCTGTCTCTCTGACTATTTATCTGTTTGTCTGTCTGTCCATCTATCTATTTATCTGTCTGTCTGTCCATCTATCTATGTATCTATCTATCTGTCTATCTATCTATCTATCTGTCTATCTATCTATCCATGTATCTATCTATCTATCTATCTATCTATCTATCTATCTATCTATCTATCTATCTATCTCTCTATGTATCTATCAATCTCTCCATGTATCTATCTATCTCTCCATGTATCGATCTGTGTATCTATCGATGTATCTATCGATCAATCTATCTATCTGTCTGTCTATCTATCTATCTAGCTAGCTATCTATCTGTCTGTCTATCTATCTGTCTATGTCTCTACCCATCTATTTCTCTATTTGTCTTGGTATCTAACTATCTGTCTATGTGTCTATGTGTCTATCTCTCTATGTATCTATCTCTCCATGTATCTATCTATCTCTCCATGTATCGATCTATGCATCTATCAATGTATCTATCTATCTATCCATCCATCCATCCATCCATCCATCCATCTATCTATCTATCTGTCCTTCTATCTGTCTGTCTGTCTGTCAGTCTATCTGTCTAGCCATTTATCTATCAATCTCTTTTACCCAGCTGGCCTCTCTCTCTCTCTCTCTTTCATCTAATTACCTATCTATCTATCTATCTATCTATCTACCTACCTGTCTATCTATCTCTCCCTTTCATCTGTCTATCTGTCTAGCTGTCTACCTGTCTATCTGTGTTGCAGTGTCATTCAGTGTAATGTAGTGTGGTGTAGTGTAATTTAGTGTAGTGGAGTGTACTGGAGTGTATGTAGTGTAATGTAGTGTACTGGAGTGTAGTGTAGTGTAATGTCCTGTAGTGTAGTGAAGCGAAGCGACATCTGAACCTCCAAAAGTGGTCCGAACCCCTGGTGTTTTTAACATTTTGACTTCGAAATGTGCTTCGCGCCACAACGGCGTGCACTTTTTCGACATCTCAACTTCCAAAAGTGGTCCGAGAATGGGGTGTTTTGTACATTTTGACTTGGAAATGTGCTTCGCGCCACAACGGCGTGCACTTTTTCGACATCTCAACTTCCAAAAGTGGCCCGAAGCTGAGGTGTTTTGTACATTTTGACTTGGAAATGTGCTTCGCGCCACAACGGCGTGCACTTTTTCAACATTGCAACTTCCAAAAGTGGTCCGAACCCCTGGTGTTTTGTACATTTTGACTTCGAAATGTGCTTCGCGCCACAACGGCGTGCACTTTTTCGACATCTCAACTTCCAAAAGTGGTCCGAGAATGGTGTGTTTTGTACATTTTGACTTGGAAACGTGCTTCGCGCCACAACGGCGTGCACTTTTTCGACATCTCAACTTCCAAAAGTGGTCCTAACCTGGTGTGTTTTGTACATTTTGACTTGGAAATGTGCTTCGCGCCACAACGGCGTGCACTTTTTCGACATCTCAACTTCCAAAAGTGGTCCGGAGCTGGTGTGTTTTGTACATTTTGACTTGGAAATGTGCTTCGCGCCACAACGGCGTGCAAATTTTCATCTCTCATCTGGCCAGCTGGCTCCGCACCCGCCGCTTTAGCGAGCCTACTTTTCGACCCTCCGGAGCCACAAATCATTGGAAAAACACAGTGTTTCGCGACTTTCCTACCTTTTCGCGCATCTCCATCTTCTTTCTTCTGACTCTTTATCTCTCCTCTGGCCAGCTGGCTCCGCACCCGCCGCTTTAGCGAGCCTACTTTTCGACCCTCCGGAGCCACAAATCATTGGAAAAACGCAGTGTTTCGCGACTTTCCTACCTTTTCGCGGATCTCCATCTTCTGTCTTCTTACTCTTTCTCTTCTACTCTTCTTTCTTCTAGGCTTTCTCTTCTCTCTGCCTCGTCCCTGCTCTGCTTTTCATCTCTCCATATTGTCGGAAGTTTGACTTCTAAACTTCATTCGACCAGACAATACAATACAACGCAATGCAACGCAATGCAACGCAATGCAACGCAATGCAACTACAATACAATACATAACAATACACAACAATACAAGACAATACACAACATGCCAATACCAAACATACTAGCAAATAAAATAACAATACATACATAGATACCACTAGTGCCGCACAAGGCGGTGGCGCAAGCTTCAAAAATAGGAAACCTATAGGAGAGGTTGTCTGTTGCGAATCACGGATGACAGAGCGAATCCATTGATGGACCGAAAGGTGGTTGGAGTTGTGCTTTTTGGAGTGGTTGCAGTGGTTGCCGTGGTCACCTCAGCACAACTGCTGGATGTAGCGTGGCGTAGCGCAATTGTAGTTGTAGTGTAATGGGGTTGTCGTAAGCGTAGTGTAGTGTAATTAGTGTAGTGTAGGTGTAGTTGCAGTTGCAGTTGTAGTTGTGGTTGAGGTGTGGTGCAATTAGTGTATTCTAGTGTAGTGTACCGTAGTGGTGTGTGCTGTAGTGTGGTGTAGTGTAGTGTACTCTAGCGCAGTGTAGTGTAAAGTAGTGTAGTTGTAGCTGTAGTGTAGTGTTATTATATAGTGTAGTGTAGTCTAGTGAAACGTAGTGTAATGCAGTGGCAGCCGTAGTTGCAGTTGCAGTTGTTTTTGTAGCTGTGGCTGTAGCGCACTGCAGTGTAATCAGTGTAGCGTAATGAAGCGTAGTTGTAATTGTAGTTGTGGTGGTGGTGGTGGTGGTGGTGGTGATGGTTGTGGTGGTGGTGGTGGTCGTCGTCGTAGTTGTAGTTGTAGTTGTAGTTGTAGTAGCAGTAGCAGTAGCAGTAGCAGTAGCAGTAGCAGTAGCAGTAACAGCAGTAGTAGTAGTAGTAGTAGTAGTAGTTGCTGTTGTTGTTGTTGTTGCAGCTGTAGTTGTAGTTGTAGTTGCAGCGTACTGCAGTGTAATTAGTGTAGCTGCAGCTGTGGTAGTGGTAGTTGTGCAATTGTAGCTGTACCTGTGGTGGTGGTGGTGGTGGTAGTAGTAGTAGTTGTTGTTGTTGTTGTTGTAGTGGTAGTAGTACTAGTAGTACTAGGAGTACTAGTAGTAGTAGTAGTAGTACTAGTAGTGCTAGTACTACTAGTACTACTAGTACTACTAGTACTACTAGTACTACTAGTACTACTAGTACTAGGAGTACTACTAGTACTACTAGTACTAGTAGTACTGCTAGTACTACTAGTACTGCTAGTACTACTAGCACTAGTACTACGAATACTGCTAGTACTACTAGTACTACTAGAACTACTAGTACTACTAGTACTACTAGTACTACGAATACTACTAGTACTACTAGTACTACTAGAACTACTAGTACTATACTACTAGTACTACTAGTACTACTAGTATTAGTAGTACTAGCAGCACTAGTAGCACTAGTAGTACTAGTAGCACTAGTAGCACTAGTAGCTCTAGTAGTACTATATAGTAGTACGAGTAGGACGAGTAGCACGAGTAGTACTAGCAGCACTAGTAGCACTAGTAGTACTAGTAGCACTAGTAGCACTAGTAGCACTAGTATTACTAGTAGTACGAGTAGGACGAGTAGTACGAGTAGCACTAGTAGCACTAGTAGCACTAGTAGCACTAGTAGTACGAGTAGTACGAGTAGTACGAGTAGTACGAGTAGCACGAGTAGTACGAGTAGTACTAGTAGTACTACTCGTACTAGTACTAGTACTAGTACTACTGTTGATGGAAGAAATCCTGCACCACTTTCAAAGGCCTACACTTGAAACCGCGCGCTGCTAATTTAATATTGCTTGAAAACACGGTGATCAAAATGGATTTGCGCGAGTGACGGAAATCCTGCACCACCTGTCAACATGTCATTCAACATTGAGCTTGGGGTACGGGGGTACAAGTTATACATTAGCAAATCTAAGGTTATAGAGGTGGTGCAGGATTTCTTCCACCCACCGAAGAAAGAAAAGGATTTCTTGTATTTTTGGTCTTGCAAGTTTCTTCCCGTCACCAGCTACTTCTAGGGGATCAAATCCATCGTCGGTTCTTCTTATAGTTCCCCCAATGTGCTTCACTCTTCACCTGCACACAGCTGAGCACGAGGCAAAATGAGCTACATGCCAGCCGCCACACGCTACACTGCAAACTACACGCAACACTCACGCTACACTACACGCAACACTACACGCTACACTACACGCAACACTACCAAAATGCTGCCAGGGGCAGCATTTCAGGTCAGGGCAGAAAAAGCTGACTGGTATTTTCATTTCATTCCTTAAAAGCCTCAAAGCTCCAAAATGCTGCCCCTGCCAGCAGTTCGATAGTGTTGCGTGCAGTGTAGCGTGTAGTGTTGCGTGTAGTGTAGCGTGGGGCTGCCACGCAACACTGGTCACTTTCACGTGCTTCTTTGAAAAGGATTCTGCTTCATCCCTCCTCCTGGTCCGGTAATCATTTTCTGGCATGCCAGCGCTGCTCTGCCCAGCTTGTGTTGCAATATAGTCAAATCTAAATGCCCCAGGCTTGATGACCTTTAATTCAAAGGTTGATCTGCCGACAAG